TTAGTTTGGGTGTATTGTTGTAATCGTAGGTTTTGTATTAAATAGAATCCATAGGTACAAAACTATGCAAAATATATGATCTCGAATTGAACGAAAGAAGTACATACTGAATAGGTATAGTCAAAATGCAAGATATACCATGTTTGCTTATTAAGACATAGGTACAAGACATGTTATTTATTTACTTAATTAACATAATATTATATACCTATCTACATTGTATAGGTCCTAAATTTCTTAATTTGTTTGGATTGTAATCTGTGTTTGTTCCAGCTGTACCTACATCATCCGGAATTTTTCTTTAGTCTAATGCTGCTTTATTTTCAGAATGCTGTACAATATTTTAATATGTTAACCGCAATGTATCTATTTATTTATATTGGAAAATGTCAAAAATATGGGACCATAATGATTACATTTGAATTATGCTGATACGTCAACATTTTCGACACTTTCAAAAAATTGCTTTTTATTTTAGCTTTATGGTACCTATCTGTACTTAAACTGAAACCGTTTATTTCTTGACACTTTCAACAGATTCAGCTTCAATTTCTGCTTTCAAAAAACGCATACAGTAAGTGACTGTTACTTTCAATTATTTTATCCCCCATCAAAATTATGAATATTGTACAGAACGCAAACGTACAGCACGAACGTAGGAGTGGTTTTAAAATATGATTTGTTATCATAATATTACAGTAACACAGTGGATAATGATGTTACTCGGCAAAAAAGTAAGAAATTTGAACGGAAAATGGGACAATGTCCCATTGCTGTCGTGACTGGACGCTATAACGAAACGTACTTTGCTTTGACGATTGGTCGTTGGTTGTTTTCCATAAATTATGAAGAATGAACATGTTGTATGGCGTTCAGTCAACAACTAATCACTGTTCCAGGAGCAACAATGTTACTTAAAAGTGTTTTTAAATTGATTTAAGTGGTATTGGCCCGTTCCCGGTGGTATTGCAATACCGAGACAACACACGGCGGAGTAGGAGCAAGCCCCGAATTCTCCGCCTGCTTTCCAAAAATTAGTTTAACATTTGAACTCCCTGATGGGAAGTGTATCAGAAGTTAAGCCGATAAGAACAAATTTATTATTAATGATTCGTCAACACTTACAGAAATGGGACCTACAACTTTTTCTCCAATATATAAGAGAATACACGGGGGGAAGATATGGTTATTAAAATGCCACATGGGTACAAAAATCATCATAAAATTAATATAAAAAATATACCAGCAATAAACCAATAAATAAAACAAATTTCAAATCGTTAATAATAATAAAAATAAGATGAAATAATCATAATATAAAAAAAAATACACACAGAACCGTGAAACATGAATATTGCGCTTCAAAAAGGTCACATACAAATTCACAAAACATGAACTGGTAACGAGAGAAAAAACACAAATATATAATAGAGTGATAAATACACAAAAACATGAAATGCGATTATGACGTGCGAATGTTAAACACAAAAAAATCACAAAACAGAAACTGTTAAAAAAAAAACAGGTATATAAAAAAAAAAAAAAAAGTAATATGGTATAATATAAACTTCGTACAAAAATAACATAATAGAAAGTCATACTCTTACTCCAATCGCCTGTTTTTCGGTGATCACTTGGTACTGCGTCCTGGCTGCCTTCTTGATCCTGGCCACGATGGCGTTGTGCTTCACCAAGTAGAACGCAGTGTATCGTGTACAGTGATCGACGATGTGAGATAGGTTTTCTGTTATGTAACCACATTGCCGAAATCTACGGTCACCGGCTCTCCATGATGAGAAGCCATTCAGTGGCATCAAGTTCAACCACGCCCTATGTATAAATCTCCAGTTCATGAACCGCGTAAAGTCTCCTGCATTGATGAAGTGTGTAGAAGCCGAGTCGGCCGCCACACACTCCATGGAACTGTCTTGGTCCGGCTTCGTGGCAAGGGCCTCAGTCCTCTTCAGACGGAGTGACTCCCGGATGGTCCTCATGACTTCCCGACGTTGTTTTCGCCGGAGAATCGCCCCGACACGGGTAATAGCGTTATGGCTGCCGTCCACGGTCCAAGAGACGCCTAAACGCTTAGACGCATTACGCGCTCTTGACCAAACATTGGCCACATCACCATACCCATGCGATTCGTAGAACACGCAGTCTTCCTTGCCCGAAAAGTAGTGGCCCACCTCAGCCACATTCGCATTCTTTCGTAGACGCCTCCCAGCCGTCTCCTCAGCATGGGCTGCTGCGTCCGACGCCAGGCGGTCGTCCGATGGCGTGATCAGCTTGAAACCGCTGTCGACCGCCGCGATGTCGCTGTCTTTCGCAAGCAACCGTATGCCACACCCACCGCGTGCCACCGAGCCATAGAGGAAATCTTCGGCCACGGCCCAAACTTAAAATAAAATATCTTGTCAACGGATTGACGGAAATCAAAAATTTCAATACCGATATTTATTTTTTCTAATACTACCTCTATTTATGAAATTTTATTTGTAGGTTGCTATTTGAAAATTAAAAGTAAGTATTCATTTCACCCCCAAAAATAAGAATGACAAAAATAAAAATGATAATTTAACATTTCAGAACTATTTGTTTCTTAACAAAAATTCCAAAAAAGTGCATACTTTCTGAGATAATGAGTGCCTTATGCTAGATTGATCACTGTGTTTAGTACCAGATGATCCATTTAAGTGGGTACACTCATTATCTCGGAAAGTATTAACTTTTTTCGGACATTATTTTCTAGAATATTTAAATTACAAACAGTTCTACAATTGTATATTTGTTATTTTTTGTTACCCTTATTTTCGGGGGTTTAACCACTACCTACTTTTGATTTTTAAATAACAACCTATATTTAAAAGTCAATAAATAGATAGAGTATTAGTTAAAATTAATGTATACATTGAACTTTTAATAGGTTCAGGTTGCAATTTAAAAATCAAGTTGATAGTAGTTTTACCCCAAAAATAAGGGTAACAAAAATAACATAAATATACAATTTTAGAGCTACTTGATTTTTTAAATTTTCTAGAAAACAAATTCCTAAAAAACTTTGTTATATCAAGGGGTTACAAAATACATTTAATTTTTTGATATATCACGAGATTTTCAAGGGAACTACTGTTTTATTCGTTATATCGCATTATACTGCGAGTTGGCTGAACTATATATAATTATAGAATAACATAATAAAAAAGGAATTTCAATAATATTATAGTGATAGAAATTATTATAAATACACGGCAAGCATGTCAATTTTCTAGGAGACACTGGAGCGCACAATAATATTAAAGGTGCCTATACAACCCCTTAAAAATATATAATGTATTGTTGATAAAAATTAGAATCTATAGATGACTGATAGCAAAATGTTACATTTTAAATGTATTATTATTAATTTTGTTATTAATGAAATTTGAAATATTGGTTACCTACTTAATTTAAAATTGATTTTTCCTTTTTAATTAATTTTATTGTTTATACTATTACTAAGCATAATTACTTAAAAGAACAACTGACCTGTTTGAAAACAAGATTTGTTTGTTCGTTTCTACAATAATTTAATACGGATTTCAAGTTTCAAAATGTTCACTATAATATCTAGTAATCATGAAGTCATGAAACAAATGATTATAATACAATTTATATTAACTCTGTATAAATAGCCAATAGGTACTAATGTACTATATTTACAAAGAAATAGTAAAAATTATTAATGTTGATAAATTAACCCTTTATTTGGTAATATTTTTGACCATTAACTACATTTATAATTTATGAATAATAGCTATAGAAATTTTGATTGTCACATTATTATAATGAAAAAGATAGACATACTTCGTACGACGGGTGTGCCACTAGATGAAAAATTGAGAAGGTAGGATATAGAGGGGAATTTAATTTATATCTGTACGCAACGATTAATCTTGCTAACCAAAAATGGTTCTTAGCGTATAAAATTATTTTATACAATGGTATAAAATATTTTATCACTATTAACTATTGTAGTAACAATAAAGTATTATAACTTACAAATATATAAGTTACCGCTACTGAAAAAAATTATAATCTATTAAATATCTTCAATATAATTTGTAATAAAAGCAGTCTGATCATCAATCTGAGGGGCAAAACATAAGCAAATTATTCTCAATTTCAGGGACACTTTAAGACATTTTTCGCTACTCTATTTGTACAGGTCCCGTGATGTTGTTTATAGAATTTGCTAGCAATCATAGCTCAAAACATAATTTTGGTCTATTTCGATAATATAGAAAACAAATTAACGAATGGACTAAAATGTATAAAGGTTGAGTCGGTTACAGCGACATGTACGGGTCCACTACGAGCGTTACAGAATCATTTTATCATCGAGTAATTATGTAGATCATAATTTCGGGAATGTTCCAGTTGTCAGAAAATTATAAGACCACAAGTTCACTATAATGGAGTTGCCAACGTTCTAAACTATAAATTGTATATACCCGTGTAATGTGACCAACCATTCTATCTAGTCGTATATAGATAATTATAACCACGAAACGAGCAAAGGTTTCTCTAAAGGAGAAATTAAAGGATATTGTGGCGGAAGGATCTCACGGAGAGCAAATAGAAAATAATTGGGTATCAGTAGAGTGTTTGGTAAAACATATTAGAGAGGCCAACCGAAGGACACAAAATCCATATTCCCCGGATGAGTTACGGAGAATAGTTTGTCCAATATTATGTTTTTTGAGTGAAATATTAACTGTAAGTGAAGAAATATATTTTGAAGGGTCACTTTTTTGAAAGCTTAGCGAGGGACTTCCAAGAGTATTTTCCCCATTTGACTAAATTTACTCAATTTCTTCTAAAATCATTACTTTCCATGGGTTAATAAAAATATATAATGTAAAAGTTATAATATTAAATTATCATTTTATTATATATTGTGCTATTTTAATTATATTTATATGCATATTAATCGTTTATAATGAACAATTTATACTTATCAAATATTTTAATTATTTATGATAACCAATTTATTTTAATCATTATATTAATTAGTTTACTTCAATAAATTTATATTAATCACTTTTTTATATTTACTATGAAATAATAAATTAGAATATTTAACCACTTTTTAACAATGTCTCTCTTTTGAACTTGACTAACATTGTATCTATAATCTGGTTTAATATTAGTAATACTACAGTTAGGTTTTGGATTTAAATCATCTTCTGCATCACTATTATTGTTTTCAACAGAAATTACAGCAATAGCTTTTTCTTCAGTAATATGTGATTTTTTTAATATTAAAAATTACTAAATAATTGTTCAGATGAACTCATTTTATACAAGAACAGCCAATGTAAAATAATTAAAATAAATTTTATGTTTTGTATCAAAAAGCAACTAGCAAACACCAAGACACACGTAATGAATAAACATTGAATAGTATAATACTATAATAATCATTTTAGGTATTAACTATTAATGTTATAACGGTCGAGTTAATACCTATTTAAATAATCACACAAATATAAATGTACGAACAAAATAAGAATAATAAACATGTTAAGATGTGTCCACATTAGAGCAAATTTGTGTGTGCCTTGTATTTTGAAATTTGACGAAATTTTGTTTGGCAAAAATAATGCAGATTTGGACTTGTCGAGACATGCTTGTGTGTTGCGTTTGGATTCGCGGCGTACAACCCACATGATCCGACCGGTTGTCGGTAATTGTGTTGTGCGGCGCTCAGTTTGGACGACTTTATACAATTTTTATATTGTCCAGTGCTTTCATCAAATTTTAAGATGGATAACAAACTTGAGCTATCGTTGTTTAATTTATTTTGAAACAACTTTGTTATCCACAAACGTCTTTGTCGAGGTATTTTTTCTTTTAACAGCTGGTGAATAATTATAAATGCTGCGGCTTTTTTTTTTCTGAATTCAATCTCATTCATTACCACTGAACTTTTTAAAAATAAACTAAAAAATAGACTAAACCCACAGGTACACATTACACATTTAACACTAAGTACAGAATGTTACTACAACACAATGTTTTGTAATTTTGCGCCGCAACATCTGAACATCAAAATTCAACGCACAACGCAGAATTATAGTTACGAAATATTTCCAATTTTTTTGACGAACAAGTGTGCGTCGAGATTAAAACACAGCGCACACACAAATTTGCTCTAATATGAACGCACTTTTATATAATGTAGATACACACTACACGTGCACTATATTAACAGTAAGCAATAAAATCTAAATATAGTCATTGAAAATCATTAAATATTCCACGATCTTATAATTGTATATTATTATACCAATACAATAAAAATAATTTAATTTAAATTTATAGTTATATGACATTTTCGTCGTATTATATTTATATTCAACAATAAGCTTTCTTATGTAAACATATTCCATTTAAATAATAAATACAATTATTTTTTATCTAAAAATGATTATCATTTTTCCTTTGCCAAATCATATTATTTCTCATTAAATTACTTTGGAGGGCTATAGAAACTATTGGGTGAGGGGGCTAAAGCCCCTCCAAGTCCCTACCTAGTTACGCTTATGTTCTTTACAATAATATGATAAATCTACCCGCCCGTAGGGTGACTATCGAACGTGTTCATATTACATATACCCTGTAGCGGTTGTCTGTATAAATCAAAAAGGTCAGTGTTGGCCAGTCGGGTAGAAAAAAGGGACAAAAATAACAAACGTGTATACCAAGATCACAGTGCGTACACAATATAATGTATACAATTTTATGTCCTGAAAAAAAACATATTTTACCCTTCGAACAAAAAATGTTTATTTTTTTATCTATGAACAACTTTTCTACTAGCAATTTTATTTCAATGTTTAAGTGTAGCCCTTTCTCTGACTGGGGTAGTATTTTAGGGAGGTTATTTTTTGATTTTTCTAGTTTTTTCATAATAAATGGGGAAAACTTGAAAAAAACTTAAGAAAAACGTGAAAATTTACGAAATGTATTATTTTCAAATCGTAAGTATTACGACCTTTCATTAGGCCTTTCACTAGGCCTTTCAAAACATGTATAACCGAACTCCGTTCAAAATAATTTTCCTTTAGCAAAGATAAATAATTGTTAACAGATATACATTAAATTCCCTCTCTATATTGTACCTTCCCAACTACTCAACTACAACAGTGGCCCACCCATCGTGCGAAATATGTCCGTTTATTTTTGTTTTCTATATGTAATACAAATGGAACTGCATGTCAGACTATCATTTAATATAATTTTAACAATAAAAAGGAAAGGGGGAGAAATCAAATTACTTTAATCCATTTCCTTAGAATAATACATATTCGATATACCAACTGGTTATCGTTTTGTCCTGTGGACGTTACACGATGTCTAATGACGTTTACCGTGCTAACGCTACAATAAAATGTGAGGACGCCATTGAAGTACGTGCTCTCGATTTCGGGTAAATATAATATCGACCCTCGAATTGGTTCCCAAAATTATAAAACCACCGTACCACCATCGTCGCCGCAAGTTCACTCGCTCACCTGATATACCGAGTAGGGATAACGATGGTGGGGACAAACCGTTATTGATCGGTAGGTCGGATGCTACATATCAGGACAGCAGTACTGTTTTTTCCTTTTCCATTGATGATCGCGTCCCCACGTATTTATTTTTAATTTGTACGTATCTTGTTCTTTTAAAACTATGAAGCTAAATATAAGGTTTCCGTGTTTATTATATGGTTGTCCAAAATCATATTGCAGCAAATCTTCAATGATGAGACACTATAAAATACATATTAAAAAATATAGGTGCAACCGATGTGGAAAATATTTTAACTATAAAGATACAAAAGATCGGCATATGAAAAGAAAAAACCCATGCAAAATTCAAGATATACAAGGTAGGTGAATTTTATTTGGTATATTTAAAGTAATTTTAGTTCATGGTTAGGGCTAGGATAATGGTTTTTATTAAAAATCTACATAAAAGGCATTAAAAAGTTACCAAAATGCTACAAAAAAACCATTTTTAAACATGAAAATGCTATTTAAAAATTATCTTAAAATGTAAAACTTTGACACACATGTTTACACAAAATTGGACACGCAAAACGCATATTTGTTATCCATATTTGTTTATGCATTTTAATTTTTAATATAATATATCTGAGTATAACTACACAGAGTGATTCACTCAGCTGGAAACACTCATTATCTAGTAAAATATTAACTCGAAACCTTTAACCATTTGGGAGTAAAACTACCACCATTATTATAAATACTATAGAATGCTCACTGGTTGGTTTTTCGACGGCGTAGTATAAAACTCCCCATAGATGGTAATTAGATCGTTATAATTATATTAAATTAAAATAATTCACATATTATTTTGTTGACGATCATAAAGGTCGAGTGCGGGAAATCCGGCTCACGATTATGCATCGATTATAAATAGGGGTACTGTGTTTTTCGTTTTCGATTTTTACCATAACGATGTTAATTAGTTATTATTAATTATACTATTATTAATTTATACATTATACTCGTTATAGCCACATAATAATACCGAGTAATAAATACTTTCTAAATTTTTAAATTAAACATTAAATATTTAGGTATAGATCGGTACTTATAAACTTAATACAGTTATAATATTTAACAAATTTAAAAACTAACTGATATTATAATGACAATATACTCGTACAGTACAATAAAATAAAACAATCAATAATAAAAATGATCTTTTTATCATTTATTTTGTAATACAGGTCTGTAACTTGTCCGTATTCAGTACAACTCGTATTTTATTCATCGTATTTTCTACTTTGCATTGTTTGAATAATTTTTTACGAAATAACAATTCAATAGTATAAATATAATGTTTATGAAAAATTGAATTCCGGAGATAGGGATTTTCTATAGATTTTTGATAAAGTATTTTCTTTAAATTGTAGTATAATTTTTTTTCACACTTGATATTTGGAAATAATATTTTAAATACATTTATTAATAGATTGCAACTATATCTAAAAGTTTATCTGATGGAATTTTGAAACTTTTTGTGGATTCAATATTGTCGAACATTTTATTGAGTATTCAGCGATGGATAATTTAGATGATGTTCATTATTTTTAGTCAGATCGCAATCTAAAAATAAACATTTGTCCCAGCATTTTTTCGCTAAATAGCCTGCAAAATAAACTATTGAACATGATTATAATGATGTTTCCTCGTAATTTATAGAATTGTTTAAAGACAAAGAACTATTTAAATCGGAGTTTGTTTTATCAATTGCTGTTTCTTCTGCATTTATAATCGGTTCTTCAGTAGGATTAATTGAAATATCTTTTATTATGTCAATGTTGAGAAATTCGGTTTCATCATGTTCGCAATTATTACATGTAGATAAACATTACATTAATTATAAGAGCATATGTGACCAAAACAGCACCGAAAGGTCCTAGTTGTTGGATTTCTGTTGTAATTATAAAAAATTAAATAATAAAACAATATTATTGGAAGTATATTCTGTTTCTAATTAATTATAATTTATATTTTTATAAAAATTTGATTCTAAAGAGATTCCCAATCAATGACAATTAATATTTAAAATAAATTATAAAATATATTTATAATAATTATTATATTTTTTATGTACTCATATTTTTGACGCACTATCGAAAATAAATTTTCCAAGGGATCTTGTGTTAATCGATTGATTAAAAGGAAGTAATTTTTATTTGAAGAAGTGTTCTTTATTTTTAATTTTTCAGATTCGTAAAGTTAACGGATTGCATTTGTTGTCCACATGATTCTAACAAAACATGGTGGAGTGCTTGTTTTTTTTGCCTTACGACAAATTTTTGTGATATTTAAAAAAAATTGATTAGCTTTGTTTAAATTTTCTAATATTTGTGGATTGCGATTACATATTGGTATTCTATTAGGATTCCGGTCATATAAAGTTTCTAGTATTAGCTGAATCAAACATTTTATGAACTACATCAATAAAAGATGCGCTGTATTGATAACAGGTAACGTCTTTATTTTACCCGTAGCAATGCAGATTTTTATAGCAGCAGAAATTGTATCCCAAATTTGCAATTTTTTTTTTTAATGGATTTAGGTTTAATTCTGTTGGTGTGATTAATGCCTTTACACTATTATTTACTTCCATCTCATATGCCATTTTTATATCATTTAATGACATTAATTTATTTTTAATTAACTCAAAATTTCCATTTAATAAATTGTTTCTTATGTTCTAATTAGGTGTGGCATGACATAAATTAAATATATGTTTGGTGCACATATCACAGTCGATGGTTTGTCTTCATTTCCTCTAAGAAGAGATACATGTGATGATTTTGTGTGCTCTGATTGCAAGTTATGTATGTTGGGATTAAATCTAGCTTTAAAATTGGTTTAATACTATTTTTAGTTATAGTAACAAAATTATCTCATTTTACACCACTACCAGTAAAAAATAACATAGTGGAAACTTCCAATTTAAATACAGTCCGCGAACCATAAGTTCATAACAATCAATGCGTAAGAAACTATTTTATTAGTTCGTCCTAATGTCCCCAAAACTTCAAATCCTTCAATTTCGTCTAAAACCTTATTATATTTATTAGAACACTCACTTATAGAGAATACCTCACCAGACTATCAGCAAAAGTTAAGACTCGTCAGAGCATCATTTCAAAGCTATCTAGCTCAACATGGGGAGCCGATGCAAACACGTTACGCATAAGCACGCTATCATTAGTATATTCTGTAGCTGAGTATTGTGCTCCTGTTTGGCTTAATAGCGTCCACACAAAGAACGTAGATAAAAACCTTAATGCAGAAATGCGCACGATTGGCGGGATGACAAAATCCACACCGCTAAAATGGCTACCAGTGCTTAGTAACATTGCTCCGCCAAAGTTACGAAGAGAACACGCACTCCTGCAAGAATGGAAAAAGTACGCTAATAACCCCTCCCTTCCCATACACGCGAACCTGATTACATTAGAAAATGTTCACTGACTCAAATCCCGAAAACCATCGTGGAAAACAACAAGGTATCTCACCAGAGATAAATTCAATATAAGTTATAAATGGGAAAGCGAATGGACAATAGAAAACCCAGATAACCAAAAACTGGTAATTAACCCAACTATCAAACAATCAGGATTTGAACTTAAAAGAAATACTTGGGTAACGCTAAACCGTATCAGGACTGGCCATGGTAGGAGTGGTCACATGATGTATAAATGGGGACTGCGTGACACTGAAACGTGTGACTGTGGCTATGAATCCCAGACGATCACCGTTAAATATCCAATTCTTGCATTTAAAGGCACCATGGAAGATATCCACTTGGTGAAGGATGAAGTGGTGGAATGGATGAAGAACCTGGATTTGGAGTTATAACATGACCCCTACATTTACCATATGGGTAACCTCTTGTATATTTTATGTTAATAATGAATTTGTATTTAATCAATGTGTTTGTTTATGTCTGAGTTTTATCACTGTTAATCATCTTTTAATTTTATACGTGATATATTTTTATATTTTAAGTGTTTCTGATGTTGCGCATAGACGCCATACGAAATATATATACATATATATACCGATTTCTATGACCGCGGCCGCCGCGCTCGTCGATCGCTTCAAGAGCAGTCATATTGCACGAGCCACGCGGTTAATAGCTAAAATATTCATTGTTTATTTTCAAATTTTGACATTTTTTGAACACTATGTGACATAAAATGTCTTCATCAAAAGTATCGTTCACAGTAGAAGAAGACATACAATTGGCTGAATGTGTAAGGGAACATTCATGTTTGTATGACCTAAAAAATGCTCAATATATAATTAAATTGATCCCAGCTTAATCTGAAAAATTCCCCGAATTTGGTTTCGTCTCGCCATAAATGTTTTTCAATCAGGACACTGAAGAATCCTTCAACTTCCCTGGTTAAGTACATTTGATGCACTTCATTTTTATTTTTTGTCAGAACGTATTTTATAATTGTTTGTTCTTCTCCTATTTGTTGTAATAGAAGTAGTTTTATAATACATTTTTGTTTTTTTGTTAAGGACAAAGTTAAAAACAAACTAATAACAATAATAATATTTTAAAACACACTTATATGAATATATAAGTACCTACAACCTAACCAAACTGAGACCTTGATACAACGCGCCTAATTATTTTAGTGCCGTTCAGCCGCACGTCTCCTGACGCGTACATAAGAATCTATAAAGATCGCGCAGCTAAATAAATGACCGCGCGAACAAAATCCAAATCACAACGCGTCGACCGCGCGTCTCTAGACGCGTGCTAGGAATCGCACCTTAAAAGATCGATTTTGTTTCAAAGAATTTGATTGACAGAGAAAGTAATTTTTGGTATCTAAAATAGTTTATGTAATAATTGGGAAAAACCATAAGACGAAAAATATGATTTTTCAAATTATGGAGCATTTTATTATTTAAAATGTTTAAGATTACATTTTTCTACCAGCAATTTTCTTTTAAACTCCAAGAACAGTACACTTTTTAAAAGAAAATTTTATCTAGTTTATAAGTAAGAAAGTCGTTGTTTGATTTTTGTGTTTAGTTTTCCTAATATTTACGAAAAATTGGGAAATTAATATTAATAATAATAGAAATTTTATTAATATTTGTGTAAAAATGGTCATCCTAGTAATGTAGTCAGAAAAAACTTTTGGAGGGGGACACTTTATTTTTATTATTAAATTTTTATTAAGCTAAAATACTTATTACCTATTATTTTATGACTCTCTTAATCCCTTATTACATATTATTTATACCATTTTAGTTTTACAAAATATAATTAAAACAATGTTTTTATCGATGTTCTCACAAGGCTACAGAATATATTATGAATCACTAATTGCAGAAAGTGAACATGTTTCTAAAATTAAATTTTATAGAAAGCACAAAAAACTGACCAGGCAAGACTGAGAAGATAAGTAAGTCTGAGAAGTAAAAACGAATAAATCACGTTATTTTCCACCTTTTAAAAAATTAACATCTAAAATTTTTCCTAAAATCAACTTTAACACTTATTGGCAGCCATTTTAAATTGTTAGATGTGTCCCTTTTCTGCACTTAACCATTTTAAATGCATTTAAAACACAGAAATAATAATAAAAACATGTTTTTTTTGTAACGAGCAATTTTTTATTCTTTAAAACAATTAGGATTAACTTAATTATTATTGATTATTAATTAAACTTTTTAGTACCTATTATAATAATACAGTTGATTATTTACCTGAGTATGTTACTGAATTAATATTTGTTTTAATTAGCACAATTTCCAGTATAGTATCAACATTTACATCTGCATATATTAAATTAAAATATATATTTACAATTTTATATAATCATTAAGAATTTTCACATATCATAGAATTTAGATTTTTATTAGTTTGTTGATTTCAAATTGAGCACTCGATATAACAGGCCGTTCACTGGAATCTAAAATAAAAATTTTAAATAAAAACTCTTAATACTAATTAAATGTTTATGCATTCATTTATCTTTTAATAATTTGAGTTTTTTTACTAAATAGAATATTTCTTCAGTATCGCATTTTTAATTAAACGTGGTTTTACACATCGTGTCGAATTCATAAACATAGATTTATTGAAATGGTCTGAGCAACTATATCGATTTCTTAATTTTTTCGAACTTATTTCATCAAGTTTTATGTTTTCTAAAATTATGCACAAACATAATTTATAAAATATTAAGCAATATTTATGAACTTATAATTCACTACATTTTAAATAGGTACGTACCAGAATTAATTATCCATTGTTTGTGAACTTCGATATTAGCTGGAAATTGATGGAAGGTAGTTTTCGACAACCTTCTAATCAAATTGCAGTTAACACATTTATCCTCAGACATTATTAAATAAAATTGAACAAATTTCACACAAAACCACAAAAGTAAAAATACTCTAGAAAAATATTGAACAATAGGATAGTTCATAGTTCTGTAGGTATTGTTGTAGTGTAGTTGTATTATTGTATTGTAGGTAGTGTTTACTGAAGAATTACATAATTCTATTAAAAATGAATAAAAATAGATTTATTTATAAATAGATATTTATCTATAAAATATTTTTGTAAATACCAAATTATTATTTATAACCTTTGGACAGTGGTCTATAAATACGAAAATGAATTATCAATATAAATACCCGGTCAAGCTTAAGAGCATACCCGGCGGCGGACGAATACGCGTCCTTTTTCGCGCATTTGTTCCCACTCCCGGTTATCGGTACCACTTCATCCACTCACCCACCTATCGATCTCGCCACCGTTGATACACATGGTATACATCAGTGGTTTTCAACCTTTTTAACAATGTAGCACACTTATTCTCCTACAAAATTTTCGCGGCACACCAATTCATATAATACGTGAAGCATATATTTTTTTATATAATATATATACACATATATAGATATTTAGGTACACTGTTTACAATCTACTGTATTAGAGGGTTAATTATTATGAAATAAATTAATACAATGATGAAAAAATGTGTTAGTAGAAATATTTATTTTTGAAAGATAATAATGTTGTACATGAAATATAAATTTACCGATTAATGAGATTGTTGTGCTTGACGTGTGGAGCACAAACGTTTTATTCTAGAACGAACAGTCGACAAGCTAACTCTCAGTTCTTCTTCTACGGATCTAAGTCGTTCTCTTTTTATACTTTTGATTGTTGTGACTGCTGAGAATCCTTGTTCGCATAGATATGATGTGGAGAATGGTAGTAAAATTGTTATTGCTTTTATAGATATTTCAGGAAATTCTGCTTGAGCATATATCCAAAATTTGTTAACTGTCATTTCTTTAAATTTTAACCTATTAATAGATTTATCTTATCGCGGCACACTTCAAGGGCGCTCGCGGCACACCGGTTGAAAACCACTGGTATACATCATACGTAGAGAATAAAATTTCGATAACATACATTCGGCCTTACCACGTACACTTATATTCTCGCACAAATGCTCTGTTTTAATTTGAAAAAACGCTATAATTATCTTTTTTAAGTAATGTAATTGTTCTATGTTGCCCATTAATTTAACTGAAACAGTATAGGTATGCGTGTATACCTATTATTATTACTACGATTATTATTACGATTTATTTGGCGATAGGTATTATAGATATTATAACACACCATATACACGATGGCGGTGGCTACGACTACACATAGTTTTTTTTTCAAATTTTTATGTCTAATGCATATATTTAGTACTTATATAATAAATGCTTATGGTAAACATTTGTTTACAAATTGTAGATAGCAAATAAAAGTTGAAACAAAAAATATTTTAATCTAGTTTATTTGCTTCATTAACCTAGGTACTCAAGTTATAGTAATAAATACAATTATATTATTTCGTCATGCTGGCTATCGCTGGGAACCCGGAATAACGTCCTGTGAACTACTAGCGATACTACAAGCGATTATGATGACACCCGCCATAACTAGATACAGCATAGAGCGCCTTGTAGCGATACCTGCCATTTAACATGTAGCGTATTCCCTACTGCAGAAATTACATAGTAAATTGCATTATAAAAATGCAAAAGTTTTAAAAAAAAAAATTAGATAAATGTTACTTTCTTTAATTAAAATTAATAATTAGATACATTTCTAAATTATTTTCAATAAAATTAAATCTTCTATTACTTAAAATATGTTTGTACAAAGATAAACTACGTTCTACGTCTACACTAGTAATTGGGGCATATTTAAAACAATTTAATAAAGTGGGCGTTATGTATAAATTAACATTTGCTTTATCTCATATGACTTCATAGTAAGACTTTAAAGTTGTATAACCTTCATTTTTTTCAATTTCATACATACATTTTTCATTAATTTTTTTCCTATTTGGACCAGGAATATTTGTTAAAATATCGTCAATTTTTCTAAAAATATCCATGCTTTTCAGTAGTTCACTATTCGATTCTTCCACATTTTTAAGATTCATGGATAACTCGGATAAGTGTGATTTTATGAATGCTAAACCACATTTGACTGCATTATTTTGTATAATCTGTTTCAGCTTTTTGACACTTATAGTATCATCTGTTAAACTTTCAATAACGTTTTTAAACTCTTCAAAATTATTTGCATAGAAAAGTGCAGCATTTAACCATGTTCTCCATCTTATCATATCAGGTTCGGGTGATAAAGGTATACCCGACATTTCTTTTCGGGAAGCTTTTTTTTTCTAAAATAAACGAAATAAGTTACATATGTATTTAAATTTTAAACAGGTACTTAATATGTTACCATTGTAATCAATTTATTAATATCGGGATACAATTCTCGAATTTTCTCTAGAACTCTATTAACTACGTGCGCCATACATCTCATATGAATTAACATTTTAATAAAAAAAAAAATATTTTTAATGTTTGTGGTGCTTTGATCAGTACCAGCATCACTAATAGAAAGTAATACTTTTTGTTTAATACCAGGAAATATTTTTAACGAGAAATTAATAAACTGACAAATAGTTTCATAATTGGTAGATTCTAGTTCTTTGCATCCAACTAAATATGATTTACTAGGCGTCCCGTTTAATTTATTAATTAATAAATTTTCAATAGCCAAACCTAAAGAAAATAGTATATTTTATTATATGAGAAATTAAAAAAATTATTTATAGAAACCTCTTGGATCGGTTGTTTTGTCAACAATTATATAAACGTAATTATTTTAAATATCATTAATTATTTGGTCTATAAGGCTTTTATAAATATTTGGTACGTGATTTTTTCTTAAGTGCTTTCGTCTGGAATTGATTTACCAGGATGTTTTTCCAACAATGATTTTAACACGTGATTGTCCAGCTTATGCAAAGGAATATTTGCAGCAACAAATGCATTACATAAATTTTCAAAAAATAAATTTTTACTAATCGAATTTAAGAGAAGTAATCAAAAGCTGGTTTTTTCTTTATTCCTTTGTGATGCATTTCTGTTGAATTAAAAAAAACATATATATATTTTTAAAAAGAATATGTAGTATTATGTGTAATATGAGCATAAAATACAAAGCTTACTTGTTTTGGAATGATAATCTAATAGATATTTTTTTTTCAGTAGACACAGATTTGTTACACACTAGACAATATATAACCTTTCCATCTGATGAAAATACTCTATTTTTAATTTAAGGAGCAATCCAATTCGAAATTTTACTTTTTGAAGTTGATTATATTTTAGGCATTAGATCGAATATGTTCACTGTGCGGTCATATTGATTAAATAAATAGGTATTAAGGTACTAACATGTGAACGCACACGAATCGCTGTACTACTTCGTCGAATTTAATTACCACCATATATCTATATATATTGCTAACATTGCTAACAAAAAATGATTCTGAGTGGAATCCAGTTGATAGTGTTACTTTGTCAACAATATTTATGTCATATTATGATAAAATAATTAAATAATTATTATTATATATTTTTTTTATTAATATTTGTTTAATATTCTATCGATTTTCCCGTTTTTCCTACGTTATTCCCGGTTTCCCCATGTTTTTTCCCGGTTTTCACATTTGCTGGGAAAACTCTTGGAAAACTCGAAAAATGAACTCCGTAAAGTATCTTTCTATTCAGATTTTTTTTTAGAAAAAGTGCTATCATTGTAAATCAGAAAAAATTTGCTGGTAGACAACTATTAAAAGTACTGGTATATATAGTGACGGTTAATTGTATGAAAAAAACAAAAAGATAATTTTTTTGCTACAATTGTAATCTTATTACTGAGTAAGAAAGTTGATTTTTGATTATTTTTGTAGTTATCATAATAAATGGGAAAAACCAGAACAAAACTTAGAAAAACGGGAAAATGTACGAAATGTAATATTTGAAAATCAAAGATAAAACGGCCTTTTAAAATATGTACAACCAAACTCCATTAAGAATCGTTTTTCGTTAGCAAAGATTAATCGTTGTGAACAGATATACATTAAATTCCCCTATTTATCCTACCTTTCCAACTTCTGATCCACAGCATTGAACCATTTTGAGCTATTTATAGACATTTTAATTTTGCGAGTTTATTACTTATTTTTATTCGGTAGGTATTCTGTATGTAAAATTGTTACACTAAACAGATATGCTTGAAAACTTAACGAAAAGTTCATAAAAGTCGTACTGTCAGGAAAAAAAAATTGAACTTAATGTAGTATTTTTTGTTTTATAAACGACAATAAAGGATTATTTCTCTACTGACGTGAATCAATATAATATTGTAACTAACTGTTCGACTAAAGGTAAAACATATTTTGGGTAATCTACTTTGAAATATTTTATAATTTATAATATAATTTATGTTTTTATAATTTTTGTTTCAGATGACCCACCCGCAGCGTCTACCAGTACTAATTCATCTACAGAATAAGGTAAATCAAATCGATAAATACTAAAGAATAAATACTAAAAAAAAATGTAAAAACTCGAAGTATGCATTTATATGCAAAGTAAAATTATTAGAAATCTAAATTTGTCTAAACATAAAACGTATGTGTTTCTTACTCTCTTTTATTGATTGTGTAAAAGAAATATGCAAATTTTACAAGCAGTAGAGTACTTAGAAATTTCGAAATTTAGCTTATAAATTCTGATACTAAATCAGAGAATAAAATCAAGCTCACAAGGTTTTTTAGTCAGCTTTTAGAGGCTCTTTAACTATATTGCGATGACGTGGTAGCTGGTGAAAAGTAGTAGTTAAACTAGACTTGTACAATAGTTATTCGTTAGACTCTATAGTATATTGTGTTGAAATAATCGATTGTTGCAATTAACAGATGTATTTTGAAGAAGCAGTTTATACATTCACGATATTTATTCGTCATGTTCGATAGTCAATTGGGTTGAAATCGATACTATCGGATACAAATGAAAAAAGACGGACTTACTTTGCACAATGGGTGGACCAATGTTGTAGGTGAGAAGTGGGGAAGGTTTAGGGGAAATTTAAGGTATACCTGTACACAACGATTAAACATTGCAAACGAAAAACGATTCTTATCGAAGCTCGGTTAATGATATTGCTTTTTGCACAATATAATATAATATATCATATTATAAATAAAATTAATATATATTGAATACAACGAATTACATAGTAAACATAAAATATTATGTTGCATTTTGCACCCGACGTGGTTTGCAAAAAAAATATTTTCGAAATTCGGGTTTGAATTCACGACCTCTTTTGTTGACAACAGGTAAGTACCACCATTAGATTACGATTCTATGACAGACATACTAAAGGATTTTCATTTTTAAGTAATTTATTGTAATACATATATTATCAGAACTTCAAAAAGCTAAAATTTAAGTCAGTTCACTCAATTCTGATTTCACTATCATTCTTAAAAAATAATAAAAAATAAACATAATTTTAAACCAATGCATTCCTCGCTTTGCTCAAAATTTAAAAATTCAATAAAAAAAAAATCGGACAACCCTAAAAACACAACCAAAATTCATAACTACATAATTCCATCTTCTTTTTCAACTTTTCAAAGGCCATTACCGCAACACATATCTTCTTCCACCTATCTCTATCCTGTGCCAATGTTTCTCTATCCTGAATTTCGATTTCCCTTAGGCTCTCCTCAATTTTGCCCATCCTTCTTTGTCTCGGTCTACCCAGTGGTCTTTTTCCTTAGGGTTTCCACTTTAGAACTGCTCTCATCAGACTAACAGTTCGCTACACTTGGGCAGACCATGCGACTCTTCCATAGTGCAGCACCGCTTCTATGCCCAGCTCTCCGTATAGTTGTCACAATTCCCTAATACTTTTTATCTCGACGCTGAGTTATATTATTCTTTTTTGGTGCGTATATTCTTCTTTTAAAGGTTGCTATTTTTCCTTCATAAGGTTGTTGGCCACGTCTCGCACCCGTATAGAATAACTGGTCTAACAATACCTTGTATTATGTGATTCTTGAATTGGGTGACACTTGTTTTGATTTAAAGATATTCGCTAAACTGTAATAGCACTTATTTTCTACAGTTGTCCTTATTTTAGTTTCTTCATAGTTATTATTTGTGCTATTAATTGTTACTCTTTAAAATTTATAATTTTTAACTTTTAGATAGTCTTTATGATGATCTCATCTAGATACTATTATATATTTATATTTCAATACATTTATTTGTAGTCCAATGTCTTTACTACTTTTTATTAGATCTTCGGTACCATATTTTTACTTTTGAGCTATCTGACCCAAGAATGATAATATCATCAGCGTATGCTCGAATTCCGTACTGTCTTCCACTGTCGTCCAATTTTATTTCACCATATTTGGTCTGTTTTCTTAATGATCACTTCTAGTGCTATATGAAAGAGTACCGGTGACATGACATTTCCCTGTCTAAGTCCGAATTTGTCTTCAAATTAATTTGACAAATGTTGATTGAATTTAACTTTCATCTTATTTTATTTTTACATAATTTGATCATTCTTAACGTTTTAGATGGTGATCAAAAAATTATAAGCGCATTCCGAAATTCTTCTCTGTTCACTGTATGTATGATTGTTTATAATCTATAAACAGCATATGCAAGTCTTTTTTGACAATGCTTGTCAACTAGCTGTTTTATAGTAAAAATGTGATCTATTGATCGGACATTAGTTACTCCACGATAGCTCCTAACATCTTTTATTATATTGGGAACTGTCAAGTCTGTTATGACATGATTAATTTGATTTTTTATACTTCATCCCGATGAGACGTACCTCTCCTTGTGGATGTCTTTATGTAGAAAAAGTGTACTACTGACTCTTAATCCCTTTGACATAGCAAAAGTAATTAATCTGTTTCCATTGTCATTAGATAATGTGTAGAGTATTTCTTTACCTATTGTCGGCCTATACATTTCTTCCTTTTCCATTTTTGCGTTATAGTCTTCAAGCACAGTCTTCGGGTGACTCCTTTGAGTTGAATCATATAATTTGTCCAAGTCTTCATAGAATGCTTTTTTTTTTATCTTGCTGTTTATTTTCCGTAGAATAATAGAAGTTTATTATTATTAAATTCATATATTTACTATCAATTTGGATATAGCATAGCCTTTCACAACAAGGCTCAAACCCTTTTACGTACGGTAAGTATTCATTGTTAACAATAAATCCTACTCTTCTTTCATGTTTTTGACCACCGCTATAAAAAATAGTACATTTCTTCAATTTCACATTTCCTTTTTCCTGTAAATCTAACTTCTTGGATTGCGGTTATAGCAATTCCATAATCCTCCAAGTTAGATTTTACAACTATCAGTGCACCCGCCGTGTAAAGTGAGCACACATTATAGGTTTCCAAATAACTTTTCATCCGATGAATTATTATTCCAACAAAATACGGTTCCGATAAATATTTTCCAAAATATAGCCCTTCATATTATCGTCAAAAAGTAAAACGCGACTGAATATGAAAAAAGACGTCCTAAGATAATAGGGATGGGTGCATATATACTGTTATAGGTAATTTAATGTATATCTATAAACATCGATAAATCATTACTAACAAAAAATGATTCTGAGTGGAATTTAGTTGATAGTGTTCTTTTGTCAACAATATTTGTGTCATATTATGATAAAAATAATTATTTAATTATTATAAATTTTTTTTTAATAATATTTGTTTAATATTGTATCGATTTTCCGGTTTTCCTATGATGAGAAAACTCTCAAGGGAGAAAACTCTCTGAAAACAATCAAATTTATTTTTAGAAATAGTGCTATTATTTTAAATCGGAGCAAAATTTCTGGTTGAAAAGTTGTACAGAGAAAAAAAGGACATAAAATATTTTTACTAGTAACTAAATTTCGTACATTTTTCGTTTTTTCGGCATTTTATCCTGGTTTTTCAGAGATATTATAAAAACCACTAGAAAAATATAAAAATGACCTCCTTAAATTACCATGGATATAAAATTTCCTTTCAGAAAATAAGCTACACTTGATACATCAGAGCAAGATTTCTGTTAGAAAAGATTACATAACAAATCAAGGGGTATTTTTCGAATTAAATAGGCCGAACGAGCGATAACTGGGTCTCTACACCTAAAATGCATTTGTTTATTCCTTGTTTAGGTAAAATAGAAAAAATAAGTGTAAACAAATTTTTTCGAATCACGGGTTGGAACTCGTGACCTTTAGGATGACAATAGGTATGTACAGACACGTATACAAAAAAAAATAAAATCGAGGGAGGATCATAATAAATTTACAGTTATTAATATTATGAATAGTATCAATATTTATAAAAAAAAAATATTAAATTGATAAAGTTGAATTACGCAACTATTAATTTTCGGAGAGAGGGGGAGGTTAAAAAAAAATTGGAAAATTAGATTCGTTCACCATAAGTTTTTATTCAAACGATTTCCGTCAAAATTTGATATTAAAATTCCTTTATAAAATAAAATACTACATTAGACTAAAATTTTTTTTTTACCACAAAGTAAGACTTAATGAGCCTCCTATTAAACTGTCACACATTTCTGTTTAGTCAAACAATTTTACACACAGTACCTACCGAATAAAAATTTTGTATAAAATTCATAAAATTAAAATTTCTACAAATAGCTCAAAAATGGCTTAAATTGTTTGATATAAGTTTTTTGCTCAAATTTTAAGTCTCTACAAATATTTTTAATTAACTTACAACAAATAACAAAATTAAAATAAGAATAACTTATAGTAATTGGTATTTAATTAATCTTTAATATTTTGATGTTTACAAAGTATATTATAGAAACTACATTACTTGTTGTTACAACTACTTATTTAATTTACTTCATTTATTATTATTGCAATTAACGTTTAAATGTTTATTTATATTAACATTGTTTTATTAACGTTCAGGTATCCATCACACATATTTAATAAATTCAAATTATTTGACTTTACGTTCATTTTATATTGCCATTTGAAACAGTACATTATTTGTTATTTATCTAAATACTTTCAGTGAATACCTATTTGGGTCAAATTTGAGTAGTGCAATAATAAATGTTTCATACAATTTGTTGAACCTTAAAATTGTGTACTATAATATATGATATTATTTCAAAAATCAGTGATAAGTTTTTTTATATATCAATAGTTACCATAAAAATAATTTAAACACTCATATGTGAAATTAATATAATTTTTTATTATTTTTGTTACAGCCCATGGATATTGTGGAAGATGTCGAGGACATAATCATTGCATAATTTTTTTTTTAGCAAAATTTTTATATCCAACTCAACATTATTAATTTTGGAAACAAAAAAAATTCCTTTCATTTTCTATATAAATATTATAACATTTTTGTAAACTGTTTTACTTTAAAACATTGATTTTCACTTTTTCTTTTTGCATGTTTCTCTAAATTTTTCCCTTCGTTGTTCAAATTGTCTAATTTGTCAATTTAATGTAAACAATTTCTTGTCGGTGCTTTTTCCCAAAATAAAATTGTTTTTTTTTAAAACTAAATAATAACTCTGTTTTAAAGTAAACTTCACTTTTTTGAGATTATAAAATAAAACCTTTAACACCTGGATATTTGAAGGTAACTTACTACCTATAATTTGATTTGAATCATCTTCAATCAAATATATTTTGGTGCGACTACAAAGTTCATATGCTTGCGACATTATAACAGTTATTCAAAATACAAATATCAAATTTAAAACGGAAATAATGTATACACTTCTTTTATATAAGTGCAGTTATGAAATCAATGACTACACAATGACTAACGATAAATACGAAAATTTTGTCACAATTTCGTTTAACATTTGATATCAAAAGCCATTAAAGTAAAAACGGACGATGTACGAAAAATATAAACTGTATTCAATCAGGTAATACACATTACATTCAATATCAATAACTGATTATTAATTAATATAGTTTTTAATTCAATTTTACTTATCGTTTATAATTTTTTTTGATAAAACATTGTAAAACTATTAGATAAAATAAATAAAAATACATAAAAATGTAATGATTACTAAAGAAAGTTCATAATTACAAACTTTAGGGGCTATGGGGCATGAGTTAACCTTAACGCATTGTGCTCAATTTCAGTACACGTGTTTTTTATACATATTGGAACCTTTTTGGGAAATCTGACATAAAAAATCGAAAATTCTTTTTAATAAGGATCACCCTAAATATGACATATATATATATTGTTGATAGAAACATATTAGTATAATTTTAAGAAGTAGGTATGACAAAAAACAGTACTATTTGAACACAATGGTATAACAATTGTTTTAATCTATATTACAATATTGTGTATAATAGTAATATTTAAAAACGTTAACATATATACAGTAGATAGAATTAAAATAACAAACATTAAAATAGATTTATTTGAACATTTTGGGAATATACGATACTAATTCGATACTTTTTTTTAAAACAAAAGATGAACAAATTTGTTCATAAAAATAATTATGAACAACGGTTTATCAAATTCTGATAAAATAATAATAATTAGCTATATGTCTCATTCAATAAAACTTAAATGATTAGGTATAAATTATTAAAAATATAATGTTTATCTCATTGTTTCCTTTGATGAGAGAGGTGGTTGGTTGTCAGCACCTAAGAAAAAAGGCACAACAGATTCTACATTTTGATTGTAATTTCAGTATAAATATGAAAAAATTATATTAAATTAATAATTAGGTACTATTTAATTATATTTAATTATTTGTAAGTATATTGGTTAAATAATCAATGAATAAAAAAAAAGGTAAGATAAAGGGGACGGATGCAGCCACTGATGTAGGTGGAAAGTTAAGAAGGTAGGATATAGACGGGAATTTAATGCATTGCATACGAAAAAACAATTTTGAGCGGAGTTCATTTGATAGTGATGCTTTGTCAACAATACATATGTCATTTTATAGTAAAAAGAATAATTAAAAAAGCTTTGTATATTTTCTTTAATAAAATTTGTATAATATTGTACCGATTTTCCCAGTTTTCCCATGTTGTATTCCGGTTTTTCTAATTTGATGAGAAAACTCTTGATAAAATCGAAAAATGACTTGTTTAAAGTACCTCCCCATGGTGATTTCCTTTCAGAAAAAGTGCTACATGTAGAAATTCGATAAAGTCTTCTGGTAGAAAAGTTCCGGAAAGATAAAAAAAAAAAAATAATAATAAACATCATTGTAAAACCATAAGGTTCTTCGCTCTACTCAGAATCTAAAATATAAATTACTTCCTATAAGTTATTAAAATTGTTAAGTATACCTCATTATTTCCTTTGAAATGGTGATTGTCAGCACCTAAGAAAAATGGCCGCGTGACAGATTTTACAGCCTCTTAATTGTGATTTTAATATAAATATCAATAAATCATATTAAATCAATAATTAAACAACCTACTGAAGAATAGTGAAAAATACGTGAAAATATACGAGGGTTGTCCCAAAAGTAATGCACAGCGCGCTTTAGCTGTATTGCAATGTGATATTATCAGCTGATTTTAGTATCAGTTTGTAGCTTGAAGTCTAACCAACACGTGCGTTTTCAGTTTTAGTTGTTTTAGTAAAGTATGATGATGTGTGAGAGGGATAACGAAAGTGAGAACAATTCGTCGGCTCACATTTCTGTTTTTGAGCAACGCGCATACATTAAAATCGAAACGATTCGTGGTAAAACAGTGCCTGAAATTCATGCCGCGTTAAATGAAGTGTGTGGAACGGATACTGTGGATCGTAGTACAGTGCAAAGATGGCATCAGCGATTCCGTGATGGTCGTATAAGTATTGATAACAACCCTCGCTCTGGCCGACCCTCTACGGTTACTCAAGACAACACTAACGCGGCTATTCTCGCAACTCTACTCGATGAAGACCGACGAANAAAATGGTGTGTCCATATTGCACGATAATGCGCGGCCGCATATCGGAGCACCAGTCGTCGCTCTTTTGGAGAAATATGGATGGGAACGCCTCAAACACCCACCGTATTCGCCGGATTTAAGTCCCCCGGACTTTGATTTATTTCCAAAACTGAAGGAACCACTTAGAGGGATCCGTTTTCCCAACTTAGATATACTAAATAAAAAAGTGAGCCGAAGGATCCGTGAACTCAACAAAGATGGCGTCCTATGCGACATTCAAGCGCTCCCGAAACGATGGCAATCGTGTATAGACAAGCAGGGAGATTATATCGAAGGTCTATAATATTGTATTTAGTTTAAAATAAAAACTTATTTATTCAGAGCAAATTGTGCATTACTTTTGGGACAACCCTCGTATGAAAACAATTTTTTTTTTTATCTTAGATTCTGAATGTTATGATGAATGTATTGTTTTTACAAAGATGTTAATTTTTTTTTTTTTTTTTATTCTGTGTACACAAATTCTACCAGATATCTTGTTCCGATATGCACGTGTGGCACCATTTCTGAAAAGAAATATTATTTAGATCAGTGGTGTGCAACCTTTTTTGATCCACGGCCCTCTAATTACTTTAATTTTATGAGACGACCCTTCTTTCTAATAATATTACATAAGTGTAAAATACGTTTATATCTACTAGATGTATGCAATAATTTGTTTAACTTAATTTATCCAAATTTTTGCTTCCAAAACATAAAAAAAAATGATTAGAATTATTGTAATTATAATCAACATTTTAATTCTTTAAAATTATAAAATTACATGACTTAATGAGACCCTTGTGCTTGAATTTTAGACATGATTGAATTTAAATTGCGTTTGATACTTCAGACTGCCTCTCTTAAATCTGCTTCGACATTCAATCTCGAGCGATATTTGTTTTTTATTACTGCTAGTGTTGCAAAAGAAGGTAATTTCTGAATAAGTTTAAAAATACACATATACTGCGTGATTCAATGGAATTTATTATTGCAATATTAAGATAATAATATGACATATTACGATGATACGGCAACTGACAGTACACGAAATATTACGTTGTATAAAATAATATGTATATACAACTTTCATTTAGTGTAAAAATATTAGCGACCGCTTGTTGAAAATTTCGGGGTCGCGACCCCCAGGTTGCACACTACTGGTCTAGATGGTACATTAGGAAGGTAATTTTTTGATTTTCCCAGTGGTTTTCATAATATCCGAGAAAAGCCGTGATAAAACGGAAGAAAAACGGGGAATTTACCAAAATAATGCTTATTTTTATTTTTAATTGTGTTATTTTTTGTAATTCAGTTAAAAATATTCATAGAAACTTTAAATTTAGACAGAAAATTTAGGTATATATGTATTTTGCACATGACCGATGGAGTAAGACGATTCATATTATACGACGCCGTTTTCAAACCGGCTGTCCGTGAACACAATCGTGAGGTTTAATTTTCAATTACGAGATGAAAAAAACGAATGGCCAAGGTCGTACCTAGAAGGGGGTTTCGGGGTTTCAATCACCCCCACCGAAAATTGTTCGTGTTATATTATGTTTCGGGGAAATGATATTATTTCAGTCAATAAAATTAGAATACACATTTTTAGTTTAGAATCTCACAACCTCCCCCCACCTAAAAATAGAGGCCGAAATCCTTATTCCTGCTCTTTTTCCTGAAAATTCTCCGCAAATTAACTACTATCATGCCTACTCTAAAGTCACAGGTTTGTTGCTTCTTTTATTGGTTTGTTTATTGCTTCTTTTTAATTAATAATCATTAATCGATTGATAATTATTAAATTGGTCTACTAAATAACATAAAATAGTTGGAATTTCCTACATAGGTAATGTTGTATACGATAATTCACTCCTCACATTTGCACTCATACATAAAAAACCAAAAATCGTGTGGTCACAAATAAAGTAAGTACTTATTTTAAATAAATAATTTCACAACGAATTATAAAAAGTGTATGGACTGAGAATGGTCTGTAAATGGAAAAATCGAAATTTTTTCTCCGACCTAGAAGCCATACTTAAACCCAATCACGTATTATTTGTCACTGAGGTGATGCGGCAATCAACATAATAATTGCTTCGACAATCGACATTATTGGTATTTTAAAATTAATATAATTTTAGATATTTAGTTTTATACGAATACCTATTCCAAAAAAAAAAGAATCTTAAATCAATTTGGACCTTGGTTAAGTTTTATGCAGTTAGTGAAAGCGTTAATATTAAAACGAATTGATCTATTATGAAACTTAAAGGTAAACAGAAAAAATACCCTAACATTGATTTTTGCTAAAATATCCACAAATGAGTCTATTGAGTTCAAGCACTTTCTCCTAGGGAAAAGTGATTCTTCGCGGCTACACATATTTGACAAAAATACCACTGCCACGCATGTTTTCTCCGCGTTTTGTGCTGAAAAAGCTCGTTCACCCCAGTTTCAATCAAAAGTCTCAATGGTTCGAGACAAAACTCATCTTGAACGTGAAAATTTAAAAAAATTTGAATTAAAAAATATAGAAAAAACTTGCAATAGTTATCCTGATCCAATTGCATACACGCGTTACATTTTCTTTTACAACTAATAACATGTTTGTAGGAAAACAACCTAAACCTGTGAAGACATCAATATTATTTTTAATAAATTGGTATTCATTCCTAAGTGCTCTTACTCTTTATTAAATTAAATTTTTCACATAATTCTGACCCTAATATTGCCTCAATTTTTTTTTCACTTTTCCCATAAGGAACTACATCATTTATGACTAAAACTTTTCCTATTACTTGTTCATCATTATGAGTTTTACAATCTAAGTTAACTATACCTAATAGGTACCTATACTGAAAACATTTGTAATGCATTGTATAATTAATCATCACTGATTTTTAAAATTTTGTTTTCATGTCTATGACCTATGTTTGTCTTGGACAAAATGGACAATTAGCATGGTAAGCTGAATAAAAAAAATATATACATTTTAAATTTTATATTTCAACACTTTAATTTTTATATAATACAATGTGATAACATTTTGATAACTACTTTGATGCTGTTACTATTAAAAAATAGTTACTACCATAAATTTTCAAGCTCTTATTAGTGTTACATTTACAAAAAAGTCATTGGAATTCTCAGAAATCGTTTGACCATCATTTTTAACATTTAGGTTATATTGTTTATATCATACGACTATAACAATTTAGAATAATATTTGTTTAATGTAAGTAAATTATTAGATATTTAATTTATAATTCTAAATCTTTTCTTTGTACCTATCTACTGTAATCACAACTTTTAGTAGAAAAATATTATTAATGATTATTACCTCTTAATTCATTAGTTATGGGACTGAGCCATATAAGTAACTTAATATATATTATAATATTATATTACCTACTATTGGATACTAAAGATAAGCTACTTCAAAATTTGTATAACATTTCTATAAAATTGTTAGTCTAATAAAAACATATGGCTTTACTTGTTACATTAAATCCATAATAATTATATTAAATGTAGTAAATAAAAAATAAACAAATTAATGCGCCTGGAGTATTATGATAAGTGTATAATACGACTGGTTTCGAATTAAAAATTCATCATCAGGTATATCACAGTCCAAATGTAAAACGTGACTGAATATAAAAATTAAATGAAGGAATACATAGAAAAAAACAAAAAATGCATTTATTTATTTATTTTTTAATTACAAGTATTAACAATTTTAATAATTTTTTTTTTTACTTTATTATTTTATTACTAATAATATTGTTTCAATTTATTAAAACTAAAAAAATTCTTGAAATATAAGCCAGATTTGTATAGGCCACATTAATATTCTGATTAGTTATATTTTTCAAAAAATTACAGTGGTGTATTATTGTAAATTATTAATATTTATTATTAGTTTTAATATAATTTTTCATTTTCAATACCTATGAATACATAACTGTATAGTTTGTATTAGCTACAAAAATAACTTTGAATTAAATAATAATTGTTAAAAAAAGAATATTAACATAGGTAATTCCTATTATCAAAAATATAGATTTATTTATATTATGAATGATAAAAATCACAAAATCATTATAATGCATTAATATAGCCTCAAATATGAAAAAACAAAATGACTACAGATTTCAACTTCCTTATACCATTACGAATTGAAGTATATAATATCGAAGCCAATAAAATAGACAACTAAACTCTTTTGTAACATGAAAAATTAACTCTTTTCTTGACATAAAAAATGGAAATTTACTTTATTATGTTATGTATTTGTGATGATGAACTTATCCTATTGTTGTATATAATTAAATTTATTGAACTTAAAAGATAAAGTTGTACTTTTATAGAATAAAAATAAATTTGTATACATGAAATCTATTTTTATTTTATTTTTTAATAATTCGTAACTGTATTGAGTATGTTTTACATTTATAGTCATTTTACATATAGGTAGATAAATTCTTGATACAATTGATTGTTTTAGTCAAATCTCCCATTGGACTTTTAAGTTTCTTATACTATTTTTTAGATGGAACACAATTTCCTATTGACTCCACATGACATAGGCACATTAAATTATTTATAATATTGGTTCCCAGTATTAATTTTGTAAAGCTTAAAAAGGGATAAAAAAATTAAAGAATTGTTACATGATACATAATAAATAATAAGTTGTGTAGATCATAATAAACAGTATCAATAGCATAAAATAAACAAAAAAAAAAAAAAATAAAATACTAACTATCAGGTAATTAAAATATTGAATAAATTATTCAATATCGGGTAGGTATGTGTGGGTAATAATGTTGATTGAATACAATTGAATACAAGGACTATATTTATTCCTTGGTTAATGAACATCCTTCAACTAGTTGGGGACTGTACAAGGGCTTTGAGAATCCTTATCACGGTCTGCTCTTTTGAACATGGCCATCCGTGGGCACCGGGGGCATATGGACACTTTACGAGAGTTGAAACATTTCTTATGGTAACATGTCCCACAGTCCACACATCTAGTAACCAGTGTGAAGTCCCAAGGGAAAAGTATTTCTTCACTGGTACACATCTCACAAATAAAGCCTCTTGCTTGGCACAACTATACAACAACACATAACTAATTGTTAATAACAATATTTTTTCATAATATACATCTGATATTTGAAATAACTTTTGTTCTATTTAATATTTTTAAGTACTTTTTCTTGTAATAATTACTAGATTTTCCACTAATATTCCTTTATTATATAAATTTATATATTATTTTAATAAAAATAAAAAATTGTTTTTATAAAATCCAAGAAAACCATTTCATTAAATTTGTTAAAAAAAAATTAGTGTGACAAATATTTAATAATAATGAATTATTATTTTCTACAATTTGATAGTTTAAATTGTTTTTATTTCCACTACTAAATAATATCAATTGATTCATCTATGAAAAATAATGTTGTTAATGAGAAAATGGCTATCTTGAATTTTATAAAAACAATTTTTATTTTTAGATAAAATAAAATATAAAATGGAGATAATCATAATGCAAACCTATAACCATAGTGAACCTAGGATTTATTACATGAAAAAAAACTTTAAAATACTAAAAAATCAAAATTTATTTTAGCAAAAAAAATGTATAAATATAGGTAACCTGGCAATTGGTAATGTGCATTTTACAGGTGATAATTATATTTTTTAGTTTTTTACTAAGTTCTCCATTCTTGACATCCAGCATATTTTGGATTGAATACAAGTCTGGTTTGAGTATTATATGAGCTTCGAGATCGTCCAATAATTTTTTTAATCTGGCCATATTTAAACATACTTCATTAGTACAGAAAATGACACATAAAAGTTAATAAAGTTTCAAATTATTTTAGGCACAAATAAAATACAATATGTGAAAATTATTTAACAATTTTTTTTAAAACCTAATAACCAAATAACTCAAACCAATTAAAACAAAAATGTTTGTATTTTATTATTTATTTATATTACTTTTTATTATTCATTTTTTAGCTATACTTTGTATGACTAAGGTAAAATAAGAAAATCAAATATTAGATAGATAAAAAGAGCTTAAAGGTCATTAGAATTATATAAACATGAAATGGTGATGGATGGGAAGATGTAGAGGATGAAAATATTGGTAGTGAAGAAAATGTATGTACAGTATTGAACCAAATACTTGAAGGACATAGGTTGATTAATAAATCATGAACAATCAAGCTACCTGTTGGCGTATCGGCACGTGATAATAAAATCCTTTATATAGTATAGTTGCAGCCGATATGACCGGACTTGATCCAAAGCACGGGCACGTTTATATAGTGTTGAGTTTAAATCTGCAATGTCAAAGAGCGGATCAAACCCTATTTGCTCAAGCAGGGCATAAGAGAAACTTGACACTGGATACCTGTTAAGAGAAAAAAAATATTTAATGTCATGTGCATAACAAAAGTCTGATAGCATGTACTTTGAAAAGTCCCACTTGGCAATAATACGACCAGGTATGACTGTCTTTTTATCTATGTGGCAACCCGTGCAAAAGTACCGACCCAAGTAAAAGCAGTAACGAAACTTTGAAGCATATTTCACTGCCACATTCATGGCACAACCCGCGCACCTATAATTTTGATGTTCCATTAGCTTTTTCCTGCTGTAAAGAAAAAATTTAAAACTTTTATTAGTTAATAGGTATAAGTACACTTTAAAATAAAAATTCTTAATTGGTTATTGGGCATTATACTAGCCAAAATGCAAATTATTTGAGAGCAGATGTTATGGATTATCAGTTAGTGATATTTTTAAGCAGATTCTGAGCAACAAGAAATTATGGATTTTACTAAGAGTTTTTTTTTTGTCTGTCAATAACATTTTTACATAAATCTTGCTCCAATTTTTATTTTATTCACTCTATCATTTTTTGATTTCACTTATAGTTTTCTTAAAAATTGTAAAATGTACATAATAGCGAAATTATTGTAGATAATTAATTTTATTTTTTGTAATTTAGTTAAAAATAATTTTAAAGACCAATAATAATCACAAAATAGGTACTAAGATATATTAGCTCTTTTAAAACATTCTGGTAACTTTAAAAATAATTTCAGGCATTTGAAATGTTCAAGTTTATTTATTTTTTCTTTATTTTCTTGCTGATAAAAATCTTTTAACAGACCAAAAATGATTAAAAACATAACACATGGTTTATCATGCATGTGACAGGAAATTTTTATCGTGCTATATTTTCAAGGTGCATTAAATTTAATGTGCATGCAATATTTTTCTAAATGTTACACATTAATTTTAATAAATTAAAACAAAATAGGGCAAATTTACAGCATTCACATTCCATGTTCCTAATCAAAACTTCAATTAATATTCAAAAAGAATTTCCCGTGATGTAGTAGTTTCTTTTATAATCATTAGGGTTTAGGACTTATTGCACTTAAATTTAACAAAAAAGCACTTAAAAATGTCAGAAAAGCCTTGAAAGAAACACAAGCAAATATTATTAGACCAAATGGTAGAAGGGTTTAAATTTCTACTGTCTAATGACTAAATTAATAGATATAATTTTATAACATGATACAAATTATTTTTAAAAATGTATTTTATTTAAATAAAATTGTATGTATATAAAAAAAATAACTTTGGGTTAATAATTTGTGTAGCGCTAGAAATGTGTGTTTAATAAGTTAAAGCCGTTAAAGGGTGGAGATTAAATCTATCATTTGGTGTAATAATATTTACTTGAAGTGCTCTTTTGAATGCAATAAGTTTGCATTGATTGATATTAATTGAGCCCTAATAATCATTTAAATTTTTAATTTTAACGAAAAATTTTAAAGAAAATTTTAAAACATATTTGATCCAACTTTGCTCAAAATTGTTTTTCGTTAGCGATGATTTAATGGCGCATACAAACATAAATTAAATACATCTAAGTATACTGGTTTCCCAACTTCTCATCTTCAACACAATCACATCCCAGCCCAGGCTGGTTACAGGAGAGGGAGTAGGAAGACTGAAATCTATTAGTATTAGGTAGGTACTTTAAAAACAGCACTTAGGTACTTATACTAAATTATATAACCTATAATTTGTATTTTAAAAATACATTTTTAACAGATATGGAAAGTGAATTGTTTAGCCTCCTTATCCAATTCTTAGATTCATCCTTCCCATCAACAGTATCAGCTTTTTTTAATATTATGTAACCATTTCTTGAAAACAATAATTGCATATTTGTGTTTATATTTATCTTATAGCATATACAATTTAATTTCATATTTTTATGAATGTACACATGCTGTTAGTTTTAATCACTTATCTGTTATTTAAACCCTCCTCCACCCCGTGCTTTATTGCTGACTAATCAAGCCTAGTTAAGGGTCAAATATAATTATACATTTTGTAAAACAGTTTTTGTGAACGCACATTGGAGATGGGTGACAGGTAAAAATGATTTGAGGTCTTGGGGGTGCCCAATCATTAGTCCCTCGTAATTTGGAAGAACCCTTCAGATCTTCTGGTTCCTTTGGATTTACAGGCCAACTTGATGGCAACGGTAAGATCTAAAACAATGATAGCGTTAATATTACATGTTATACAGCAAATGATGTTAAGTTTTTTTTCCCCTTATGCAAGTATACTAATTTTAATATTGAATTCGCCTTTGCCTACCTGTTGCGGAGCATCAGCTTCAGATATGAGCCATTGAACATTGACATCAACTAACCAATTATTTTTGTTGGTGATGTGACGGATTAAGGACAGGGCAACACTCTCTGCTGTAACCATTGAACATCCTCCGGGTGACTGGATGCGGTCCACATTTGAGAACAAAGAGTTCACCGAACAGTTGCTCTCACTGTCTAACTCAAAATCATCCATGTCATCTGTTGTTGTGGAAAGGCTAGAAGTAGTTGAACAGTAAGAAGATGTCAGCGAACTCATCGTTTGGTCTGTGAGCGTAGCTAAAAAATTAAGAGAAATTATACAGAAAAGTTCACCAACAACCAGAACATTTTTCAGTATCAATAAGTTTTTAACAGGTATAATTTATTGTAGTTATCAATATTGTAATTTATTTATTTTATAAAAGTTACATTCAGTTAAATAATCAGAGAATGAGCTGGCTGTATTCATTTGTTCAATCTCCAATTTTTGTCTCCGCCAACGGATTCTCTGTTTCAATTGATTTATTTCTTCATCACTCTCTTCAATTAGTTTATCGGAAAAGTTAAGTTTTTGATTACATTTTATCTGAAAGTACAAGATTAGTGTGAGAACATTTTCACTTTATAAAATTTTCTCAAATATATATGAAAATAAAAAAAAAATGTTATAATTTTAGAAAAATATTTTAAATATTTTTAAGTACCACCAGTAGAAAAATTTGCAAAAATGTATTTTTACACTATAAATGCACTTAATTAACATCTTTAATTATATACTATAGATGGAGCCACAGTGTATTAAATCAATACAAACAATTTTGCTGAATTAGGTATTTGATGTAAGCATGCTTGATGCAACTCCTTGCAAAATTATCAATGAATAACCGAATGAATGATATGATACATATGTAATAAGTTACATTGCGCATGCACATATCAAACACCTAATTCACTGTAGCTAAATCCATAGTATATGATCTAAGTTAAAACCTCACTACAAAATATAAAATATTCTTAGATAAGTTCTTAGATTTAATAAATTTTAAAATCGGTAGTAATTAATTTCAAAATCAGTTTCAAGGTGTATACTTATTTATAGAAACACTAATACAGATTAAGCAATAAACAATAACATTAGGTAGTTAAAATACAAACTTGTTCGATAGTACTGATGATTGCTTCAGATATTTTAAAATGCGCATTTTCACGATCAAGTTCAGCATTAGCTTGAACAAATTGTCCAGAAGATAAAAACCTGAATAAATCTTGTCCAGGGAAATATTCAGGAACTAATCCAGACATTCGCATATAATTAGAAGATGGAAATTCGTCATAGGGTATTAATGTTCTGGATTCATCAGAGATGATACTTAGAGTGTCATCATCATGATCTGATTCTTCCAAGATTCTCAGTGGGAGGGTAAACAACTTCGACCTATGATTTATTTGTTTGGGTAAATCACTATGGCTTATGTTTAATTTATTCTCATTTAAAAAATCACTATCATTTAAATCAACATTGTCATTTAAAAGTTGTTCATAATCAATGTTCAATAACTCTGGAGGTGAAATATAAGACTTTTTCACAAACTGTGTTGAATCAAAATAGTCCTCTGGTGTATAGTCAGTTAATAGCGTGTTAAAACTCATTGATCTTTTGAGTTTAGGTCGATCAAATATTTTATAAATGTCTGGCCAACTTTTATGACATTGTCTTTTATAGAAATGTTTGATTTTATACTTTGATGAATCATTATTATATTCAATGCCAGTGTATCTATCATTATTATTAGCCAACTTAAACTTTAAAGGGTTTTTTAATTTTTGAACATATCCAATATTTGTTTGTTTATATGTTGATTTTGGCAAAGTAGTACAGTTTTCACTTTTTGATGAATAGTTCAAATACTAAAAATCCAGTTTAATTAATAAGATTAATAAACTATTAATTAATTAGGCATCTAATTAAAAACTCCTTACCAATTTTGGATCGATTTTTAACAATAAGGATGGTTGATTTAGTTCAACAACTTGTAAACATAGTAATACTGCATCAGTGTATGCTTTTTGGCATAAAAAAGCTTCTGGTTTATAATATTTTTTAAGATGATCTTTATCAGACAACAACCAACTAAGTATTTCAGATAATGTGTGATTTTCAAGGCTAGAAAATTGTAACACAATCACATTAAGTTAATTAGTAACCTTAATCTAACATAATAAACCAATATTTTGAATGAAAAAATGTATTTAATATTAATTTATTAAAAATGTGTAGAGAGCTTAGTTTTATTAAAACTAGAAAACTATAAAATATGCATTATACAACAAAAGTATTGAAATGTACCTACCTATACTTATTTTTTAACTGTGTGATTAAATAAACCAATAGAAAATAAAAAAATGCTACTAAAAATACAATGTATATATCTAATGGTCTATTATGAATTAACTTAACGTTTTTCTCCTAAAAATCATTTACCTACTGTAGTGGTTCTTAACCTTTTTTGAATGCCAAGAACAATTAACATTTTATATGATTTTTGCAGAATACAGCAGTAAAATAAAACAGTATTTATATACATTTTTTAAATTTATAATGTATTAAATAATACATAATATATAGTTCAAAACAGTAATAGCACAAAAATAAACCAACAAAGCCTAAAATGATTCTATGCGTAACCTAACTGTTGAGTTTTAGAAATCAATAAAAGTTAAAATGTTAAAACAATGAAACTAAAAATTTAGTTTACTTTATAGATTTTATTTAAAACTGATTTTAAAATTATGAAGGAACACTTATTCTAAGTTCATGGAACACATGCGTTTCGTGGAATACTAGTTAAGAACCACTGATCTACTGTAATAAATATTTTGTTACAATCATCAAACAATTTTATGGAAAAAAAATCAAATATTATGTACACATTAATCTATTAGTTTTACTAAGATGTGTGTTTTTAAAAGTATAAAGTATATTCATAACGAAAAAAATTGTATACTTAAAATACATTATAATACTATCTGTTACATCAGAACAATGAAATTGTAATGTACTTACCTTTTATAAATCAATAATGAAAATTTATCTAAATGTTCATTTTTAGGACACACATTTTTATCAGGCGTAATAAAGGATGTTATTGTAGGATGAAACCAATTTAATCCTTCAAGAAAATACCAAACAGCATCATTATCCTAAATAAATAAACATAAATAAAAATTATTACTTAATTGAATTATTTTTAAATGCAATCAGAATAGCAATTGGTATGCTTAATAAATTTGATTTAAACATGAAAAATATTTATATTTTTATAAGTTAATTTATGGTAACCACACATTCTAAAGAAAAATGATCTACGTAGTCATTTTAAAAAGGCGGTATTGACATATATTGAATTCTTCTTTTGATTCTCTTTCATCCCAAATTTAATTTTGAAAGTGAGAAAATAATTTAATAATAATTAAATCTCAACTGAAATACAAGCATTAAGGAGAATTTATTTTATTAAATTAAAATATCAATACAAAAAATAAACAAACGTTAAGACTAATGTGAATGTTTTCGATGAATATAATTGTATTCATTATTTACCTAACCATCCCTAAATAATTTGGGTGATGATGATTTTACATCAATAAATAATATAAATATTTTTACTTTAATTTAAAAGAAAATTTTAATAAATTAAAAAAATTATATTTAAGTATACATTTGATTAAGTAATATATTATACTATTATAGGTGTCTACTTACATTTGAATTTGTTGGTAAACATCCATGTTTAAATATATTCATCATTATTGAGTGTAGTCTATCTAAGCCACCACATACCTCCCAAGTATTACTTTGACCTGACATAGATAAACATTCTACCGTAGACTTCAAACTGTCTAATAAAAGTTGCAAGTCGTCTTCCATCTAACTGAAATTCTTTTATAAACGTTTTGATCATAAATTATACATTGGTAAGTTTAAAATTATTATCTTTATAAAAACTACTTACTAAAACAATGATTATTATAATATGGTATTGAGCTTAGTATATAATTCGGAAAAGCTTAATAACACATATAAATTGATTATTACCAATAATCTTAATATATAAAAGATTTTTTTAAATAATATTATATTATAAAATATAAATTATTTGAAACAAATTTAAATAAATTAAAAATACATATATGTAAAATATTATAATTCGATATGTAGTGTATATTTTACACTGGAGTAAAAAAATATATTTAAATAACTTTTTTGAACAAAACTAAATAATGTAATATTATCAAAAATAAACAATTGATAATGCAATAATTTATTAAATTCGTAGTAGAGATAATTGATAAGACCACGGACAGGAAATAATAAAATTATGGACGGAACACCCAAGCCTGTCACTGTAGGTTGATAGCATTGGTAAGTTTACGTTTGAACATACGTATAAGCACGGTCTTAGAATAATATAAAGTATAAGTATAGTTGATAGTGTTGAATGTTGATACAGTCATGATAAATAGAATCATAGTTTTGCCCATTCTTTGAAAAAAATTATTATTTTTTTAATTTCAACAATAATTATTTTGATAATATTGACACATGAAGAACAGCTCTGCTAAATACTAGTTTAAAATGTATTGTGCAGAGGTGCATAACACATTTGAAATACATATTTTAGAATATCTTTTCCTCCAAATAGTTCACTGTTTGAACATCTAAAACAAAGAACGGTCATTATATGGCAAGTTCAAATTAAGTACCTAATAACTATATGAATGAAAACTATGTTGGACAAATTTATTTCAGAAAATACATTTATATTTTGTAGGAATATTTTTTTGTTGAATAACAGGTAGGTATGTGAATATACTGCTCTTTTATGGGATCTGTCAATACAAATAACAATCAAAATTTCCGAAATATTTCCTGTAGACATTTTTCCCGACCAGTCGATTTTATAGAATACAATTTCTCTGAATATTTTATTTTTTGAAAAAAAATAATAAAATATGCAATGATCATTTTTTGAAAAGTTTCATAGTACTTAAGTACAATTTTATCAAAACTGTATCTAGATTTCAACTATTATCACGAAAGGATTAAGAGAGTAGCGCTATTAAGACTATAACATAAATCTATAATTGTTGTATAAATCATTTTGTTTTTCTAAACAAATAATGCCAAGCATTTGATTTTCTTTAAAATTTAAATCACTATTATGTAAGTTCTAAACACTGACTGTTCCACAAATTATAATTCTGGTTACTAGTTATGAAATATAAATTCCTCATAAAGACATTCAGTTTTACGTAGGTTCTTTAGTTTTATTATTTTTAGTTTTAAAATCTCCTCGTAACGATTGTCCTTACAAGTTACATTTAACTCTAAATACACATTATGGTGTTCAGCTTTACGGTTTTCCAACACATAGTCCTCCGTATTGTGCTATTGTGAATAATAAATCCTCACTTCACCGAAGGTACCTATTTAAAATTTTTAACAAAATCAGTTACAGAAATGATAAGTGATAACAATAATGCGTATACAATATCTAGTAATATGACCATGCACGATTTAAAATTTCATTTTGATAACTCCAAAGACAATATAAAAATCATCTATATTCTATGGACAACTCCTATAATGGTAACGGTTAAGTTTGGGTCACAACAATATACCATAGAACCATGTACCATGGTACATGATCTACACGGTTTAGCATTATTGTGTGACCGCGGCTTTAGTGCGCATGTTCGTGGTGCTTCGTGACACACTGTTTTCGTAAAGCCGTGTATGAGTGTGAACCAAACGGTTCCGTCAGTTATAATATGGTAGCAATAATTATGTATTGTTAAGAAAAATAATTGCTGATACACGATAACGCTATTTTTGTGTTTGGTTATGTTCAATGGTTTAAACAAAATGCCAATTGTTTGCCGTTCGCTGTTTTTACCGGTATCAAGAATTTTTTAAATTTAAACCATAATTGAAAACTGGAAAGGTATGTAATAGTATTATTATATTTTATTCCAACATTTCCAACAGTGTATCGTTGAGCTCGTTAATGCAAAAAAACTTGACTGACTAATATAAACCTAACCTTGTAGACACTTTTAAAAACTGATTTGTAAAATAGGTATCTACACTACCTACAGTGAAACCCCCAAAACTTTAATCGGGAAAGCGTTTTATGTGGGAATTGAAAAATTAAGCGATTAAAATATATCGAGTTTAATTTATTATTATATTTTTTTTGTATTAAAAAAGAAATTCATTATTTATACAATTCATGTATGTATTTTTATTATTATATTGTGTTAAAAAAATTAACTATATTTGTTTGCCTAACATTCTGACAATGCGTTTCGGCAAAAAACTTTTCTGTTTTGTTCACGTAATCCAACATTTATTCGGCATTTTCTACAGAGGATAATACTTTTCGAATTTCTGTTAGGTGTTTCTATTTTTATATTCACACAATTAGTAAAAGTTATCGTAATCTGCTGAACAAAAGAGCGTCTTATCCGATTATATAGAAAAAAAACTGAGCATTTTAACAGGTGATTTTTTTTTAATAAAAACAATATGTTATTTAAATGAAGTATTTATTTACTATACATTTATGAAACTATTTTAGGTATAGAATTTTCAAAGTGCAAATTCTATTTCAAATGACTATTCAATAATTTTTAGATAGGTCATTCATTACAAGGTAGGCACTTAATTTAGTCCACACAGACTTTTCAATCTTGTACTTGAAAAAACTATTTTCAGTCATAAATATTATCACATTTTTATACAATTATGAATTTTTTTTTTTTTCAATTTTTATGTTAAGCATTTTTGTATTTCTAATGCTTACTTTTTAAATAGGTACCTAACTATTATCTAATCGTTATAATTTATTATTTTTTTTATAGTGTTTAGGTATTTAAAAGAAAATGGATATCGATCCATCTTGGGATGTTGACAAGCACAAGGGCGAACATGAAAACGAAACACATTGGGAATATAGACGTAAATTTTTAATAATGTACAAACATAGCTATCCCGAAGACCGTTTAGTAGGTTTATCTCAAACTTTTATCAATATTGAGTTTATGGGATGCAAGTAAGTTCAAATATTGTTAATATTATAATGTATATTTGTATATATATATATATTAATAAAAGAAAACAAATTAATTTATCTATTTTTAAAGGTATAATCAACCGGTTATGGAACTTATTGAAAATCTATCTGATTGTTTAGTTGGTGGTTTGAGAGAAAGACGCAAAAAATTATTTCAAACTAAATTTGTAAAAGCATCAAGTGATGAAGGTAATTTTTATGAGTAGATTTTTGTAAATAAAAAGTATATTTGTATTTAAAGTTTCAGGAAATAATCAAGCTGCAAGCATACAACCCATCGATTCACCATATCATCCTGAATATATTTTGCCCGGTTTTATAATAATAGAAAATAATATTGAAGATCCTATTCAAATTTTAGAACGTTCATGTTCTTATGCTGGTTATGCTATACCAGTTATTAAATACGAACAAATTGCACCATCTAATTTGTAACTAATACATTACTATTCTATATTAATTTTTAAAATTAAATGTTAGGTAACATATTCATTTGTTTTAAAGTGGCGGAAAATTCAGTGTATGAAATTTTAAGGTTTTTGGCATACCTATTTTGTGAAATTTTTAAAATCCTGAGTGTAGTGAGTAAGGAATGTATTTGTTTTACTATAAGTACATTCATATGATGATGTTAAAACGGTTTGAAATTAAATTGGTTAAGCATTTATTAAACAAATTTATCCAAATATCTACCATACTCGTTTGTATATTTCCAAAATGACCATGGATATGAAAATGGTTTAGTGAACATTTTGTAAACTTATTTATTATAATTTTGTTATCTTGTTCAAATTGAAACAATTAAACTATTAATAAAACTACCAAATAACAAAGTAACTCGCAAAATTAAAGTATCTATAAATAGCTTGAAAATGATTCAAACTTTTTGAAAATTTTACAACTCTAGAAAGGCAAATATAAGTTTTCTTTCCAAATTTCAAGTGTATGTTTTTAACTGAATTGCAATAAAACAATACATTTTAAATAATTAAATCATTATTTTTGATAACTGTCCCATTCTTTCTAAGTTTTTATATTGGTTTTGCTCTATTATTAAAAAAAAAAACTGGAAAATTAAACTTTCTCTAAGAGAAACTAGATCCAAAATGCAGCCAAAAGGTCCTTGTCATTTCTAAGAGAAAACATAAGTTTTTCAAAAATGTTAAACTATTAAATTGTAATGACATAAATATTTTACTGGTTATCTCCATGTTTTTTTTTTTTTGTGAATTAATGATTTTGGGCTGTCAACTGCTAGTTGTAGTGGTGTCTTTGTTATCAGTTATTGTATGTGTAAGTGTGAAACATTGGTACTATTTATTTGTACCCGTTATCATTTTAAAACCGACTAGACTATAAATAAAATAATTATTAATGAGACTTTATTGAATTATAAAAAATCATTCCCAAAAATAGTATAAACAGAGAAAGCCACACCACACAAATTTCATTGCTTTTGTTCATAGAAATTTAATTTATACATTTTATCCTACTTTTCCAGCTTTGCCAAGATTTGAAAAATAGCTATGAATCTATTAGTTTAACTATGTTATGTGGTTTTTTTCTATAGGTAAACAAATTTTCTACCAGAAATATTGTTTTGCTGTATAAAGTATTTTCTCAAAGCATATTTTATGTAGTTGGTTCAGTAAACTGACCATTTTTTAATTTTTCAAGGGGTTTTTATAATAATTGAGAAAAAATGTTAAAGGTACTCTATGGCATTGCTGATTTCGTTATTTTTAATTTGTACATTTAATGTTTTTTACCAGAAATATTGTTCCAATAAAAAAACCAACAAGAGACTTTTTTTGTTGCGCTTTTAATCTAGTTAGTAAGTTATTCATTTTTAATTTTCCATGTAGGTTTGTTTAATAATGGAGGGAAACTGGAAAAAAAAACAGGAAAATATATGAAAATAATTCTTTTAATATTTCCAATTTTGTTTTTTGTTGTTATTCAGTTAAAAATATTCATAGACTTGAAATTATGACTTAAAAATTATATTTACTTTTTCTAATATTGGTAAAATTTTCAAAACATTTGTGATATTTTACAATTTATGTAATCAACTGGTTTTAGAATATACAGATAAAACTTGTCATAAAAATTAGCAACATGCAAAAATGAGTTATATGGGAAGATTACAGATGTTACCACCTATCTGTCTACATTATGATACACTACTATCTCCAGCCAAAAATTATTTCCAAAATGTCTTATTACTCAGCATAAGTTATAATATAAATATATAAATATTTATATTATAAAACAAATCTTAATATTTCATTACTACAAATTTACAATTTGTATTGTTTTTACAGTAAAGCTGAACTTTATATACAAAATAAATTTATTATAAATGGTATGGGGACCAAGAAAAAACTGTCTCGCAAAGATGTTTTCAAAAATTGCTATGAATATTTAAAACCCATTTGTTTTACTATCAAGGTAAAAGTATATAATCCTACCATTAATTTCTCTAATTTTATAATTTAATATTCTTAATTTTATACATTTTTAGCTGAAGAATGAAAACTCAAAAGAACAGCAAATGATTATAGATAAAGATGAATTGGTAGATTTTAATACAGAAACAGATCTTTCCACTGATACAACAATGATAAACAATGGTGTTGGCTATAAACTATTAAAATTGATGGGTTGGAATGATGGTATTGGATTAGGCAAACATAATCAAGGTTGTGTTGATCCAATTCAGTAAGATACAATATTTTTTTAATTATTTTTATATTTGGTTGACATAATTTGTTACACAAATAGAAATTCTTTCTAGATGGTTGCCTAAATATTATATTTATTTTAGTGTTTCTACTAATTTCATATGTAAATTTGATGACAATTTGTATACCAATTAAGTGAACTAGTGTTAATTAAAATAATAATTATTATTTATATTTATATTATATAGGATTATCAAACATCCAAAAAATGTTGGATTTGGTAATACAGATTTGTCAAGTGAAGACAGTGCTAAAGAAAAACGTTTTCAAAAAAAATTTCAAAAACACTTGTATACATTTGTGAATAGTTCAAAACAGAAACTTTCCTTTTCTACTGAACTGACAAAAGAAGAACGTCAAATTGTTCACACGTATAATATATTATAAATTAATATATATATTTAAATATTTATTAATCACTTTTTATTTGTATTAGGAGTTGCATGAGATATAATTTAAAGGCAAAAAGTTATGGACAGAGTGAAAACAAATTAATGGTTATATCAAAAAAACCAAATTCTGGAGACATTTTTAAAGAACTCATTAACATTAGTGGCCATGAAAATGATTATTATAGTTTAATAATTCCAACATCACTACTTAATGTAACTTTATAATTTTTACAATTAAACAGTATATTATTCCATTTAAAGAATTTATTATTATTATTTATTCATTTATATAAAAAAGTCTAAAATTTAAATTATAAAACAATACATCTAATTAAACCATTAAGTCTAATGTTTATTTTTTTAATTCTATTTTTTCTCTTTTTGTACTTATGGTTAAAATTTATTTTTAAATAAAAACCATTAAAATTATTATTTAGATTTTAACCCAATAAAGAAATATTTGATGTTAACATATGGTACCGCCAGGATAGCAAGTGGTCAATTATTTTAATAAATAAGTTTTTCATTATCATATGGGTACTTAAGAACATAATGGGTTAATAATCAAGTTAGGAAAACCTGATCTATCTTCAAAGTTCCTAGTTTCTAATCATATTTTAAACAATAAACTATAATTTCATTTATAATTATGAAAGCATTTGGTATATTATGCTTATGTATCGAAACCTAAATAGATTAAATATCTCAATTTGTAAATAGTTTACAGGGTATTTCTATAATTTATAAATTATATTGTTATAGCTAATTTTTAATAATATAAATTTATATTTAAATTAATAATAATATTATGATATGCAGGTTATAACACTATGATCTGACATGTGAAATAACTTTGGTTCTGTTCAATATTTTTAAGTTATTTCTTATGATAATTATTTAAGCATTGATCTATGATCCCTCTATATATATAAAAAAAAATATATACAAAATAGAGAAATTATTACAAGAAATATATTTTATCAGAACTAAAGTTATTTAGGGTGTCAGATCTATGTGATACACCCTGTATATCTCCTTGTCAATCAAATAAACTACTGTAACTATGTACTAGTTACTATGTAGTAGTATTATTTTATATTTTACATATTTATATCTATACAGATAGACATTAGTGATATTAGGTGTTCTAAACTTATGTTTGAAACCTGCCCTAACCGGGCAGGTTAGAGTAATGTTAGTATCCTACCCTAAAATATTAACTAATTGTGCTTCTTAGATATAGATTGTATATTACAAATAAAGGAAAAATATAAAATGTAGAAGTAATTATCATTTTTATTTTACAATTTTGATGTAGTGTTAATTAATTTTTTAAGAACTCTTCTTAAAATTTTACCGCTTGGATTTTTGGGTATACTATTCACAAATTGAACACCACCTCTAAGACGTTTTTGTGCTGACACTTGCCCTAATAGGTATGTAAACAATTTTAAGTTAAACAAATGAATTGATTATTTATAGAAAAAAATCAAATAAAAAAACTCAACTGTGCACAAAAAGTACAACATCTTCCTCACTAAGAGTAGAATTTTGAGATTTAACTATGAATGCCATTGGTAATTCTCCAGCACTGATATTCGGGAGTCCTATTACAGCAGCGTCTTCAATATCAGGATGAGTTAACAGCAATGCTTCTAATTCTGCTGGGGCAACCTACAATACAATAAGAAAAAAATAAATATTAATACCACCAAACTGTTGATTTCTGAGAAAACATTTTTATTTTTATTTTACCTGATATCCATTATACTTTATGAGTTCTTTGAGTCTATCAATAATATAAAAATTATAATCACTATCATAATATCCTATATCCCCTGTATGGAGCCAGCCTTCTGCATCAATCGTCGCGGTGGTTTCTTCAGGATTTTTATAATAACTTTTCATTAACATTGGTCCTTTGAAACATAGTTCACCACTTTTATTTATTCCTAGAGGTTGGCCATTGTCTAAATCTATCACCTACCAACATTAAATAAAAATTAAATTTAGATACATTTAAAATTTATTATAAATTAAGCTTACCTTTCCAGCCATGCCATCAATCAATTTACCAACAGATCCATTGACAGATGCTTCTGTATTTTTGTCATGCATTGTTACCAGAATAGATAATTCAGTCATTCCATATCCTTGTAAAACCTTTATATGTTTATTTTTTCCTATTCTCTTAGCTACATCATTTTGAACATCTTGGGATAATGATGCAGCTCCACTATATATTGCATTTATACTTGATAAATTATATTTATCTATTAAGGGGTGTTTAGCGAGAAAAATCATTAATGGTGGCACAGCAAATAAAACAGTTATCTATATTGAAAAATAAACAAAAATCTACCATTAATATTTTAAAATTATATTAAAATTAAATTCATTACTTTTTGAGCTTCAATAGAGTTTAAAAACAAGTCTCCATCAAAATATTTAAGAACTACGAGTTTGCAACCAATTGACATAGTCATGCAGATGACTAAAAATCCATAACCATGAAACATTGGCACCAAGCCCATTAGAATATCAGAATCATTAGAAAATGGATTAATGTTATTACTTTAAATAATACAAAATAATTGTAAAATATTATAACAATAATTATTAGATAGATATACTAACTTTAATATAGAAGTCAAGAGGTATATAGATTTGTGAGATAATTGTACACCTTTAGGTAAACCAGTAGTTCCACTTGAAAATAGTATTACAGAAGTTTGATTGTTAATATAATTTGTTGGTACAAAATTATTTTTTTCATAAGCCATACGTTCATTACATATTATATTGATAGGACACACGTATTTAATAAAATTGAACTGTTTAGCAGTATTTCTCACAATGTCGAAGCCCATTTTTGAAGTAATCATTAATTTTGGTTGAGTAATATTTAGTAAATGTTCTAATTCATCTAATAAAAAACAATATTTTTAATTGTACTTACACAAGTTTTATATAAGTTAATCTAAGTGATACTTACTTGTATTATACATAGGATTGAATAGTGCACAGACTCCTCCAACATGCCATACTGCCAATATTATTGAAGGATACCAAATTGTGTTTTCACTAAATATTCCAACTACATCAGATTTTTGTATTCCACATTCATATTTTAACCAGCTAGCAATATTAAAACTTGCATTCAAAATATTGTTAAATGTAAAAGATGATCCATCGTGAACATCAATCTGCCAATTACAGAATAATTAGAGTAATTTGGTAAGAGAAAGACATATTAGTAGTAAATAAACAGATAAATTTAATTAAAATAGATTACATGTTATAATTTTTTAATACAACCAAACATTAATGTTGGTAAATTTATAATTATTATAAAATCAATATACCAGAGCAATCTTATTTCCAAGTTCGCTGAGCAGTCGAATAAAGTACTGACTCAAGTTAGATTTGGAATCTAATAGGTATTTGGGAATGGCTGATCCGTATAAAACATTATCTTCTGCATGTACCATTGTTTATCAACTACATGTAAACAAATTTAAAACATGTAATTATTGTCAGGTACCGATAAAATTATTTTAAAACAAGTAATCCTATTGAACAAAAATTATTAATAGCTTTTTAAAATAAATACCTAATTTCCTAACATTAAAAAAAAACAATTAGTATGTATAATCATTATTATTGGAGAAAATAAAATATTCCAGCAAAAGTCTACAGTTACTAAATACAATATAAGCTAAGCAATTACTAAATAGATTACTAAATAAACTAATACTATCTTTTTGGTGACTTATTGCGAGTACTGTATAAGTAAACTAATATAAATATAGGAATTACAATATTTCATAAAATTACCTTTATAAGCGTTTATATATAATACAATAGATAAAAATATAAGTAATACAAGTAGGTATTAATGTTTAAATGTATAACTTAGAAATTTATCTGTTCAACAACTTTGGACAGCAAAATTAAAGAGTATGTTAAATAATATGCTAATATATTTGGTCAGTTGCACAGTATGTCAGTATATATTATAATATAAATGTACAACACAATGCTTCTCTGTACATATTAACACTTAAAAATCATAATTATTAGCTAGTAGAACTTTAGTATTTAAGTGAGTTGAATGACCCAATATCATATTTTGATAAACAATTATTATCAACGCACTATCTAATATTATCAAGAATATTATTCGTCAAGACACTGATTATTTGATTATTTATGATGTAAATCAATGATCAAGATTAGTTTTCCACGTAAAATAATTTTAAAATAGTTTTTTATACAAACCACGATTAACAATATATATCGCCTTAATTTTTGTTTAGCTCCCACTCGATTTTTTGGGTTTTTATTTTTCAAAATGTGTATTTTTGGGTGTACATTAAGAATATAAAAAAAAAAATGCGAACGAATTTCGTTTGGAAGTTATGGGGGAAAACTTTATGAAGTTCGGGGTTTTCCGTTTCGTGTATTTCTTAGTTAGAATTTAACATTTTCAACATTTTTTCTTCTAAGATGTGTGTTTTTTAATTTCTTAATCTATTGGTATAATCAAAACTTACCTTTCATACTTAGGTACTGTTATCAAGGCTGAGCAAAAATTTTAAATAAAAATTGTCTACTGATTGAACTAAGTTAAATACTAACCATAATTAATTATTAACTTTTTAACCCGAGTTAAGTTCAAAAATAGATTTTTTATTTTCATATTTTCAAATAAAAACGATATTGGTCAACGATACAAATACGGAAGACTCCGTACTTTATTTACGTCACCACTGTCGTGTCAATTTATCTGACGCAGACTATGAAACGAACATTTCCCTGACCAATTTTAAAATTTTGACATTTTCGGCCCAATCATTAGTATCTCATCAGTATTGGGTATTAAAATAAAATTTTCACTATTACCAATAAGACTGAAAAACCACTAGCGGTAATAACTCAAAAATCTGATAAAACTATAAATCAAAATTTCTTGACTTTTTAATAACATAGAATTTGCTGAATCAAATCTACTACACTCACACATTATTAAACTGAAAACCATAAGAATTAATAATTAATAATTAGAAAACAAAATGTATAGACCGATTTATTAAAATGTAATCATTATAATTATTATAAATAAATAAGTTTGACAGTATAATAAATGTAAATAGAGTTCAAATATTTCGTTTTTAAAATACATAAAATATTACGGTATTTTTTATTCTGTGGACAAATTTTCTACTAACAATTTTGCTCCGGATAGCACTTTTTCTAAAAAGAAATTTGACTGGGAAAGTAAGTACTTCAGAGATGGCATATGTCGAGATTTTCCCAGGATTTTTCCCAATAAATGGAAAAAAAAAACATGCGGAAACCTGGAAAACCGTAGAAAAAAAAGGAAAATATAGATACCTACGATATTAAGCAAATATTATTAAAGAGATTATATAATGCCTACCTATGTAATTATTTTACCATAATGTGACATATATATTGTTGACAAAGCAACACAATCAACTGAACATCGCTCAGAACCGTTTTTTCGTTAGCAATGGTTTATTGTTGGTTACAGATTTACATACAATTTCTCCTCCACTACCTTCCCAACTTCTCATCTACAACAGTGGCTGCACTCACGTGCGAAGTTGTCCGGCTTTTGTTTAGACGAAGTTACAAATAAAAATTGGAGTCAGATCTTGAGGTTCACAATCTGAAAAGTGAGATGTACCTACTTTAATTTCATTAAGTACCTATGTGTCTATGTATAATAAGACGTTTATATGAAACTTCAAATTTAGATACCGTTAGGTTGTAATTAAATCCACCCTTTACCCTACTTGATGAAAAAGGACATTTCAAGATGATCAAGTGAAACTGCATAGGATAATAAAAAGTCAAGGCTCCCATTTTTTTTTTTTTATAACATTATCAAAACGCTTTGTTAGAAAAATAATTATACCAACAAACCCAGTTTACTTTTTGAATGTAATAACTCATTTGGTGTTTTTAAATTTGTAATATATACAATGGATTTGTTAATGAGCTATTTTACATGACGCTCCCTCATTGCCCAGTTTCCCCTCTTCCAGCTCTTGGTAGTTGTATAATGCAAATTTTCTACTACCCAAGTACTGATTGTAGTTGAGTAATATACATATATATATATATATATATATATAGATATAGATGTCAAATCACAAGGGAATTTTCAAATAGTATTACAGAAAGATAGAAAACCTTGGGTAACCATTATAGTTACAACACATAAAAATTATTAAACACAAACGAGTTTATCAAAATATAACACAATAAGTAGGTAGGTACTTTATTTGAACGAGTGATCAAATTGTGTATCTAAACCATCCAGGGACCCCACTAAAACACACATAAAAAACGGCCCAGCCGTTTAGGAGTTCAGTGACACACACGCGGACTGAAGATATATATATATATATATATAAAGATAATTATGATATTTTAACATGCATGTTGACAATATTAATTGTTTTAACGACATTTTCTTTTAGATTTAATATTAAATAAAACAATTGATTTCTCACCAAAGTAGGAACTTAAAAAAAAATTTAAACTGGATAAACAAAACTGGCAATACTTATAAGTATAACCTAACTTGAGATAATAGCTATAACTAAAAAAAAGTTGAGTTCTCAAATTTTTTTTTCCTTCTTTACCACATCTGTGAGTAGGCGCATGTCTTATGTAGTTGACAGCAATAGATTGAAATTTAGTTTCATTTTCAGGACGTCGCCGATAATTTGACAAGGAATCTAATGGAATTATGTTGAAATATAAATGTCATAATTTGTTAGTATAAATTATAGTAAGTAAGTAAGTAAGTAAGTAAGTAATGTTACCATAAATAACTGAGAATATATGTAGACTAATACATATTTTTTTTGTTTTCCCATTATTAATATTATTATAGCTTAATTCTGATAGCACTTTCTTTTCAAATCAACAATCAATCGTTTCCCGAATCGCAGTGGTTAAATGATATAGCAATAGTAGGTAATAGGTAAATACTATTAGCGATAGATAATGCACGAATAGGTATGTAACCGCAAAGAAGTGCAAAGGAGCATACAATTCTACTATTACCATATCGGTACCAACTTAATGAGAAACAAATTTATTTTTAAATTTTGTTTTTTTTTTGTTGTTTATTAAGTATTATTTTCTTAGTTTTCGTTTGTATTATATTAAATACCTATCAATAATTAACACAAAAAGTTGACACTGAGAACGGGTGCATGCAGCCACTGTTTCAGGTGAGAAATCGAAAATCGATTCGGAGCGAAGTTCAGTAAGACATAGGTATAGAGGTAATAGAGGTACCTATTTTGAAATGCAGTAATTTCTTCGATTTTCATGAAATTTGATCTTAAAACGCTTATCAAAAACAAACCTTCCAAGCGCTTAATGATTTATGATAACAATTTTAAATTTAAATCATTATTAAATTGAGTTTTTAAAAAAAATTTTCTGTCTATATTTTTACTTGTATCTACCTAATTTTACCTAATATATTATGATAAATATATTAATAAGTATATTCGTCCTACCTAGGAGGAATACCAATCACAAACAATATTTTTAAAAAAAATCTGAGCCTTTTATATAATATAGCTAACAAGTTTATTTATCCATTGGTTTTAGTACCATACAATTGAAAGTAGTAGAAGTTGACCAGTATACCAGTTCTTACTTAGATGTTTGCAATATTCCTGCAGTCTCCCTTAAGGGAATTTGTTCAGTTACATTCCCTTGTCGTCCAGTCAGTAAAGCCAGCTACAGAGTTCTAGAGTAAAGTTGCTGATGTTAAAACATCAATAACCGAAGGTCTTGAACTAGCTTTTTGTGTTTTGTTGTATGTGTAGGTACAAGAAAGAATCTTGCCTACATAACATTAATCGTAGCAAATTTTTTATTTTTGTTTTTATTGCTTATTTATAACCTGTATAGTGTTTTGTTACCTACCTAATGTTGCATTAATAAAACAAATTCATTATCCAAATCATGAAATCAATTTCAATTTAAAATATTAGTCCTAGCAAGCTCTTTTGGTGCTTAAGGCAATTTGAGTCGAGGGGGGGGGGTTGTGACATAAAAAAATTCATAGGTAACTACTTACCTACTATTTTATAGATTTCAAACCATTATTTATTGAATTTTTAGATAAGCATGAATTTATTTTTATATGTATAAAAAATAAAATAGTATTAAATTAATTTGTGACATAATTTTCAAGTTGAAATTTCAAAGTTGGGCGTTAGAATAACTCGGTTAGTTTTCTGTTATTATTTTATATCAACTTTTGCATTAGTAGTGTGCAGTATGTAGGTATCTACTTTCTCTGTTTTATTTAGTTGAGTATAACAACTATAGTGTAGGTAAACTAAGAAAACTAAAATAATGTCTTTAGAGAATTCTGAATTGGTATATGTTTCAATGGGTTTCTTTGAATATGCAAAATTTGTAATGTTAACATTATTAGTGTCACTGATGACACTCACCACATTTATTGAATTTATTACCAGTACAAGCTGTTCCACCCCAATTTGTATTTATTTTTTTTACCTTTATTCCTTTTTGGTTTTAACCGTGTCAGTAAGAATTATAATTTGCCCATGAAAACCCAGTTAACTAATAATATTTGTTTTTTCTCTCCATATATATAAGGTATCCCTCCCACAAAAACAAAATTTAAAAAAAATTGTATATTTGTACCAAAAGTAGCTACTATACAACTGGTTTTTGTGAATGATAGTGGGACTATTGAAGAGTTTCACAGATTTACTATTTCAGAAACCTTTGTTAATGTAATGCATAAAGGACAAACACAGATTCCCTTTATTTATATAGAATTACAATAATTATTTATCTTATGCTTGTATTATTACCAAGCGCGTTTAATACACGCTACAGCTTCATACCTATATAGTTTGTTTAATTTAGCAATATACTTGCGTTTATTGTGTACAATAATAAGTTAATAACTAAATTATAAACTAAACAAACATACCATAGTATATTTTGTTTTGTGATACCTACTGTAGTATAGCAGTTCTTAATTGGTAATATGGATCTTTTTGTTAAAAATTAACATTTTATTAAAACGCATTAGTCTTTAATTAATTTGTGAATTAATTACATTTGTCTTACACTTTCAAAATTATTCTTGTTTTATATAATATGTTACAATACAATGATAATTGTATAAATTATAATAATTTGATTATTTTAATATTTTATTTATGGGTTATAAACTTATATATTATTTTCAACATTTCAAACACTATACATAAATATATATATTATCATGATTATTAATATATATATTATATAATAATAATAATAATAATAATAATACATTTAGTAAACATTTGTTTCAAAATGAATTTAACTTTTTATGTGGTTATATGTAATAAATTATATTATAATATACATGTAAAATAGACTTAACGCTTAAGTACCTAATCTAATTAGCTTCAATAAAAAAAAAAAAAAAAAAAATAGTAAGTACAAATTTGACATGGAATTTAAATATGATTGCACAACACAATTAATAATAAGCCTAAAGTTTATAACATGACATATTATATTATAAATTACATTTAAATACAATTTGTAATTAAATTCAATAATACTGTTACATTACTAGTAATACTGCTTGATAGAAAAGCTAATCTTAAATCATAATATTGATCGAATAAATTATTATGTTAGATAATCATTGTATCATAAACTCAAAATATTTGTATCAAATTATTTTCAACATAGAGTATGTACCTATAATAATTATTTTAATTACAATATCAAATAAAAAGAAAATTAAAAATAAATTTATTGCACTAATCATAACATAATAAAAAACACGGAATGTATAATTATTATTATTTAAAGAAAGCATACCAACATTTAACTAACTATATTTTATAACTAAAATAAAATAACTTGTTGATTTTTACCAAGGTATATTATACATTTAACAAATATTACAGAATTAATTATCATTTGGCAGTTCTCAACAAATTTCAATAAAATTTATAAAGTTCTTGGGAAGAAATATGGTATGCAAGTACAATTATAGAGCTAATAATATATGTAAGTATTTAATAAGTACATATTCGAATAAATATTAAATAGTAAACACCTATTTCGGAATTGATGAAATTTAAAATACCTAACTATGTAATAATATATAATAATATAAGTATCCATTACCGAAATATAAATGAGAGTTAAAATTTTAAGTATATTTTAAAATCACAGAAAATGTATGCACAATTGGTACAACAGTTTCTTTTAAATCACTTCTTCAACGTTTAGATCGCCGTTAATTCCATTACAATGCTCGGAGCTGCTGACCACGTAGGCACTGGCCTTTTGTTGGTATCGCTCGGCAAAATCCATGTCAATAGAACGAATGCCACTCAGAAAACTCTCTTTGTCGTCGTCGGACCATGTTTGAACCCATTCGGTGAACAACTTGATGCGACATTTAAACAGGCTGAGAGGACGACCGTCTTCTTTGCACAGACTCTCCATGATGGGTAGTAGACCATTGATGGCGCCGCCGTTCGCTCCAAATCCGTGGACCAACACCGGTAAAAAATCGCCGCGTTCCATTTCGCTCCACTCGCGGAACCATTGTAACAGGTAACGGATCTGGGCCACGATGGTCGGCGTGTACGCGTTATCGTTTGTATTGGCCACCACCATGGTCGATTGATTGGTTAAGGGTTCGGGATTCTAGGCGAGTAACTGTAAAATCGTATTTGAAAAAAAAAAAACAAAAAATATTTAAAATATTTGACCTGATGTTTAGGATGCGGCGTGCTCTAAACTCTGACGTTCCCGGTTTACTTAATACCGTGTACCTATTAACCTTAATATAGGTCTACGTCTAACACAGTAATACCCATTGTAGTCGGTACGATTATTTACAAAACCATAGCAACGATATTACAAAATATAATATTACAAATGTTACATGGATGCCAAATATTGTTATTATTTGTCCACGTTATCGCAGCGCGACAGCGGTCGTGATAACGGCAACAACAAAAACAATAACCATAAACCAGGGATATTGGCAGACAATTTATTAATGACGTATAGACGTGGGACCATTGAATAATTCGAACACACTTACATAGCTAATAGTAGATAGACAGGCACCTAGGCAATATTTTCACGCGCCGAGTTCTTTACTGTGTGGAAGTCCGGTTTTATTTCGCTTGCCGGAGTTAAAATGAACGGAGTTTCTCTCGGGAGAAGTTGGTGTTCTATAAAAGTCCATCGACCCAGATACCTACTTATTTCAATGTTGACATTACCTAAACGTTAGCACTTCACTTGTAAAACAATTGCAATTTTTTCTTTTTTATCACACCTTATTGGTCAGCCGCGCGGCACACGGTCTCTCGATATTCATGTTAATTTTAATATTGTGGTCATAATAGTCGCATAACTATATCAAAATGGACCGTTTATTATTATTATTTTTTTGTGAACATGGATTTGTTATTGACTCGAAACAAAGATATTGGTAAAAGTAGTAACCTTACTACTCCCCTAACTATTTTTAATTTTTAAAAAGACGTTTCGAAATTAACCAATCTGAATGCTACATCATGCAGTTATTTATTATTTTATTAATGGATTAATTGTATCTGTAATTATTTTAATGAATGATTTTGGTAGTTCAATTTTAACTTCAGAAACATATTTTCGTCAATATGCATTTAAATTTCATCTCGGTCTACTTGCCCACTCTGTTAACTAGATTTTCCTGGATGTTCATAGGAGAAGTTTAAGCAATTAATGCTGTTATTATTTATTTTTTTATTAATATTAGTAATAGCTTTGACTAGTCTATTCATCCAGTCATCCAGTCTATTTTCAGACATGGTGATCTGACAACTTGTATAAATCTACATTATTGCAGTAAGCGAAATACCTACCAGTAGGTATACCAATGTAATATTGGTACCTAAGTATATCAAAAATCAATTATATGGTGTTTCAGTTATTCGGTTTACTAATAAACCGAATAGATAAATCTTTATTGACAATATACATTTATTTGTAGATCTATTTAGGGTTTGAGAAATAATAATAATGAATGTAAAATATAATAAAACAATAATTTGTATCGAACGATTACGTTACAATTTATAAATGTATTTATTTATCCTTTAAAAATGGACAAAGTAAGGTCCTTTGTTCAATTTTAATTTTATTGTAAATAATGTATACAGGGGCGTAATTAGATCACACGGGGGATGCAAAAATTATAGACATGTCTATTCGGAGTTTCTTTCTGAAAATTTTCTCAGAGGGGAGAAGGGGTTATTTATATTACATTAAGAAAAATAAATCGTTTGATGATAATTACCTTTTTTTTAAATTTAAAAACATTTAAGAAAAAACTAGTTCTAAAATGTTTCACTACCTACCATAATTTTTGAGGGTGAAATGACCAAGTACCTACTTTTGATTTTCAAATGACTATATTCAAAATTATATAAATAGAGTATTAGTTTAAAAATATTTTAATTACCATAAATCCATTGATGAAATCCAGTTTTAAATTTAGGCAGATACAAATAAGCAACATAGTTATGTTAGGTTATACAAATTTACAAGAGAAAAAAATATAGGTAATATATCTACACAATATATACTATGACGCATACATCATGCATTCATTCTTATACATAACTTAAAAGTTAAAAATACGTCCAAAGATAATGGGGACGGGTGCAACCACTGTTATAGGTTAGTTTAATGTATAAATGTAAGCAACGATAAACCATTGCTAACGAAAAAATGATTCTGAGCGCAGTTCAGTTGATTGTGATGCTTTGTCAACAATATGTATGTCATATTATAGTACAATAATTAAATATAATATATAATTATATTATAATATATTGCATTATATAATTTTAATAATATTTGTTTAAAATACCAATTTTCCTGTTTTCCCATGTTTTTTCCCCCATTGTTCACATTTACAGGGAAAATCAAAAAGGATCCCTATAAAGTATCTTCCCAGTAAGATTCATTTTTAGAAAAAGTGTTATCATTTTAAATTGGAGTAAAATTGCTGGTAGAAAAGTTGTTCACAGGAAAAAAAGGCCATAATATTTTTAACCAATACCTACATTTCATACGTTTTCCTGTTTTTACTCTATAGCCAGTAGACAGCGATAACTGATTATTTTGAATCTGGTGTGACCATTGATCAGAAATTTTAATTACCAATATGAATATAATATTTACAATATTTAAATTCTTGCAAATTGTAATAAATAATCATTGAGCTTTCATGTGTGACTGGAGTCATAGTCTTAACAATCCCTATAATAAGTAAATACACGTTTTATTTACAAATTTTTGTATAACTTTATTTTTCATACACATATATATTGTCATCTATAGGTAATCAGTATTTTGTCCTGCTTATTAATTATGAAATACATGGATCAAATATTTAGTCTATACTATAAAAAAGCATATTAGGTATTTTTGGGAGTGCTAAAGACCCTCTAGCACCTCCTAGTTGCGCCTATGTCCTGATCTGTACAGCATTTTGTCATTTTATAAACAGAAACAAATGAGTAACAATTGATAAAATGATAAAAAAAAAGACTAAAAATAATTTTGCTTCTTTTCATCTTAAGTATGATATATAATATTATTTGATAAATACCTTATTATTATCAATAGTGTATATAGAAGTTTAAAAATTGTAATACACCACAAAATATCACGAGGGGTATCCTTATCCCAAAAAAGCAATATTTCTTTTAAGGTAAATTATTTTTTTTGTTACAGATTTATTTTATAGTGTATAAGTATTGAGTAAAATTTACAATTAAAAGTAAATTTTAAAATACTATCATTCATTTTACAATATACTATATTCAGAACTATAGCAATTAATAACTAATTATTGCACCTATAATGAAAATTTAAAATACATCTTAATGAATTTTAATTTATACTGAAAACTTAAAGATAAAAGATTTTTACTAACTACAATCAAATGATTATTTGGCTCTTAAGTCAGGTAAAAAAGAAAATGCTTAAGACTTCAAATTTTTTATTTCAGATATAAAATCAGAAAAATGTAGACAATTTTCATACTTAAGAAAATTATGAACAACTGAGAAATTAAGAAAATTGTCAGCAATCTCATATATTGTGTTTTCAATTTGATCGTTTAGTTCTGTAAAGAATCCTCAATAATAAAACCCTTAATGAATAATTTGATTTCTTCCAGTTCTATCAAGTTTATTTTTATTCCTTGGCGAGTTCATAGTTTTAATAGTAGCAACATGAAATATTAAGGGAACATCATTTCTCTATGTTACCTATAGTGAACATCTTTATATAAATATATAGTTAGATTTAAAGAGAAATACTATGATCAAATAAATTTAGCCTTTTTAAAAATATCAACCTGGATGTCATTAGTTAATTTCATCATTCTATTATTTCTATTTATAGGTGACCTAAGTACATAGTTTTTTCTTTGAAGTGGAATATAAAATGTTTTTGCAAATGAGGGACATTAAAATTAAAGCAACAAAGTGATTTAGAACAGTTTATATAACCATTTAATATCTTATATAAACTTCAAATCAGGCATTTTTCACCTTCAGTTTGACTGGTCAAATTATTTAATTTGATTAACAACGGGTATATATTGTAAATTAGGTTACCAATGGATGTCATATTTGTATGAAATAAAGCAAAGGAATCGATTTTGGATAGCTTTAAGGCTTTGTATATGAACAGCAATAGAGGGGGACTATATAATAGAATTATATTCAAGAATATAATACACAATTTTTAAGGCATTGTAATTAATAAAATCTTTACATGAATTCTAATGTATTTGTTTTGTTTTTAATATTTAAATAGTGATTTTTGAAAGAAAGAGTTGAGTAAAATTTAACAAACAAATCACAGTGAGACTAGTAGATCAGGTAAAATATATTACTTTGCACTTATTAGTATATAACAAAAATTTATTTATTTTACCAAATCAATAATATATTCAAATTATTTTAAAATTACTGAATCAGAAGTCAATTTTATTAAAAGTTTCTGCCTTATATTTTTTTAATTACATCTTTATAAGCCTTTATCTTTTTGATCAATCTTTTATTGCGTTCGTGTACAATTTTAAATTTCTTTTTGATATCATTATATTGTTTTTTTGCAAATGCAAGATTACTTCTTACTTTTTCCGGAGTATCAAAATGTTTTTCAGATAAATCATTGAAATATCTAGGATGACTTATTGAAAGTCGTTTTTTGATATGTGTGTGCGGAGATAATGTACTAAAAATTACAAAACATACATACATTTAAAATGAAATTGTACCTAATATAAAAAAAAAAATATATTAATACGTAGGTACACACTTTAATTCAGAGCTGGTAGAAGGTTGAACATTTTCTGGTGAACCATCCTCATTTGACGGGTACCTAATTATTTATATGAATTTTACTAAAACATTGGTGTATATTTTATAATAGGATAGCTGTTTGGGTATAGACAAATAAATTTACTTACGGACTACACAGGTTGTCGTTATTGGAAGTTAAATTAATTTTTGTACTCAGATGTAGACTCGGGACAGCATGGGGCATTAAAAGTCTATTTTGTTTAATCACTATAGGCGAAAAGTGAATATTACAAATTCTGTACGACAATAAAGATTTTTTAATTCCACACTTCTTTAACCACTCGGTATGTAAAATATCATCATTTGGAAACCTATGTCATTAATAGATTGTCAAATTTGTTGTATACAAAATGGACAAATTAAATAATTAACTTACTTGTATAGTTTAATATTATTATTACTTTCCTTTTTAACTCCACAGATGAAACATTTGTAACCCATTTTTTTAAATAATAACAAATTAAAACAATATAAAAATAATATAATATTATTAATATAATAATAAAAATAATTAGATTAATTAATCAGGCATTCAAAGTTTTGATAAAATTAACGTCGTAACATATCTGGTCTGTCGGCGTTGGGCACTGATACTGTGATACAATCATGTTTCGGCATTCTAAACAGTTTAGTGACTTTTTGTACGGTTACATATTCCGATTAGTAGATCATCAAAAATTCGTAATTTTGGTTACCAACATATTTGATAACAATATCACAAATCATAATTCACCTTGTTTTTGAATTTTCAACTTCGAATTATTTTCTTGCCCATGTACTTGTTTTTCAGATTTCATATGACAATTAATTGTTTATAATAGAAAATTCGAATTTTTAAATTCACAAATATCACGTGTAAATGTGTTTATCAAGGTTATTTTTTATTTATCGAATATCAGTAAACACCTATCAATTCGAATAGATGGTATTATCTATAATACTAAATTCACTAGAAAGAGTTAGAGCACGGTCCTTTTAAGATCGTGAGTTACAGTAACTAACTCGTGAAAACGCTTTCAGTAAACAGTTTACTTGTAGTCAAAGGTATCTTTATAGATACAAATATATCTATTCAGAAAGTATTTGAAATATATTTAAAATAATTTTAAGAACAAAAATAAATACTCAGAATGAATTTAAATACATCTAAAATAGATACTTTTTGAAATTTTTAATATAACATTCAGTACTCAACAATTTAAGTAGGTAAATATTTTTAGAACTTTGTACCATCTACTTCACTTTGTACCATCTACTTCATTTAATACTGAAAATTGAAAATAAATAAATTGTGCTGTGTGTTAATTTTGAAATAATTTAATACTTTGAATGAATTAAAACAAATTATACATTTATGATGTCATAGTCATTCCAATTATTTTGTATTGTACTTAAGAACCATGGTTTATTCCAAGTTTTAATATGAAAAATAGCCTCTCTAATCTTTAGATTCACTGTTAATTATATTTTCTTTCTTTTATCAAACCTATTTATTATACAAAACTGTACAGTTTGTAGACTCCATTAAAATAATAATAATAATAATGATAAAAAAAAAAAATTATGAAAATGTTTGTTGTAAGCCTCCCATGGTAGTTTAATTTCTGTTTCATTCGTCACTTAATTGTCAATGTATGTCTGATATTTATAAGTAAGAAAATGTTAAAACAACTGTTGTAGTAAAATATTACGAACAAATTGTTTTTGATAAAGTTATATTTCTATATCAAATTAATAATGTTAATTATATATTTAACCTGACTGGGGAGGTACTTAAAACAGGTAATTTGTCGAGTTTCCCAAGAGTTTTCTCAGCAAATGTGAAAAACCACCGTGAAAATATACGGAAAAACTGCGAAAATTGGTACAATATTAAAAAAATATTATTAAAGAAAACATATAATGCCTATTTAATTATTCTATCATAATATGGCATACATATTGTTGACAAAGCGTCACAATCAACTGAACTGCGCTCATAATCGTTTTTTCGTTTGCAATCGTTGCTTACAGGTGTACATTAAATTACTTGTAACAATGGCTACATTCGTCCCCATTATCCTAGGACGTCTTTTTTATTTTGATTATACTAAAATATTATATACTATAGCAGGGGCGGCCAACATGAATATGTTCGCGAGCGACATATATAAAGGCGATGATATCAAGAGCCAAAACATTTGTAAATAGATTTAATAATTTTATATAATTTGATCTAATTTGTAATTTTATAACACAAAACTATTAAAAATAGCTAACAGCCAATAAACATATCAAATTTGTTACGAGTGATGCAAATGTGAAAGAAGAGTTGTTAGATCTAATTTCATTAAAGGAAACCGCTCGGGGTATTGACATACAGATTGCACTCGATGAAACACTACGAAAAGCTGAAATTCCTTTACACAAAACTATGAGCATTTCAACTGATGGGGCTCCTAGTATGGTGGGTAGTAAAAATGGATTAATAGGGCTTTTAAGAAATGATACTGATTTCTCAGATTTTATACCTATTCATTGTATTACCCATACAGAACACCTAATTGCTAAATATTTTAAATATGATCATGTAATGGATGTTGTTTTAAAAATTGTAAGTTATATACACATCGTCAGTTTAAAAACTTCCTAATGATATTCATTAACGATGCCCCATGGTATTGTCTAGTTAGATAGTTATCGGTAAATAACATTTTAATCGAATTCTTCAATTACTAGAACCGATCAAAGTATTTTTAATAGAAAAAAAATAGAAGTTTTCCTTAACTTTCAAATTCTAATCGTTTAAGAGATATGCCATTTAGCTCAACGTTTAATTTTTTATATATTATTCATAGTAATGTATTATGTATAATTTTTCGTTAATCTGTATTCTATAGCCTTATATCTATATAGTAAACACATTTTTTTTTATAAATGTATACGAAAAAAAAATTAAAATTAATAATAATTATAAGTAAATTTTGGTTTTTGTAAATAAGACGCGAGCCGCAAGTTGGCCACCCTTGTATTAGATATATTATATAATATACCTAGGTAGAATGGAGATATCATGTTATTACCTATCTATATTTAACAAATAGTTCAGTAGCTAATTTAGGCGCCTAAATCACAAAGGGTATAGGTGATATTTTATTGATTTCGGGATAATCAAGTTTAACGTTATTTGCATTTAATTATTTAATATATTAATTATTATACCATATTCTAATATTATCACTTATATTCGAATAATAAAAAAAATGTTCAGATAGTTGGGCAGTAAAGAGACACAAGTGTCATACATAATATGTTACGACATTTTCATTTGAAGACTATTTTAGTGAGATTTAGTATTTGATACTAGATGGCAGCACATAATAAATAATTTTCCTAAATTTCTGTACAATAAAATAAAATGGAATATTTTTAGGTCAGCTGTGCTCTCAAATCAGATTTTTAGTTTCTGAGTGGACCGACAAAGCTTATGGTTTTACAAAGATGTTTATTTATTTATTTTTTCTTTTTCTGAAGACAATATTTTTACCAGAGATCTTGCTCCGATTTTTAAGTGTAGTACCTTTTCTGAAACGAAATCTCTGTGGGGGGAGGTATTTTAAGAAGGTAATTTTTCGAGTTTCCCAAGAGCTTTCTCAGCAAATGCGAAAAACCGGGAAACACATGGGAAAACCTGGAAAAACACAGGAAAAACGGGAAAATTGGTAAAATATTAAAAAAATATTATTAAAGAAAACATAATTAATTATTTTATCATAATATGACATATATATTGTTGACAAAGCATCACTATTAACTGAATTCCGCTCAGAATTGTTTTTTCGTTAGCGATGGTTTATCATTGCTTAGGTATACCTACATTAAATTACCTATAACAATGGCTACACCCGTCCTCATTATCCTAAGATGTCTTTTTAAAAAATTAATTTTTACCTCTTCCCCTTGTGTTCTAGGTGCCTCAATTAGTTTGTTTCTGTGGAAATGTATTTTTGCTAACTGTGTACACGACAATATATGTATAATAATTTGATTGTCGGTTATTTTTTGGCATTTATCGTGTTAAAGAATGTTAAAATTGTGTTTAACACTATGCCATGTGTATTAGGTATGTTTATTTAACTGTAACTCCACCAAGAGTTATCTACTAAACAATTGTTGTACATAATATAGCGAACACTCAAAATGATTGTCTTTAAGCATTTCCAAATACTCTGCGAATTTAATACATAATGTAGATAGGTACCTAGGTGATATATAGTTTTCTGAAAATACTTTTTTTTTTTTTTTTTATAAAACCCTGTATAAATTCCATTCTTCTATACATGCGATTACAAAAAAAAAAATCTATGGTTTATGATTTGCCTACACAACGTGTGTTGTATTTGTTTTTATTTTTATAAATACTATACTTGCATGGTCCACACATTTTAAATATACGAACGAATGATATTAATATTATATTCTTTCGAATACAGCAAAGCAATTACTTTTTGTTTAGCATCGCAGGTGCACTATTGTAAATTTGAATGATAAAATATGTAATTTTTGTAATGCACACGGAGTAGGTAGGTATACAAAGTAGAACTATGTGGATGAAAATATGAATATATAAATATATATACTAATCTTAACCCGCAGTTCGCGTTACTAACATATTTCAAAAAAAAATTTACTACCTATGTATTATTTGTTTTTATTTTTCGAACAGTTTTTCTTGTTCATCGTCATAGTTTATAATAGTTTTTGCAATACACCACGATGACCCTCACTAAAATTATATTACATTACTATTATGCATATCCCCACTAGTAGCATCTTAAATGCAGGAATAACTTTATATAAGTTATATTATTACTATAACACACTTTTAATTATAATTATCAGATTTTTGTAATTTATTATACAATTTTTAATTTACACGTTTTCAAAATTTTGTTTAACTGAACAGTTATTTGCATGTAGATGGGGGATGAGTGGATCATCCCTTCTTGGAATTTTTAATGCTGGTATTTTAATCACGGCTATAGGTATTAAAATACAATAGTATTATACCTGTGGTGTATTCAATTTTTTAACCGTCCTCCACCTTTCCTTGATTCAGCTCCTGCTACGCCACTGTTATGTCCAGTGTTTTAATTAAACAAATAAAAGAAGGCGGACTGTGATACATTAAAAAAAAAAAAAAATAGCGTCCCTTGCAATGATTGACTCCAAGTTTCCAACCTAATCTACGGGGGGCTTTGTCTCACATCTCCTTACACTAAAACCAAATTCCATAATTCAATAATAATAAAATAATTGGAAGCACTGAATTATCGTTTAGCTATGGTTAATCATAAAAAAAAAAACAAACATAATAATTATTGGATCAATCATTTATTTGAGTCGATGATAGGGCAATAAATATTTTTTATTCGTTTTTCCTTCTAAACTTGCAATACATTTACAAGTTTTCGGGTTCATTAAAATATTAAATATTTTTAAGGTGTTCATTTAAATATTTAGCATTTGGTCGAAAGTATGCAATTTTGTTTCATTCATCTGATATCTAATAAGGTTTCATAGATTATATATGTTATCCAATCAAACTGCCACAAATGCACATCACTTGCTGTCTCCATAAAGGTTTTTCATTGAAACGACGCGAATAAAATGTTAATGCATTAAATAAAATGAGAAATTACTAGTAGGATTGAAGAGAATTTCCGAGTAGTCAAGTTTTTGGAATTACCTATAGGTAAGGTACCGAGTTTCTAGTATACCGGAACTGCGGGCCCGTAAGTGATTTTGCTTTTTTTACGGGATGCAAAATAAAGCTAAAATAAATACGATAATCATGTAATGGCACTGCAATTTTATCAACCAAATCATTTTGTATTATATTTATATGTACATATACCTACATATATATATATATATATAATCGGGTTAAAAAAAAAATAAAAAAAATCCATGTGATGATATTGCCTTTCATCTCGCAAATGTTTCCCTCTAACTGATTTATATATTATATATTTTAATCGTTTTAAATAAATATTTTTTTTAACGTAACAAAACAAAATCTATAGACCTTTCAGATGTCGAAAAAAGGTTTTATCGTATTATAAGGGTATGAAAAACCATACATATTATAACTTACAAAAAAAGAAAAAAAAAACTGTACAAATTATATACCCGTATAATAGAGGAAATACCTATACTTCAAAACAATTAATAGAATACAATTAATTAAAAAACATTAATTAATAATTATTTAAATTGTATGGATAAATGCCATAAATGACTTTCGACCATATTATTATATAGGTTATAATATATATTACAAAAAAAAAAAAAAAAAAAAAAAAAAAACAATTAAATAAAATGTACAATATTTTTGGAAGCTTTTTGTTTTTGTTAATCTGTTTTTAATACTTTTACTGTCAACTAATCAAACGTAGTTTGAAGATATTGACTTATATATAATATAATATTACATAAAACGATGCACTCAAAATTGTATAATTGACGTTAAAATTAAATGTTTAAAATAGAATACAAGTTCAATATGGTTCATAGACGTAAATTATAAAGGTATATAGGTATTTAATTTGTATGAGTATTACGTATATTTTCAATTAAATACTTATATTATAATATAATAATTATTTATGGAATGTAACTAACACACAATCAAATGTTCTGTGTCATAATGACACATAGAACATTTCACTTAAATTACATGAGTTCAGTGGCGTCGTTTGGAGGAGGGTGACTGGGACATTTGTCCAAATTTAACTTAAAAGCCTCTTAATTAAGCGACATTTCGGTTGCAACTTCTGGCTTTTGGGCCTGGGAAAATAATGGTCAAATATCGATACATTTTGTATATATCTTTTGTTCTTATACTCTAACAGCGATAAGTAATCAAGTGGTAACATTTTCGATCTTTCTAATTTCCGACGATGACTAAAAAATAAAATTGAAATGCCTTGAAAATATGTGGGGCGTCTATTTGTTCGGATATTATGAAAATCTGAGATACTCGTATCTACACCTATAAAATGAAGAGTAACGGTCCAATATTAAAGCTAAGATTTAATTTGTTTTGTTAAACAATTCCTTTTATAATTCAGGTGTAAATTTGGTAAGTTTGCGCCAGTCCAACAAATATTGAAATGACGCCACTGTGGTGTTATTTATAAATGAAATAGATAATTACCTATAAAACGAATAATGATAATCTATACAATGCTCTCTATTTCAGTGTACGGTTTAGCCACTCGAGTGTAAACCATATCCTGCATCGGAATAGACTTGCGATTTGGATATACTACGAACGATTCGTATATCTTTTGTTGATTGCTGGTCTGCGTTCGTGTTCCGAACCGGACATTATTTGCATCGTTCATGTGACTTTCCAACTGCAAAAAAAAAAAAAAAATTAAAAATTAATCCCACCATGATCATAATTATTAAAAATTATATTCAAACTTGGGTTTAACCGTCAACAAAATGTGTTTTTTTAACACGACAAATTTTGCTTAAGTGGACGTTATACCCACACTATACATAATACCTAATGACGTTATCTATTGTCCTCAGTCCAACTACCGGGTAACATGCAAAAACAATGCTTATGTAGATTAAGTAAGACTAGTGTAGTTTTGATTTTAGGGCAAAAGTACATATCATGAAATTTATAGAGAACAATATTTTGGAGGGAATTTCATAGGTGTTTTTTAAATTATGAACTATTAAAAAAGTTACAGTTATTTAAAACAAAGAAAGAAGGTTTTTGTATTTATTATAACTAGCTGTATATTTCGAATGCTTCGAAAATCCTCATGACATTCCCTCCAAAATAATGTTCTCTATAAATTTAATAATTAGTAATTTTACTCTAAAATCAAAATTAAACTGCGTAAGCATTATTTTTGCATGTTACCCGGTAGTTGGACTGAGACAGTAGATGCGGGTATAACGTCCTCTTATCGATTTTAGGTGTGCACAGTTGTAGTAGATATATGCTAAATATAATAAAGTTGGTTAATAAATCATCGAGTTCGGTTTTATTCTGTTTCAATATAGAATTGGCCGTCAGGAGTTAGTTCCCAGGTAAAATTTAAAATCTGTGCATTTTGTTTAACTGCAGTATTCGTATAACTTCTCGGAATTTCGTATAGTAGGTATAGCCGCGTGTCTCCGGATTTTCGATTTTTGAATTTTAATATTTTTATAGGTAAAAACTAATTATGTCGATAAGATATTTACGAATTTCTTACAGGGATATTTCTCACAATAATTGTGAGAAAATAATACAATGCAATACAATTATTGTATTGTTCAAATCAAATATCACAAAGATTTTGGTCCCACATTTATGTTGAATCCCGAGTCATAGGTAAAATATTAAAATGTATGAACAATATTGAATATTCGGAATTCAGGTAAATTATATTATTTTTGAAAGCACATTTTGATTTATTTTATGCACATTCAATGTACGAACCAGTGATGAACGCGGAGTGTTAATATTTTGTACAGCTAATACAGAATATTTCGGACCCGAAGTAATTTCGTTACATTGGCCATTTTGCAAAGTTCCGGACATTTTTTGTTTTCTCGATTCCGTCTGGATTTCATCATCTTCTTCTGTAAAACATACGATACACAAGTGATAATCACAATTATTTGGTATTAATTTTTTATTTGATGGGCATTTAAAATGGGAATATTAATTTTGCATATGCATTATTGTGCTAAATTAGAAGCATTATAACGGTACAGCGTGATAAAATAGAATCATTTATTTACAAGCGCACATTTAATATTTAAATATTAACTTTTATAATGAAATTATGTAACAAAAAAACATAGCTGTATAAAAATGAAATTTAGTCATTTAAAAATGTCTTGTATTTCAAATGTTTTTGGTTAACTCGAATATCGGTTCATTGGTTTCGTGCAGATCAATATTATGTGATATTGAAATAATTAAAACTTTAATTTTAGAATTAAATCGAAAAAAAAAAAACAGAATAACGTAAATATAATAACTCGATACAGAGGGTTCATTTAAATGTCTGCAGATGAAAATATTAATAAATATTCTTACGTATCGAGTGGTTTTTTTTTTTTTTTTATAACTATAGTAACTTTCATATTTTTGGCGGTATACAATTAATAATAATTTATGCGTGGACAATAATACTAAGTACACAATATTACGGCCGGGCTACACTTTTTTCCTCGTTCGATAGGTAACCGGAACTTTGTTGTAATAATATAATGATCGTCTAGTATAGTGAAAATAGCACACCTATAATTTCCACCGACTAACTTCGAATGGGACTTTAAAGGTCGTGTTTCATTTATAATATGGACTTTAATCTAATTCGAAACAAATCCCTTATCATTGCAAATAGGTAGTGTCTAATGTTTCTGTATGAACTGATCGCAGGTGATGTTTGCGCGATTTGGCAACTGGCGACATGGCATGAGGAAATCTTATTTGTAGGTATCTACGTATATGTATATAAGGTTTGGTTATGTATAAATATATAGGTATAGTTCGATAAAATGTTACATTATGTTTTTAACCGTTGACGTTCGTTTTTAGTTTATTTATGCATACCGAAGGGCCGTTTTGAACAAAGTCAAACACATACGGCGAGTTATTTGATTATATCACAATAACGCCTCGATTTTCATATATCGGGAGCTGTTTATTAGATTGCCGCATTTACAACATGTTTAGTCATTATATACCGTGTCCATGGGTTGATTTCATCATATTATTTATTAGTTATCTACTTATATTTATACCTTTTAATTCGAAATTAACTAACGAACTCGAACTATACAATGTATCTCCAAGGATACATCCTTGAAACAAGATACTTAAAAACAAGTAGGCATTTGGATATTGGATAATATAATATTTAGTTTATTAATACATATTATATTATTACATTAAAAACTATTACCTACACAAGATGTTCGAAAAAAACTGTGTATTGCGATACAAATTTGAATTGTATCTAAGAACTTGTCCACTTCTGTATATTTCACACAGTAGTAAGCAGCAATGTATCGCATTAATATTATTATCAAGTCGTAGAGATTAATGTCGACAACACAAAAAAAATTAAAAAAAATCATAATCATACAAATTACAGTCCATTAATATATTTCTATTTTGAAACTATTTAATTGATATTTTATTTTCACTGGAGTCGTAAATAATGGAAGTTCTCGAAATGGAACAATTATTTTAATCTTTATTGCTCCCAAGTTTAATGAACACGATGACTTATTACTTTTGTTTAGGGAACAATAAAGGAAGCTTTTTAAAAAATATGATCAATTTTATTTTTTGTTTTTTGTATATTCGTAGAGTCGTAGGTAAGTTTTTAAAATATTAAAAACGGAAAACGGTACATTTTTTTATTAAACTATTTGATTTTTTTTTTTTTCTAAGAGCTGATTATAATATTATAGTTTGCTTGCTTATAACTTATATGTTGTACGGAGTTAAACACCAGGTAACTTTCTCATTCTCATCCATAAAAATCATCGGATACACTTAAATATGATATATACGTACAATTATATTTTCTATAAATATATATAGTTTGAGAATTTTTATTGTATTAATATAAGTGTAGTAGATATTTGTTCAATATTTCGGTTGAAATTTATATTTCAAATATACCTGAATACGAGGCAAACGAGTTTTTGAATCAAACACAGAAATGTACAAACATTAATAAACATTACATTTTAAGAAACGTCATAAAACTATCGGTATACTCGTATAATATGAATTTTATCTGCATGTAGGTAGGTATAGTTAGGTGAGTAAACTGAGGTTCGTTTGACGCTTTATGTCGTTTTCCGACTATACGATGATTTATTATTATTTTAATGTTTTATAATAAGAACATCATACAAATTTGTAAAACAGAACCTTACCTTTACACATCGTTTATTGTATCTTAACTGTGGCGAAGTTCGTTTGATTTGCGTTCGTATAATATTGTTATTGTTGTTATTTACTTTGAACGGTTCTAACTATTTGGGATCGTTCAATTTTAGTGAATATATTTTGCTCAAGCTATAATAATATATTACTATAAGCAGAAACGAAAACGTGTTCTATTGAACGAATGTAATATTCCCTCCCGAGAAGAGGCTAGTCGGGACATTTGATAAAACAGATACGAGTAATATCAGAAATCGCGTTTAGCGAACGAGTAAAAAGAGAAAGTGAAAGGGAAAATTTCATTAAAGGCGTTTGAAGTTAATTCGAAATTTTCTATACATGCAGACGAATAAGCTTGAGTAAAATAAATAAATACACTTCCAGTAGGTAGTCCAATTATTTCTGTTTTCAGAAATAATTTGACTTGTTTTACAGAAAAAGGGTTTTTTTGGGACACTTAAGTATGAGTTTATTTTTAGAAAAACATGTAGAACGTACTATGCATTTTAACTGAATTAACTAAATAAAAAATGACAGATATTTTTCAAAAATAATTTCCCTTAAATGGGTATCGGTCTAAGTGAAAAAGTCTTAACATTGTGTTGGTCTTTAAAAGGTAAAAGTAATTTTCGAATTTTTCAGAATTGGAGAAAATTCGAGTAAGTAACTTAGGTAAATTCTATATACTATTTATATTACATTGTTCATTATTTTAGTATTAAAACGATATCGTTGAAATTTCCGTTTTAGTTATGTAGGTATATAGTTTATTATATAATATAAGCATAGATTATAACGATCGACCAAAGAACGACCAAGGTCGACAGTGGTATTAAATTACAAAACTAGGTGTGTTTAAAATTTAAAACTATACGAAAAAAAATCTTTTTGGATTGACATGATGATTCGTGTTTACGGTTCCGGAGATAGGTTTTTTTTTTTTTGTTATAAATTGAATATTTCACGTCTACGACGCACGCGCTGTTTTTTGCTTCTATCGATTAAGATTTTTACTGACTTGTAACAACTGGATGTTCCTCAACGCCCTTTGACTCTGCAAATCGAATTTCTTCGCCGTTTTGGTTCCTGACAGCTTGCTGTTCCCGGATTACTGATCGTCCACGGACGCTGGCCACCAGCCGTTTGGCGTACACCACGGCCAGCGCGCAAAATAACACGACACAACACCCGAGTACAAAAATTCCTATGTATGCTGCGTCAGAAAACCGCGAAGCTGTACTCGTCGAATCTCCTATATGAGTGAAAAATATAAATTTAATTATTCAATTTAATTCAATAATTAATATTATTATAGGTGTAATAATAATATTACATATCGAGCACGACAAATAACAGTTATTACTTAATTATTATTAGAGCTGGAAATGTAATGCCCTCAAATAATTATTTTATGTTCTACAAATTCTAAATAATGCACCAAAAAAATGATCTAAAAGTGTGTTTATATTCGATCATTTTTATATAAACTATAATATTATAAATTTTCTTTATAACAAAAAATTTTTACTGAGCGATGTTGTCGATTTTATTGCTTTAACAGATTATTAAACAGGAAATCTAGTGATTTCGAAAATACCACGTTGGTTTTGCATTAGGAATTATCTGTTTAACCCTCGTCATTTAGGTTTTGACATATTTATTGTTTGATAATATATACAATGTGTACCGGAGGGTAAGCCGGCGTCATATGAAAGTACACCAAAAATGATGGAAAAATCCCCTTTAAAGGGAGTGGGGGTTTAATATTTTTAATTTTTAAGTAATGGACAATTTGAGTTTTTTTTAATGAAACCTACTCCGAATATTTTTTGTGTATCTTCAAAACTTTTCAACATATGAACGTATTTTAGATTCTGAGTGTAGCGAAGAATGTACTGGTTTTACTAAGATTTTTTTTATTTTTTATTATTTTAGTACGAAAACTCGAATATAAATCTTGCTCAGATATATACGCGTGACACCATTTTTAAAAGGGAATGTTGTCCAAATTGTACTTTTAGGAGGTCATTTTTTGATTTTCCAAGCGGTTTTCATAATATCTGGTAAAAACCAGGATAAAGCGTAAGAAAAATGGGAAATGTACAAAATTAATACTTTTATTATTTTATTAATTTTGTTATTTGTTGTAATTCAGTTAAAAATATTCGTAGAGACTTGAAATTTGGATAGAAACTTTATATTTGCTTTTTCTAGACGTGGTGAAATTTTTAAAAAATTTAAGCCATTTTTGGGCTATTTATTTTTTTCCTAACTAGGGAAAAACCAAATGCATTTTAAGTGTACTTTGAGACCTAGCTATCGCTTAATCGGACGATTTTAATCGAAAAATAACCCTCGAATTTTTGAGTAAACTTTTCTACCAGAAATCTTGCTCCTATGTATTAAGTGTAGCTTATTTTCTGAAAGGAAATTTTATCTCCTTGGTTTAGGGAGGTTATTATTGTGATTTTTCAATCGGTTTTCATAATAACTGGGAAAAAATGTTGGAAAAACGGAAATTTTACGAAATATAGGTATTAGTAAAAATCCTAGTCGCGTGGCAAAATATAAAAATGAATAATTTGTTAAAATTTAATATGTGATATTTCTGTTCCAAAATAGTTAGTCGAGAATAGTTGTAAGTGAACAAAATAAAGTTATGCCCTTAAATATTATTAGATTTGATGATTTGGAAATATTAAAATAACTATTAGGTAGTTATAAGTAAAACTTATAATCATATATTTATATTTATTTTGACTTAAAAATCCACAATCGAAGAGCAAAGTTTACATGAAATACAAATAAATATATTGTGTATTAAAGTATATGTAGATGGGTAACGGAAAAATAGATATGGCAAATTTACGTGACTCGAATAGGTTGTATTATTAGATAAGTGCCGCGTGTGTGTTATAACACCTAAAAATAATTTATCAGTGCGCGTTCAATTGAAAATAAACGTGGTACACTGTCAACGAGAATATTTATTTCACATTGTTGGCAGGCATACCAAACATTCGTAAACATAGTATAAGTGATGGGTTACTAGGGTTTTTTTTTTTTTTATTGCACAACAATTTGCGGTATTTGTTTTTTGCTAAGAGTTGTTTTATTATTGAAACGGGCGTCCATCGTTTTCGCCGAAAAACTTGATTTTCGATTCTGCCAACTATCGTTTTTGCCAAAATGAAAAAGGTTTCGACACAATCTATTTTTATCTATATTATTGCTTGAGAACTCCTAGTAATAATAATGATAAATCTATAACCAGTGCTGTCGGTGGATGTTGGAATTCAGGGTTTGATATTGAAGTATATAAACTACAGTCTGCAATGTACATAATATTTATCTTCATTACTTATAGAATTTTAAAAACATATTTTTTGAATTATTGAAATTTAAAGCACTCGAAGAATATACAAAGAAAACTGTTTCTAGAATGCATTTTTTAAAAATATTGTGCGAAAATCATACTAAATAGTTCTTAAAAGTTTATTGATTTGCTAATGTGATTTATAGTATTGTTAGAAATCGTTTACCAAAATAAAAGAATCTATTTTAAAATTTTGATTTTATCATTATTTTTTACTGAAATAACCAAATATAATCACATCGTATACCACAGAAAGAAAACATATAAAACCGCCTAAACATTTAAAAATAGCGTTCAGCGGTTACAGTTCACAACAGAAAGTAGACATCTCCTTAGAATTTTGTTTATAAAAAAAAAAAAACTAATTATATTTGTTTTGTTCTAATCAAGTTGAGTTTTATATATTTGAAAAACCACAAGATATTATCTAGTTATTTAATCTCTCCTAAAAAATTAGAAAACGTGAACCTGTCCCATTTCTACAGTTAATGCACCTGCCTGAATTAAGTATAAAAGTTTTAGGAAACGGTATTTTAAATGTTTGCGTGGAAAATTTCTGGTAAATCAATATTACATTCATTTGTGATCGTTTTGTAGGTATTAAATAATAGTTGAAAATAGCTTTACAGTAGTCGAACAGAAGCATTATGTATTATTATTATTATCGAATAATTATCGACGGTTTGTAATTTTAGATTGGGAGTGGAGTAAAAAATATACGAGTATGACGTTTACAGGTATTATATTATTATTATTCTCAAAGGAGACTAATTAATTTGTGTTACCCGCGCGCAATGGGTATTCAACATTATGCCACGCGTCGGTTTAACTATACAGAGTGATTCTTTTATCACGAACCATTGATTTTCTCGGAGGACTTTAAGTGAATTTGATTTATGTTTTCTCAATCGTTATTATGGAATCGTTCGAGATTTTTTATCGGAGGAGTAGGGATGAGTAATTTACCTCATATCCATTTTTACATGATAAATTGATAATACTCTTCCGGTTCAAACTTTAAGCTGTTATAACTTATACAATGGCGTAACCATTCAATGGCGGGGGGAGGGTTTAGGTCTATACAATAGGTAGGTATAATATTATATACATAAAACATATTTTTAATTTTGTTATACTTTATTTAAAGTATCCTTGAATTGATGTTAGAAGCGGAACGTTATAAAAATGTTATCACATTGTAATTTTTTGTCCATTATGATAGGTACATGTCGATATCCTCAAGAAAAATAGAGGTTGAGTTGCAAGATACTGGTGACAAAATGATGAAAACTAATAGTAACTTTTTTTCAAATAAAAAGTAACCCGTTAACTTACTCTCGTACATGCACAAAAAATACAAATTCAATAATTTACAAATTACAAGAAAATTTTTGTAACTTTGTAATTAGTTACTGCTCAGATTTGATGTCAGATTGAATCATCCTGTATACTATCCAATCATGCAATAATTTCATAATTTGTCGATCGATAGAGAAACGTTAGGTAAATACCACAATATGTAATAGTTAATAATATTATAATTGCTTTGATGATGATATATCATACAATACTTAGGTAATATTAATAATAATAGTAACTACAACTGTCCAGATATCTGTGTCAGACTGTCGGGATTCTGAATTTGAAGACAATTCATTTTTGTTTTAGCTTATTGTATAGATTATTCAATGTAAAAAATAACAACTAACAAAAAACTCAGTTTTGAAATATTTATTACATTATGCTTTTTTTGTTGATATTTTCAATTTCCAGGTTAAAATATTTATTTAGGTAGGCATTCGGTGCCGGAAAAATTTACTGATGAGCGAAAAAACAAGAAGCTATAAATCTATATGTTCATTCATTTGTTTATTGTAAAAATATTACACTACAAAACTTTAAAAATGTTAAGCCACCTTAGTTCTGTGGTCGTAGCACTCAGTGAGTGGGCACATATTCCACCTCTTAGGCATAACCTAGTAGATAATTACTTTATTACAAACTTTCCCGCTTTAAAATGGTGACCGTTGAGTTGGCTCCCAAAATGATTTCGACCAAATGGTTCGCTAAATATAAAGTGGTTCTATAAATATAAAAGTGGAAAAAGTACGAGACTTTAATATTTTTAGTATCACAGTGCCAAATAACTGCCGAAAATTATTTAATCTTTAATCCAATAATGCATTAAACTATCGTAGTCAAATAATTTAACTACTAATTTCACTGATATCTTTAAACGTAGTACTGCTAGTTCATCGCGATTCGTCGTAGTTCGTCATAATTTGTCGCAATTCGTACCTCTATAGATATGTATACAATTAATCCGGTTGAAAAAATGAGTAGTGAATAGGAAGAATTAATTTTAATAGTAAATAATTTTAAATTTGTCTATCATAAACCTCTTCAAAGTGCATTAAAAAAGATTCAAATTTACTAAATTTTAACAATTTTGATGTTCTATAAAATGTAATATTTGTATTTTAAATTATTTTAATATATAATTAAATTATTATTTCGAACAATTTTTATAACCAATGGATTTATAAAATAAATGTTGAGGAGGGAGCCGATTCAATACATACATCTTGGGAGCCAATTCAATGTGTAAAAACGTCGATTACCTGAATTTAGAAGCCAATTCAATAGCTCCGTTTTGAACTATGTTTTAAAATTTTTCAAGCAAGTGAAATAACAACCATTTTTTAAACACTTATAAAATACATTTTTGAATTTCGGTGTTTGTTTTCTTTTTTTTTTTAATTTCAAGTCCTTTGTAAGCTAAATTTCCCCAAGGTCACTCAGCGCTTCAAATTCAAAAATCACAACTTTATAGCAATAATAATATATTATATAATTGTATAATACTCATTAATTCGATAATAATATAGTTATCGTACAAAAATACCTAGTACAGTAATTATCATTATGTCATTATGTGAATGTACGAACCAGCCACCCGCGGATCCTTGGGATTGGGAGCCGTCTCCACGTAGACGCTCACGTGATTGGCGCTCGATCCCTTCGCGTTGGCCGCGTACACGCTGGCCACGTACCGCGTGGACGGCCGCAGTCCGGTCACCTGAATATACGTGCGCCCGGTACGGCCGTCGTAGGTGGCCTCGGTCACGTCAGGCCGGTCGCTCGTAGCCACGGTGCACTCAAAGTGTTGCGGCAGTCCGCCTCCGTAGCCGGGATCACAGACGACCGTAAACCGAGTGCTCGTCACGTTCACCGGTAGACAGTTTCTCGGCGGATCCGGTCTCCCTGTGACACACAAACACGCTGTAAACAGGATCTAAGTGTGCGGCTGTCAGTAGCTGTAGCCGGAATAGGTTTGGTCTCGGTTCTAGGCAGCGGCGAATATCCGTGGGAGGAGAGCGATTGGTGGATTTCGTCACGTCTTATTTATCTACTACTAAATGTATTACTACTGTCTAGTACTTACCCATTTGTCGTTATAGATAAAGTTATATCGGTATATTTTGATATTTAAATAAATGCATTGAATATTAAATTTGCCTATGCGCAAATCGTTGAAATTTGGGAGGATTTGCACATGAGCGTGCTCAGTAATTTCTAATGGGGGAGGGGGCTAGGAGGTTATGGATAATTCTTTCAACTGAAACCATCGACATTTGAATATTTTTTGTACTGATTAGAGTGATACACTTTCAACAAGGATAATAGGAAAGGTTTAGTTATGAAACTGTGGACTTGAAATTCGCCCCCTCCCTAAAACTGGGATATAACCGCCACTAGCCATAGGTAGGAATGTATGTCTATTACCTATCAATTAAAGACAAAAATAAATAAACAAACAAACTAAACCCAGGACTTAACAGTACTTATCCAAAGACGGATACAACATTTATTTACAGTCAAGACACTCTGGGGGTTAGACTGTAATTGTTTACTTTTTTGTTCGAAAGATTTATTATTTTTTAAAATTTTTTTTTATAGATTTTTGTCATATTCAATTTTTTGTTGTATTTAAATTTTGTCTCGAAATAAAACATTGGTAATATAATATACATGATATATATACAACTATAGTAAATAAAGTACATTTTTTTTTTTTGTAACGGAGGTGGCACTTGCTTATAGTATCTCTTCTGGACCCTCCATTTTACTTATTCCTTAGAATGTATGACTTAGATCCTATTTAATGTAATGTAATTTCGAAAGTTATGTGTATTAATTCTATTTCCTGTTTTTTCCTACGGAGTTTTAATTTTAAAAAAATCGACGGACCATAGGTAGTTTGCACCATGAGTTGCATTATGGGTGGGACTTCGGAGAAATTACTTGCTTAAATGTTAAATTCTTTATAAATTGTCTTTAACTGTTATTGAATCAATTTTTAATCAACTAATTGTTAGTAGGTATCTAGGTATGTTATTGTTAGTGTTTTGAATTAGTCAATATTGTATAATATACCCACTGAAAAATATTTCTATAAACTGGCAAAAACCGAATTATCTCTAAAACGATATTATATTATTATAAATTATAATAATTATGGTTCTGAAATGTTGACATGATAATAAATTATGCATATTTTTTTCGAATACGAAAATAAATGACTACCTACCTAAAGTTTATTTTCGTAAAAATTAAAAACTAATTTAATTGTTTTAAATAAATTGATCGTGACATCAAGTTGTCTTTTACATTATTAGGATTGAATAATATTATTATCCAGTGTAATATATTTTTAAAATAAAAATGAAAATCTACACATTACGCACTTTGGTAAAATAAATGTTCAGTAAAGATGATATTACTGTATAGTTGCTATTGAGGTATTCTATATAATATTGGTTATCATCATTCAAATAGTTTTCTAATATCGACATTACAAAATTGTCTAGTTAGATGATGGAAAATGGAAAATTATTTGATGATTATAATAAAATTATTAAGAAGCGAACCCATAAAGTTATCTCAACTCTACCAATGGAAATAAAATAAAATATTATTACGTATGAAGTAGTAAGTTGATTAAGTTGATTGAAAAATGTTTTAAAATACTAGATATTTTAAAGTTTTAAATCAATATTACTTCATATTGATACCTATATACTACATAATTATGTTGAGCGCAGTCTTGCAGGGACACAGGTAAATTGTTTTTCAAAGAAACTCTCAAAATTAACTCTTCACAATTATTAATTTTATTTCTGGTCAGATTTTAGAATAAATAGGTACTAGATAGATACCTTAAATCGCAAGAAAAGTTTATACAATGTCAAAATGTGTTATCTATATATACAGGTGTCCCACGAAGATACGATGTATTGGAAGTGATCATTTTTTTGGTAATTTTATTTTGGTATTCTGGATACATCGATTTTAGCGTTATGTCGCGTTCACTCATTATGTTTTGTTAGAAAATTAACACGAATGTTATAATAATATTATCGAAATTCTTTTGGTATAATAGTGATGCTCGTTTCGTTTATTGGAAATGTTTACCTTATTTCTACGTCTGTGAAGTTAGCCCACCATCACGGCCGAATTATTCCAGACAAATTGTATGTTATAAACCTTTAATTGTTAGTAAATGTAAGTTCATTCCCGGAATTTGTTAGTTAGTCCTAAGTTATTGGGCGAGTTAGGTTGTAAGCTATGGATTTTTAATAAATGTAACTTCGTTCCCGGAGTTTGTAAATTGGCTCCACTAAAGAAATTATTTTTTAAGTATTGTATTAAGTTTGTATTATTTCAAAATTAAGTGCGCAAGAAATTATTATATTATTAAAAGACTTTAATTTGGCCGAAATATCTACTAAATTTGTATTACATGAAAAAGTAATAAATAATAATGATATATAATAATAATATTTTCAAAGGTCCATATCGTTACGTAGGATTTTTTTTTGTTCTTGTTCATATGTAGAAAAATAACCGTTTACTAATAACGGCGATCCCTTCTCTATTTTTTTATAGAGAAAAACCCAGTATTTGTTCACAAATATTTTCACTTCTTTTATCTTACATTCTTACTTCGAAACTCAGTTATCTAACAGTATTATTCGAACCGTCTATTTAAGTTTCTATTTATATGAATATATGTTTTTGTCTTTCTGTTTGCTATTTAGTGTTTATATTACACATAATGGTCTGCCACCCAAAATTTAATTCGTTTGATATTAAGTTAGCACTAACTTACAAATTCCGAGAATGAACTTACATTTACTGACTGTTAAAGAGCTATAATTTAAAATTTGTCAGGAAAGATTCGGCCGTGATGGGAGGAGGGAGGATAACATTCACAAACGTCACTTTTTTATTAATGGTCGAGCTTTATTTATTTATTTTGCGTGTCACAATGATAGGTTATTATTAATAACCATCATTTATTATAACCCATTATTCTTTTTACGCGCATGTTTTATCTTTCGTGCCAATTTTCGGTACTTACTAGTTTTTGCCATTCAACATTATTCAGGTTGATCAATTTGAGTGGCTACACCACTAGATATTTCAAAGAGTATTGAAATCATTCAAAATTGTTTTTACTGAAACAAGCAGCTATACAATGTTACGTTAATGTTATTTTTGAGGGTGAAATTACTACGTACTTTAGATTTTTAAATGGTAATCTATGTGATTTAAATAGTCTATACATAAATGGAGTTCAAATAAAATACGGCGAGGAAATATTTCCACCAACTCGTTGACGTGATATTTAACTTTTATCATAAGTTTGGATACGGGAAGAGTAGTGGATCATATACAATGTATGTACGTAATACATGTATGTAGTGGCATGGCGAGTGGCGTTTAAATAATGCTCTACTACTCTCGCTGCTTAAACTTGAAAGTAGATAGTAGGTTTGCTCATAAAAATAATGTAAACTTAACATTTTATAGTTGTTTGTTTCTTAAATTGTCAAAAAAAAAAGTCAATAATTTTCGAAACATCGAGCGTAGCCACTTGAATGGATCACTCTGTACATATAAGATATTATTTTTATTTTAATAGTAAACGATCAACATGATATCAAATTTAAAATCGAGTTGTATACCTATAACATTATCTTAGGTACATGTTTAAATATTCAATCAATTGATAATACGAAATATATCATACTCTTAGGCTAACACCCGTTTACTATACGTAATTGTTTCGTTTACACTCGGGAAATGTTATCATAATATTTATGTTGTATACAAGATTACGTTTACGTGTAAAATGTACACTTTAAAAATATATTGTTTAAAAATTTCTCATAGATAAGATAAAATATCCAATATATAAAGTTTATACATACAAGCTATGATAATTTATTGTATATATTATTTAGGTACACCTAAAATTTAGATCAATAAAAATATTCACCATAATAAAAGCATAATATTTGTATTGTACACAATATGGGTACTATTATAAAGCCAATATTAAATCTTTACTAAGTTGTAAGATATTGAAATCTGTATATCATTATTTTGATATAATATATAATAATATATAGGATACGATAAGACCTATTCTTTTCAACTTTTAAAAATTGATAAAGGTACGGTACACTTATCATTATTTTTTAAATTTCGGGATTTTGTTTGTGTTTTTTAGAAATTATATTATGTATAGGGGAACAATATGACTCCCTCTTCCCTTTCTTTTCCCGCTAATAATTATCCCACGACTTACCTGCCGGTACGATGTGATAAACGCAGGGCTGCGATTGTGTGGCTAACGAGTTGGTTGCCCAACACAGAAGTGTACCGAAATCAGTGACTTTGAATTTAATGGTCGCTAAACTTTTGTCTGAATTAGCCACGTTGATTAAACCAGAGACGGAGTTATTAAATGCCCAACGGAATGAAGTAGGGGTAGGATTGCTGTTGACTTTACATTTGACCCATGCAGTTTCTCCTTTATGCGCACCATAAACGTGTTGTTGATTGGTAATACAAGACGGCTCGTCTATAAAATGAATATAATAATAACGTTATTATAATTAAGTACTATTAACCAAGGCTGGGAAAGTTAATTTTTTTCAATAAAATTAACAATTAAGTTAATAGATATTTTAAATATATTAATTAAATAAAAAATTAAGTTAAAATTTACCATTAACTTAAATTAATAAGTTAAGTTAATTAAAAAAAAATTCATTGTTTAGGTAAAAAATCTAATATGAAAGTGAATGCAATTATGAAATATTAGGTACCAATTTGTTTATTTTAAAATCTGTGGAATTATAGCATTTATAGAACTTCAATCATAATTCAAAATCTGAAACACTTTAATTTAAATTTGAGTGTAAAAGTGGTTACTGTATTATTTAACATTTATAATTTATTAATTTACAAAATAAATAATTGAAACAAAAAAGTAAAAAAAGGTACGAAAACTACATATTAGTTCGAAACTTTTATTGAAAATATTTATTAAATTTTAATAAATAGGTATTATTCAAGTAATATCCAAGTAGGTATTATGAATATAATTCGTTTGTCATTATTGAAATGATAAAATAGTTTTATCTATAAATATAAAAAAAGACGATATACTTTGCACATTGGTGGGCCACTGTTGTAGATGAGAAGTTGGGAAGGTAGAGGAGAAATTTAATGTATATCTGTAAGCAACGACTAATCATTTTAATGAAAAAATGATTCTGAGTGGAGTTCGGTTAATAGTGTGGATTTTTTAACTATATATATTAATATCTATGCCACATCATGGTAAAATAATTGTATCTGCATTATATTTTTTGTTTAATAATAATTCTTTAATATTGTACTTATTTTTCCGTTTTTCCTATGTTTTTCCCCCGTTTTTCTTATTTTTTCCCCGGTTTTTCTCGTTTATTGGGAAAACTCCTGGGAAAATCTAAAAAATAACTTTTTTAAATTACCACTTAGATTTCTTTTCAGAAAAAGTGTTATTATTGTAAGTTGAAGCATAATTGCTGGTAGAAATATTGTTCACAAAAAAAAAAAAAAAATAAACATCATTCATCATCATCAAGTTAACATTGAGGCAAATTAGTTAATTTAATACATTGAAATTAAATTAATTTTAACTTATTAACTCGTTAATGCTTATCCTTGCTAAAAACTAGTATCATTTCAAAAAATAAATTTATACAAATATATATTTGGCGTATTCTATTTTATGGTTGTCAAACGTGTACGATAGGAAGGAATAAGAGTAGTAGACTGGAGGAAATGAGCATGTGGTTGTGGAATAAAATGACAGAAACAAACTGGAATGCTGGATAGAACATAAGATGAATAAAACAGTACTGAGAGAAGAACAATGATGAATGCAATAATGAAATGAGAAATTAAGCTAATTGGACATCTTTTAAGGAACAATCAGTTCTATAACCATCATAGTGGAAGGGTAATTAACAGTAAAAGAACCAGAGAAAGAACGTTTAAATACTTTTTTGAAAAAATATTCCATTGGATGGATTTACTTCTTATCAACAACTCAAGAAGATGGAAAGTGACAGAATGGCTATAATAAGGCTTTTCCTTTAGAAGCTGAAGAAGATGATGAATAACTATTAATACTATCTATTCTATTTATATCGTTTTTGTATTTTGGTTTTGCTAAACAATTAATCCTATACAAAATAACAAAGTTGCTGGGCGAATCGAGTTAATTAAGTCAAGAGGACGTGACACGCCCGATATTTAAGGGGTTACGCATAATAGCATAATATTATATTACGTAAAATGTGTATACCTACCTATATCTATAATATATAGGTATAAACATATTATATTCACATTTGTAAGATTAATGAGCTTATTAATTTTGATTTTATATATATGTGTGTATAATATGTATCTAGGTAATAAAGTTCCGGCCCTTGTAATTTATTTTCGTAAACTTTTATGATTTATTAAGATCCTAAATATATAGACATTATAAAAATAAATAAATATATGTACAACGGTTTTAGAACGTCCTAATTTAAGTGCACATGCTTTCACGTATTCATGTGAAATTAACATTCGAATCTATAAACCGGCGTATTTGAAAAATCTATGTACATGTATATTAACGTAATCATGTACCTATTCACTATTTTAGTGTTTTGATATACATATTTAAAGTTCATAATGTTGATAAAAATTTTAATTCAACAATACATTGATACAAAATCAACAAAAATTAATAAAATACGTTATCGCCTAAGTAAATAACTATCCGTGATTACATGAATGCATGAATAACTCTAAAACACAGAAATAAGGATAGTAAATTCACGTGTATTAAATATAGGCCTGTACACATTTTTCAGTAACGTGTACATGGATTCCGTGTTAAATTAATATGTATTAATTTTCGTTTTTCAACGAGACCTCTGTATGTTATTTTATTTAACTAATGCAATTTATTACCAATATTATATATTTTTTTTAAGTAAAAATGTCTCATAAATATATAAAAAGTTAGGTACCTATAAAATTGTCTATAACGGAATAATTTGTTATACGGTCCCATAAGTAATTCTTTTTTTATTCAAATTTTATACTACCTATTCATACCTATTCATACTCGTATGTATTTCTAGCTTTATTATTATTTTTCGACCATATCTGTACTAAAGCCGAATAATAAATTGTTGTTACGACGACATTGTAATAATACGTATTATTGTCCTTGAAACGTTTTCAATTTATTTTCAAACGGTATAATAATAGTAATATTTATGTAACATTTCTAAATGATATTACCGTTCTTATAATTTTAGCGGGTATAATGTATGAGACCTTCGGTGCAATAACGGATTAGTCCCATCCCATTATCTGCTATTCTACAATTATTCTCACTGCTATTATTTTTCTTAAAAAATATTTATGACTTTAAAATGAAATAACGATTTAGGTCCTATCATCTAGGTGCCTATTAATGAATTGAATAATTCAATTCATACAATTATTTTATGATATATGGTTGCTATCTAATGCCATTAACTCAAATATGGAAAATGTGTGGCTCGCAGTTGGTTATTGAACCGAAAGTTCATTTATTAGGTTCCATAATTAATATGATTAAGTACAGAGTAATCATGTGAGGTGGGTCGTGATTAAATTTACATACGTGTCAGCAAGATAATCAAATACACTATCATTGCACTGTGTCGGCTATATTGCATCTGATATTAATTTGGCGGCTATCAAGACGTGGTATCGTTTTATTATAGTGTAGTTTTAGTCGTTAGTCGTTAGTCGTTATTACTTTGAGATAGCACGATAACGATGAGAAAAATCGGCAATAATATTATTTATTCTATAATGTACGCCAGTGATAACCAATGTTTTATGCACAGCTTTATCTTGCTGACATGTCTGTATATTTAGCCATGAAATGGATCACGCAAAGCTGTATTAGTCACATTTGTTGAGATGTTAAATTAGATATTCTAAGTAGATAATGAAAAATGTACACTGAAACTTAAGTATTATGATAATAATACGGTCAAAATAATTTTTTGAAATATTGTTTTAGTGACTTTAATACAATACGCTACGATGCACAAGTAGCTGGTAAATAAGTATTGTATAATATACATTATATTCATAATTCATGATTAAGTTTTCACAAATTATTTATTTTGAGATAACAAACAGGAAAAAAATGTCTTTCTTTTTTTTTTTTACTGAACACTGAATACAATTTAATTTCGTTAAATATAACTATAATGCCATTATAGTCTATATTATACTTACATTTGACGTCGATGTGATAAGCGTTACTAATAGATTTTCCTCTACCGTTTGAGGCTATGCATCGGTAGCTCCCGGACCCCTTACGCGTTATTGATTGTAAAACTAAGGTTTGATTGCTCACAATTGTTCTCCGGCTCTCGTGTCGTCCGACGTTTGTCCCCTGTGCATATGATATATGAAAAAAAAAAAATATAAATATATAAAACTCGGGATATTATTTACACGAAACAATCGTGAAATAATTAAATTCCTTAACCGTTTTCTGGCCCGGAATACCCCGGCAGTGTAAACATCATACCCCAACCCTTTCTTCTGGTTATCTTGATGCCAAGTGCTCGCCTCTTCTCTGAGGCTCGCGTAAGCATAACAGACCTTTTCTCGAGTGCCTATTCGAGTTCCTCCTTTACAATAACGCACAAGAAATCGTTTTCGTTTTTTTTTTTTTTTTATACGTTCTTTGCTCTTATATAGCAATAATACCTCTTTCGGACGACATAAAACCATCATACCACACGCAGAGTACATTGTTTTATATAAACATAATAATAAACATCTACTCAATTATACGCGGCTTCTTTTACTATTGTTTTTTTTTTTATTAAATAAATATTTATGTATATAATAATTAAGCTTGTTGCTTATAATAGTTACATGCATATTATAGTGTTTTTTTTTTCGAATTAATAATGAATAAAAAAGTAATCCACTAGTAAATTATGAGTTTAAAACGATTTTAAAATATAGATAATAGTTTACTTACATTATGATCCCAGTCAAGCCTGTTTATGACTGGCGACGCCTTAATGGTGCATTCGAAATACACATCAGAACCTTCTTTAATATAGGAAACGTTTAAGTTTCTGCCTAAATCAATTCGCAGTCTCGGGGGATCTATAAATACGTGTTTTTTTTTAATAATTATAAATGATATAAAATTCGTATAAATATTATAAATACACCGTACAATGAACGTTGAGTATTATTTTTTGTTCTTTCGGTTCTTTTCGAAAATATATGTTGCTCGCTACGCAGCTTATAACGCTTTGATCGTCGTTGTCAGACGGTACTAATCTTAATGAACTCCATGTCATATTATTATTTTCCACCACCTGGAAACCAAAGATTTTATATTATCGAAACAAATAAAATCTATAAATTTTAAACAGCCCATTAGATAATCTATATTTTATATAATAATTATCAAATATAAACAACAGTTGTAAAATTCGTTGTCAAAAATGTCTTGTCTTGCTCAAGTTAATAAAATATTAAACAAGTTACCTTCTTTATTAAAAAATAATATAAAATATAAATAATAATAAAATTATAGCTGTGTGTGGTAAATATTTTATTTCAGTAGGTACACAGATGTGACCGACCACATCGCGAAAAAAATTACACGATGTCTAATTCGAGAGACCATTTCATGAAAATATGCCTTTACCTTGAAATATTTTTGTATTTCACGAAGTGTGAAAAAGTCGTTTCCTTTACACGAAATGGATAACTTTTCGTGAAAAGGTCTATTTTACGAAATGGCTACGACATAGTATATACTATAATATACCAAACATTTTAATACAAGGTATGCAATAGGTGACGAAGAAAAACAATAGAAACCGGCACTAATCCCTATATTATATTATATTGAGTATATTTATTTATAATAATTTGCGGTCGGCCGTTTGCCAGGACCTAAAATAATTTGATCCTTTCAAAATAATATGTCAGAGGCAGGCATTATATTATTACACGAGTCATGTACCGAACAGGACAAAACGAATTCGATTGATTCGTACAATAATATTATAATATTACTACCTACCTAGCATTCTATACGTAGGTATATGTATATACACAAATCGCGAATGCGCTGATATGTTACATTTTGTGGATAATATGATTATTATTAAACGCTAGACTTAATGTTGAAAATAATATTTTTCGTATACCTTTATACGTTTTGTTTTGTTCTCGATGACTCGTCCATCGTGGTACCACGTGATATTGGCCGCTGGTCTGGAACCGTACGAAACGCAATCGATACTGCTCGGTTCTCCAGCAAGAAACGGTTGTTCCACTCCGGTAATGGCCACACTCAACGGTTTCACTGTAAATTATTTCAAATCATATTTAAATATTTGATGTAACGGACTTTCGTTCAGGTAAAAAATATAAATTTAATCTAAACATAAAACAGTTAAAAATATAATTAATATAGGGAGATAGAAACAATGCATACAATTTAAACGAACAAGAATTGGGGGGTTATCATACGCTATATAGTTCCATGAGACTATTAATAGGCACATTTTGTTGGAAGTTCGTGGTGTAATATACTGATGTGTAATAATAATAAATTATTCGTTTAGAGCGAGAAAGAATTCGAAATTCATAAGCGAGAGAAGGGTTTGAGAATCAATGTCACCAGAAATATTCTGAAGAAAAGAAAGATTATGAGAGTATAGTCTACGTGAGATGGAAGATTGAGTTTTTTGAAGATAAACTGATTTTTACTCTGATTTAACTGAAGTTAAACGAGGCATGATATTTTTAAATTGATGGACACACTCAATGCCTACACAGCTACTATGTCCATAAAACTGAGCTGTACTCCAGAACTGCATGTGGCACAAGCACTTTAGAGAGTTGGTTAGCTTAAACTCACTAGCTAACTCACTAACTCCCTAATAAAATTCAAGAGTTCTAAGAAATGTACATGTTATTGCATCTATATATGTAATATGAATATAATGAGGAAATAATAGTAAAATGGATAATAATGTATTTTAGATTCCTAGTATAGCGAAGAATGTATTGTTTTTCCAAAGATGTTTTTTTTTTTTGTACTATATACACAAATTCTACCAGGAATCTTGCTCAGAAGTATCGTTTTGTCTGAAGAGGAATTTCACTAGAGTGATACTTTAAGGGGGTCATTCTTTGATTTTCCCAGGAGTTTTTCTAATAAATAGGAAAAACATGGTAAAAACCAGGAAAAAAAGGGAAAATAAATACAATATTAAACAAATATTATTTAAAAAAATATATGCACATAGGTATGGAGTATTCGTTTGAATTATAAATAAGAATAGGTACCTAGGTTATAATGTTATAGCATATGTAGTATGTACCTAGTGTGAGGGCATGTGTTTGTGAATGACGTTTATTCCAGTATTAAAGAGGTGCTTGAAAATGTCATAGATAGGCATAATATGCTAATACCACAAAATATGAAATCCATTCGAAATCCATTATATTATTTTGGGGTTTGCAAAAAAAAAAAAAAATAAAATGTTTTATAATTTTCTAGAAATTTCTAAATATTCCTAGAAATTAAAAAAAAAATCGTGTTAACAAAGCCGATATTTCGTTCACGTTTAAAATCTAGATTTTTAAATGCAATAATTTACTTAAATATAATTTAATATATTCTGTGGATTTCCATACGACTGTATCCGTTTCCACAATTTTTAGACTCTATACTTGGTATAAAATATATCGTTATAGTATTTTAATAATCATTATTATTATTATTCTAAGTAATAATTATTATAAACTTTATAAAATAAAGATTAAAACTGAGATCTTATAAGTGTGTATCTCACCCCTTCAAAAGTTTCTAATGCCAACATTGATATCAATGTAAGTACGTTTTTGTAATTGTGTACGAGTATAGTGTTGCAAAGTAATGTATAAATAATGCACGGCGAGTTACTACTCGATAACCTGATTTTTTTTTTGTCTACTTGGTCTAAAATATTCATTCAGATAATTAGATATATATTCTTTCGAGTTTTCTTTCACACACGCATTTTGAATTATACGAAAATTGCAGTGTTTTATTAATGTGTAAGATTAGGATTTGTATATTTAATACGAAACAGAGAAAACTATTTAACTATATATTATTTGTTATAAACAACGCATTTTGTACCGTCCCACTAGTCACGATAATCAGATTGGACATGTTCAACTGTTAAATATAAGTATACGTTACAACAATAGATGCGTTCGTATTCTCAGCAAAAATTACTTTTTTTAATTTATATTTTTTTTCGTCCAGAAAATGTTAGTTTATATTATTTAACAATTTCATCCATAATAAACTTTAGTTAGTAACTAACTTTAGTTTTGTAATTTTCTTCTTATTTTTTTTTATTAGAAAGTTTAGGAAACAATAAAGCAATTCTTTTTAAAGAACATCATAATTTGTTTCACGTCAAGTGTTAATAATATATAAACTGTATTATAATTATTATTTTTTAAAAAAAAGCTGATATTGTTGATGGGTCTGTCATCATTGTAGGTAGGGAGTTGTGAATGTAGGATATATAAAGTTAGGTATTTAATTTAAATCTGTACGTAATGCTTAACCATTGTTAATTAAAAACAATTCTGAGCGAAGTTTATACATGTTTATTTACTATTTATACATGTTTTGAGATGCGTTTTAATGTTTTAATTTTTACGATTTTCGTTAAAATTCGATTTTAAAACGTTTATAAAAAAAAAAGAACTAATACATTATATTCAACTTAATTTTTTTTACTATTAATTTTATAGTGAACCTCGTATTAAATTTTCAAGCATTTCATTTTAGCCAAACAATATTATCTGATTTTCTAAATTATTATCTTAAATATTGCGATTAATGAATTATGATGTTTCAATATACACACATTCATCTAAATTCAAAAATCCAGGCGGACAGGACAATTTGTATTAATTTTAAGTGTCACTGTTCAACGATATATTGCATTTTTATTTTTAAACTGTGTATTTATGTATGTAATATATGAGTACGAAACAGCCAGGGGTGGCATATCCTCATTTTCCCTACCTCCAATAGACGCCCTAAGAATTTATATAACAGTTGATATTTTATGCATATTATATTAAATAGTTTATAATGAGTTGTGATATAATAATATGCAGGTAATTAGATCGGGATCACCGTGTGTTATTTTAAGTTTCTCAGAATAATTCGATACGAATATACAATATTAATATAATCATGTTGAGTGGTATCATTAATGTATAATAAAGTCGTGGGGGTTAAAGGTTAGGTTAGGACGAATATACATTCAATTTATTTCGATATAGGTTTATATATAATATAATAATACCATAGTTATATTTTGAAGGGTTTTTGAGATAATTGCAAGTTTAATATGTACACACGAACAATTGATCCAGACGCGAATATAAAATAACATTCCGCGTTTTCAGTTAGATACCTTCCTGTTGTAACTATGTTTGAAAAAAGTGACGTTAACAATTGAATAATTTCATAATTCGTGGTTTTTTTTTTTTTTAATTTCCTTATTCTCTCCGTAATAATGAACTGAAATAAATATAGGTAACGACTCTATAAGAAAAACGGTGGGGTGGGAAGAGTTCTAGACTGAGTTTTCAGATTTTTATTTGTCGGTAGAAAATACCAGTCGAGATTAATGATTTTATAATTGACTTATACTTAAAATTAATACATATATATATATATATATACTTGTTTATGATATTTTTTACGTTATTGTTGTAACGTTATCATAATTGTATGTTTAATATAAATTTTATTTTTATTTCTATTAATTATTATTTATTAAATATGTATAGGTACATTAAAATGAAAGATAAAAGTAATACCACGTAAATTAAAAATTTTAAATTCATCAGACGAGTTTTTGTATTTTTATGCATAGATACTTTTTCCCCTTATAAAGGAGGAATTTCTAGACTAGGTATATTAAATTTCACTTTTGAGTAGAACTTAATTGAACTTGGTATTCTGTCAAGATCTAACTTTGTTTCTTAAGATTAGCTTTAGCTACGAGTATAACATAACTTTTGGAAAATTATTAAATTCTCGTTATTGCAGCTGCAACGTATAATTTAGTATGTAATAATTTAAATTAAATATAGATTGATTATTATTTACAAGTTTCAACAGCTATAATATTATAATCATAAATAGTATAAAATATTAATTTTTTTAATTACAATAAGTAATGATGGTGAAGTAGTAATTATCTATGTAAAAAAATATGTATCGATTTGAAAAACCGTTTATTTGTATGGCTTTCGAGTTCTTGGTATAGTGGTGAATGATCGAAAACTGAACCTGGTACCTATAATATATTATTATGATTAACTAAGATGTCATTTACGATAACAAAAAAAAAAAAAAAATATAATTATATTATATAATTTTCACTGAAATCTATTAAAATTCTAATGTTTGTTTCATTAATTATTATTATTATTATTTTTAAAAGTTAATTGCAGTTTACCTTATTTTACGTTTTCCATTACATTAAATTCCTACTAAAAAACAGCTGTACAATTATAATAGCACGACAGAAATATATATTTAATTCTTATAGAGGCGGAAGATGAAAATAATATTATTTTTGAGTAATGAATGTGCTTCAGTAGTAGTAGGTATTATACTAGGCAGAGGTATAGTTAATTGTTTAAAAGCAGTAAATTCAACAATGGGGTACGCGTAACCTAATATTGTAAATAAGTAATAACTATTAAAAAAGGCTGAATTGACGATAATTTATCTTGCCTACATAATATTACATTTTACATTTACCGTAAATCTTTTTAATATTTAGTGACCGTATCAAAGAGATTTACAATTAAGAGTGAAATGTCTTAATAAATTATGTGTTTTTAAGTATATAATTTTTTTTTTCAAACGTTAATTTTAACAATTTTTAATTCTTGTACCGATTATTGCAGCTTGATTTTTTTTTTAACCTACTAGCAAGTACATTAGTAATGACAAGTTTTCTTATAATAATTTTGATACAATTTGATAAATACTTGTCAGTTTTCATTTACAATGACGCACAAATAAAATTTAAAAAAAACGAACCACGACAGTTTGAGCGAACAAAAGTATTTATTTTTATTTTTTTCATTGTTTTAAACTGATTAAAATCATTCTATAAAATATCCTACGGCTGCTGTACCCGTATACCGCTGTATCTACGCGGACAAGTGAACAATGCGCAATATTCATTATTAATGTAACATTTCTAGATTGAATTTGGCCACTTTGGACATGGACAGCAGAGTTCTGGCCGTGATATCGGGCTGCTGTCGGATGATCGCCGAATTTTTGATCTTATTGACGTAAGGTCGAGTGGTAAATGTTCGCATAAACGACCGTATATTTTTGGGTTTCGGCAGGATATGCTCTTGAAACTGCGACCACGTTACTTTTTCGTTGACCGAAATCCGGTAGTCGTCCAGCGGTATCTTGTCACCGTTCCGGACCTCTCGACTTTCCTCGTTTATCCGATTGGGACCGACAAAATTCTGATCGTACTCTTTCTCGTTTGCGTTGACCCGCAGATTCGAGATTCTTTTCTTGGTTATCGCCGAAGCCGCTGTGTTTTCCCTTGTTGCATGCGCCGGTGCCCTGAGCATGTTAATGTAAACGTCGAAGGATAATTTAACCGCGTCGGACAGCGACCCATTCAGCAGCACCGACAGCGTGCTGACGAACTCCCGTTCCGTCAAGTATTTTTTGTTGGCCACGGAACACAGTTGGTGCATTTTTTCCACGGCATCTGTGTTCTTGACGCCCAGGAAACGGTCCATAAAGTCCACAAAACACTGTTTGTCCATCGTCCTTTTACCTTTATTGGTCAGCGTGTAATATATATTTAGCAGCTCCTGCACTTCTTCTTTAGTAAAATCGGTCTTGCGCGATAGTTCTGTGGCCATGGCCGCCCAGTGAATCTGCCTCGAGTGTATGTCCTCAAGTGGCGACGGCTTGTTATCCGGAGTCGACGTCATCTCCGTGAAATTTTATTCAATAGATCGATATTCCCGACAGTCTTGTCTTGGAGTTCGAGACTACGTGTTTAAAGGCAAGAAACATTTTTTTTTCGTTTATTTGTTTATTTAACAACACAACCGTTGTCGCGTTGCGTTGTCAGCAAATTATTAAATCGAATTACAATTTGATTCCATTTGGTATCTGTTCAATTGGTATTATTATTAGTCATGCACCTATACAGGCTGTTGAATTAAATTTTTTTTTTTAGTAAAACAATAAAAAAAGTATAGATATTTGTAGTCCTTATTCCTGTGAGTAATATAAAAAAAAAAACATAATTTTATTAACTTTATTATCTCCGGAGATATTTAATTAAGGGGTATTTCTTTATGGGACAGCCTGTATAGCGCGTTATTATTAGGGTTCGGAACTTGATGTATTTGCACTTTTTGTAGTGTTTTATTTTTGCTCTAGTGCGTTGTTCATATACACGCAGTCAACACCGAGATTCAACCTTAAATGACACACAATTAATTCGATTAATTTCTATATAGAAATTACATTATATTACTATGTAGAAAAAATACAAATTTAACATATTTTTCTTTTCTTGAACTTTTCATTTGCTAGTCAACTAAAAAAAAAAAAAAAATTGTACAACAAATATTAAATTATAATAAGAAGTGACGTGTTGTGCCGTTTTATGTTTAAAACTCTATGACCTCATCAGTGCAGTTTACTGCATTTGGGTTCTTTTATTGAACAAATAACAACATGAGACGATTCAATCTTGTTTGAGTCATTGTTGTTCAAAGTTTACGTTTAACAACAGTTTGCTTTGAGACACAACGTTTTCAACTTCAAGATGTAACAATTATTGTGTCAAATCTTGTTATAATTTTGTAGCTAGTCTGACCACTCATGAATTGTTTTAACTGAAGTAATATTTGGAATATCTTTCCTTATTTTTACCCTTGCATTATAGGCGCAAGGTGGTCAATTTTTTCGGAGGAAGAAGGCTGTGGACTCTGATAATTTCGTACCTATGTGTATTTTTATGGTAGACTTTGTTTCAAAATCTACGTTCCAAAAATGTAATTCATTGATAACCATAAACAATAAATAAAAAAAATACTTGTACCTACCTATGTCATAATTCATAAAATAAATAATATAGTAAAATATTGTGCATTCATTTATAATTGTAAACTCGTACCTTTATGCTTATGATTGGCATATTTTTAGCAATTGTGTTCCATTTATATTTATCATTCGTCATAATTTCATGCCATAATTACTACGACTATAATGAAAATAAGCAGTCTACAAATCAACATTATCATAAACAACCTATTAAGCTACCTACTAAATTTGTATACGAAAATTGTATTATATTGAATTGTTAAAAAGCTACTTTGTAAAAAATTGCTAAAATTTGCTGAAATTTCAGGTGTAGCTCAGATTGTATTAGCTGGACCTATAAAACTGCTTATGCATTTACATAGAAATAGCGAATAGTATCAACTATGTAATTACTTTTTGGTATTATTTAGTTATTTAATATATTTTCATAGTTTTGAATTTACATTATATTTTGAGTCTCTTAATATATTGGACTGTTGTTTTTTAGGTTACTTTTACAGTTATATGTATTAAAAAAAAATTTAGTGTTACTATTATAAATATATTAATTGGAGCGTCTAATAAAAAGTGTTTTATTGAATTAATTGATAACAATGTTTACTAATTTATAAAAATTATTTTTACGATATTATATATTATACATATAAAAAAAATAAACATAAAATAACTACGTTGTGATTTGTTTTTGGGTAATCTTTTAACATTTGTATGATTCGTTTTAAATATTTTTAAGTCATCAATTTCTAGACTCTAGATAATTTACTAAACTCTACCTAGTTTATGTGAAAAATAGTACACGTATTTTATTAGATAGATTTATATTATTTTTTTTTATAGATTCCATGACGATTTAATATGCTAGACGAATTTTTTTTAATAATTTAAGAAACCAGCAACTCTAAAATGTCACATCATTTGTATGGTGATACAGCGGTGTATGGTGTTTGATTATTCTCCCCTTACCCAAATTTAAAAGTGGGTTATTTCGTCAATAGGTTGATGGAAATCAAATATTTCCACCACCAAAAGTATTAATTTATACCAATTTAAATTAAAAATCTGTCAATTCGTGAGATTTTAGATACAGGTTGCCATTCGAAGATCAAAAGTAGATATTCGTTTTACATCTAAAAATAAAGGCGAGGAAAAATAATGTTGACGGAATATTTCAAAGTTGTTTCCTTGTTTCTTAAATTGTGAAAAAAAAAAATTTTGAAAAAAAATTGGGCGAGTGTAGGCGTTTAAATCGATAACTGTGTACAGTTCATTACGGATCAACTAACGTTATTTCGAAGATTGCCTTTATTTTTTTAAAGCGTTTTAAATATCTTATTATTTCATTTACTCACGATAAACATTCATGGTGACCGAAGTTCTCAGTTGAACAATATTCGGTATATTGGACGCTTCGCATTCGAGTTTTTTGCCGAGACTGTCTCGTTGAACGCGATCGATTCGCAATACGTTAACCACGACATTTTCCCTTTCGACACTGTATGTGTTGTCGACATTCATTCCGTGTAGGTTCCACATAACGCGCGGCGGAGGACTCCCTGTATAAAAAAAAAAAAATGTGCATGTATATTTATCAAGACAAGTATCATATTTTCCTTAATTAAAATATTTTGTACTTTTAAGTTATTACGATATTATTTGATGAAGTAGGTATCTAATTATTATTGTTATTATTTTTTTTATTACGGCATTTCTGTGCGCGTATTAAGTCGGCGGTAATTTAAAACTTTTAATTAACACTAAAGATTATTTAAAATACTTGCGTTTAGTTAGTTGATAATACTATAAGGCACGGTGCCCGTTTAAATATTGTCTGTAAATTAATTAAAAAAAAAAGACTAATACTTTTGATTGGTGTGCCATCGTTTCTGGAAGGAAGTTTGAAGGGAGGATTTATAGAGTAATTAAATTTATATCTGTACACAACGATAAACCGTTGTTAGCGAATCACGATTATTATAATCACATTATTAGTCGTATATTTTTCTTTTGTTTCCAAGGTAACCCAAAAATGAACAAAAACTCTACAAGTTTTTCACGTGCGTTACACTGGCACCCCTTTTTTGGATTTTGAGTTTTCAAATTCTACTACCGTTTAGCTCGTCGTTTGTTTGATATTTTCGGAGTTTATTATTTTTTCTTTTCTACTTACTGCTGTTACTCAAAATACTGTGCATGGAAAGATTTGAACGGATCATTATTTTCCGATTTTTATTATCAAATTTCAACTATAAACGAAAGATATGTAAGTTGTAATTATTTAACTTTAAGCATAGATATTTTAAAGCATTTTGAAATAGTTGGTCGAAAACCGTATCTTCCGCTCTTAGCCATTATTGATGCTATACTAAAATTCAATGAGCCAATTATTTACACTGACGAAAGCCAAAAAGGTTAGGTTAATGGTTTTAAATATATTTAAAATATTTACTTATACTTAGACATTTGTTTTTTTTGCGACTATTGTATTGACTATACAAATTTAATTCAGACGGGAAATTAAATATTTAATTCTGAACACTATTAAACTCCTCAGAGGAATTTATTGGTTTTACTATGATGTATGCCTTTTTTTTTAGATTCTGAGTGAAGTGAGGTATACATTGATTTTTACTACGATATGTGCTTATTTTTTTTGTGTTCTAAACCTAATCAACTAGAAATGTTGCTCCAATCAAAAATGATATCAGAGATTTTTGTAAAATTTTGGATCAAATTGGTGTATTAAAGAGGCTATTTTTAAAATTTGACCCAAAAATCGTCTCTTAAAAGATAATCTACGAATATATGAGACTATATATTTAATATTGTACTCTCTATTTTGAATATTTGTATGAGAAAATTGCTGTAAATTACATTTTTAATCACTTGGTATACTAAAAATAATTAAAAAGTAAAATATTTCGGTTTATTTATACCTAAAAGATAAAAAAGTACGGTATAGATATGCCATTATAGATACCGTTTAGATGCTTTTATCAAGATAATTGCAACACTGGTCGTTTTTATAATAGTATACGGACAATGTCAAATCTGAATGATGCGAGATTATAACGCGTGCATAAATATAGGAACGAATAAACTATTATATCATGACCTAAGGTTATAGATTATTTTATAAAATCGGGAGGGACGTTGAGGGTGTTTAAACTATTAATAATTTTTAGTCAGAACGGGGTATAAATTTCTGGGGGGGGGGAAATGGTTGTAAAATAAGCTGGCTTTAAAACAATTTCCCTTTCGGTTGTATATCTGCCGCTGTGTGGGCGGTGACGGATTCAAATTAGCACCCTCGCCTGACAACGGGACGTCATTATAATATTTCTCGGCGTATTATACTATTACTGTAATATTTTATGTTGTATAATATAATAGATAAACAATAAACATATTGTTCAAACAGTATACTCGCCGTTTCTGGTATTAAATTGCGAGAGCGGTTAAGTAAAACTAAATCCTTTCATTAACGTTGCACATATAATGACAATCGGCATAATTATTATACTATCGTCGAATTTTCCCCACAGATAGAGACTATTGCACTGAATTGTATCTGTTATATATATATATATATTATATATTTTTTTCCCTGTAAATTTGGATATAAAAATATTCAAATATCCAATTTTATTGTTTTTACAGAAAATTGCGAGTTTTAAATACGCTTAAGGATTCATTAATTAGAATTGCTGCCAAGGATATTTCTTTTAAAGAGTTTAAACTTCCAACCTCTGATCTCATCATCTGTATGTATTTTATTAAAAATGTCGAGAACTGATTTACTTATATTGATTAAACTTATTTGTTCAATTCTTTATCATAAAAAAAAAAAAAACTATGAAATATTTTAATAGCAATAAATCATCTGGGGGAAAATTGACTCTAATAACGGAGTTCTGCTATATATGTGTTTTATTTTAAATTGTTTTAAACTGTCAACAATCAATTAATGGAAATTGTTAAGTATAATATGTTAACATGCAGCGCATTGGTTACACGAAATCTTTACACGCGTGTATGTAACAATGAATGACGTATTACTAAATGGATTTATTATTATTATTATTGTTATAATTAATTTATCGTGTTTATTATCAAAAATTAATCTTAGAATACCTAAAAAACGCGATGATTCCGATATTAATGATGTTATGATTAATCATGTATGTCATAACAGATTAATATCATTACAGTGATTAAAAAACAGTGAATAAGAGACCGTTGTAGGTGAGGAATTGGGTAGGTGAAATACACAAAAATATAAAATAATTGTACCTGTTTAGTTTATACATTGTATATACGCCACAAATTATCAAAAAAAATTCGGCTGAACTTCTATCGAAAAATATATGGTGGCGCTTAAAATATTTTCCAATATTTTATCAGAACTGTATTTTGTTGAAAACGTATTTTATCGGAACCGTATTTTTTCGGAAAAGTATTTTGTTGGAAAGTTTTGCTTTCGGAAAAATAATTAACCGGATAATATTTTGTCGGAAATTTATTTAGTCGGAAACATATTTTGTCGAAAAATAATTTTTACCCAACGACGAGAACATGCAGCTATGGAGTATTTATGATAAAATTATATTGAACAGTTCTGACAAAAAACTTTCCGAGGCAATATTTTTCTGACAAAATACAGTTCCAACAAAATACTTTCCAACAAATTTTAGCCCTCCAAAAGTATTAGTTTGTAAAAAATAAATTACAATTTTTCGCATTATTAATGCGTATTTTTCATAAACTTATGTTTTAACTGCGTAGGTTTAAAAACAAATTACAATATTAGGGTCAAATTTTTCGGTTGAAATGTTTTTCAGGGGTCGGAATATAAAAATAACATAAATTAAAGAACATTTTATTGTAGAATTAATCACTTAATATGAAAAAAAAAAAAAAAATTAGAAATTAGAAACACAAAATATAAAATATAGAGGAATTACGGTAAATACTATAATATTTCAATCAAATATCAATACAAGGTACCCGAAGTTATTTACAATAGGTAGGTGTTCAATAAGAAAAATCAAGTCGATAAATACTAGACTCACACTTTCAGCAAAAGGCACTGGTGCCGCAGTTTGACATCAGCTGAAACCGTAATAATTTCGATTATTATAATAAGTCGGCTATTTATTATAGAAACTTTTGTGAAATAGGATATAGCCTGACAATGATTAATAATTCTAAGGACGCGTTTAGTTCATGACAAACGATGTCTAAAGTTTTACTATTACATACCCATTGACTTTATGTGTACCTACTAATAGACGGAAACAACTGAATAAAGCATGTACTGCGTACGTGGAACGATAGAGGACGCTCGTTTATTGCTGGTGAGAGAATTGAGAAATGTATTGGTTTTATACAATAGCGTGTGTGTTTTTTTTCATCTGTAAACAACTTTTATACCAGATATCTCGCTCCGATCATTAGCTTAATTTTCTTTGTAGTAATCTTTATAATTGAGAAAAGCCGTCGGAAAAATAGGGAAAATTACCTGATAATGGAGTCTTTTATTTAGATTTAGAGTTTAAGTTATATTTCAATATCGTTCCTAGAATTTCTTTATTGAGAGAACGGAGGTGAAATGTATATTTCCCTTTTTTTATAATTGAACATTTCTTTAAAAACACATGGCCATGTAACAATATGTAATATTTTCATATATTTGCAATTTCCATACTCGGTGAAATTAAAAAAAAAAAAAAAAAAAAAATAAAAAACGAAAGTTTTTGAGTTATTTAAAACCATTTGAGATTTTTGAACTTGTATGTGAATATAGTTGTTTTGGCCCAGCTTGAATGATCGAAAATTTACCAAGCCGTTCATTATAAGTTTAATTTTGTAGTCAAATAAATACAATTTGAGCGTAATGTTTATGTTTGTAAGCGTTTCAAGTTCAAATATATATGAAAATTGTTAAAACCAAAGCATTTAAAAACGTGTCAAACTTTGCTCTGAGTAATTTTTCATTAGCGACGATCTATCGTTGCGTACAGTTATCTTAAACTAAATTACTCTATATATTATGTCTTTCGAACTTTCCATCTAATACAACACCCATCAGCTGCAGTATCCACTATTTTCGTATTTAAACTATATAGTTATAAAAGACACAAATTTAATGTTTAGTCCTTGAAATCCACGTAATGATACGAATTTAAATATTTGTGGTCATTATTCCCACGAGTAATATACATATATATATATATATATAAAAAAAGAAACAGAATTTGATTATCTTGTTATCTCAGAAGATATTGTAATGGGTATCCGTGTAATGCACATTACATTCATGAGATACCCTGTATAATTCAGGGTATGTTAAAACGTAAATTCTACCGATTTTTTAGGAATTCTGTCATTATTATTAATAATATATGTTATCGAAATGTTGTATTTTATGATTATGCATTTTTTGATTGTTATGATTTATGATTATTATGATCTATATTATACATTTTTTTTTTTTTTTTAATTTGATAAAGTAAATTACAATCTATACATGTATTTTTTTCGAGTATGTACATTTAGCAATCGAAATGTAAGAATATAAGAAATGACAATGCATATTTTGAATATGGGAAATTACCCAGTGGTAACACCCAGTTTTTATACATTTCATATTTTCCGTTAAAACCGCCGTAAAAAAAAGTATTTTTGCGATGACGCGATTTTTCGCCTCTACGATCGAAAATGTTCAAGTTTTTAACAGTCGAGTTATAGTAACGCATTTTTTTCGCGTGACGGACGGTTTTCCCCGTATTTTCCATCTTCACGCGTTATGAGTCTTCTATACGATTTTTCAGAACTCTTTTTCGTTACGTAACCGGAACTAATAGACACACACTTTTCGTAGAAAAAAATTACGGGCGCCACGTAGTGAATTATAGTCAGTCGCCATGTACGCGCCAGTCTCTCGTCGTTCGTTTTATCTATGACTGAGAACAACGAGAACGGTATTTGATAAAATATTTGAATTTCATAGAATATGTTTTATTTTTTTATTTTTTATGAATAAATAATTTAAGAACTAAACCAATAAAGTTAAAAAAAAAAAAAGACGTCTTAAGATAACAGGGACGATTACAGCCACTGTTATAGATAATAAATTAAGGTATACCTATAAGCAACGATAAACTATTGCTTACGAAACACCGATTCTGAGCGAAGTTCAGTTGATAACGATGCTTTGTTCATGATATGTCATTTTATGTAAAATAATTAAACAAGCTTTATAGTTTTTCCTAATAATATTTGTTTAATGTTGTACCGATTTTCTCAGGTTTCCTACGTTTTTCCCGTTTTTTTTTTTATGTTTTTAAGGTTTTAAATGAGAAAACTCCTGAGAAAATCGAAAAATGACCCCTCTAAAGTTCCCCCATCTAGTGAAATTTCATTTTAGAAACATTGCTATCACTATAAGTTGGATCGAAATTGCGAAATGTATTTTATAAATTGTGTAGGTATATCTACAGGTATATATCCGGCTGTTTGTAATACTTTTTCGTATTCTTCATATTTTATTCTTTCTCATTCTATTCCGCCGCAGCAAATCCGATAATATGATTTTACTAGAGAGAATGTTAGTTCTTCTCCGGCTGATATGGATATGACGGTGTATGGATTTCCACCACGGGTTTTTGGTTTTTGATCAAATAAAAAGTAAACATTTCAGTTTCACGTTTCTGTGAAATGTGTCGATACGATAGTGGTATCGGTAGCCAACGCGGACTAACAATAACATTATAGTCTACAATATAAATACAAAACGCTTAAAACGCGAAACGTTCGACTTTTAGTGAAAATTGAATAGAAAATAAAAATAACATTAAACTTCACGGTCGTCGGGTCGTGTAACAATCGAACTCGTGATAAGATTGAGTCATTACCTAAGATAAATTGAGCTGTATTGGGCTGTCACTGAACGATGTACTACTCTATGTATTATAAAGGCGAGTGTGACATTGACATATGACTAGAGTGAAAATAGCTACAAACTCTAAAAAAAAAAAAAGAAATCAAGTTAGTTCGATGAACTTATTTATTATAAGTTTAGTTCTTTTATACGACTATATATTGACCGATTAAATGGCTTTTCCCCCACTTCCCATCATTAAATCTAAAATGACATTGACATATGACTAGAGTGAAAATAGCTACAAACTCTAAAAAAAAAAAAAAAAAAATACTTACCATTATATTATTTATTTTACTAAATGAAATGATTCGAAAATTTTCGGTGATTTCATGTATTTATTTAAAATTTACATTTAAATATTTATCTTAATTAACGATATTGTAATGACCACTACAGTAGAATTAACGTCTTTCTGACGTCATTGATATGTAAGATATTTAAAAAGTCTGAGATCTTTAAAATTAAATACAAATTTAATAAACCGTAGTATTTATAATTAATTTTGATGTTTACAGAATTATTTTAAAATGCAGGCGAAATTGTCTTCGAAATGTTGTCGACTAAAAATTGTATTATATGTGTTTTATTTTCAAAACCAATTTTAAAGGTCTATTCGTTTGTTTTACGTGAACACATATTTTCGCTGTATTGCCTTTTAAAAAAAAGACAGGTGATAAATACCACTGTGACAGCCTTAAGAAAAGACCATATACCATTTATATTTAAAGAGTATAGCGCGTGGACAATGTTTACGAAATTGTTGAAAACATTCAAATTTATCAACTCAAAATTGACTTTAAAACAAATAAAAATTAATAGTCACTTATAGCAGCATTAAGGTTTATTATTAGTCATATTTTGTGGTAAAAAAAAAATTATACATTTCACTCAACTTTTTTTTTTTAAGAATTTGTATACATAATTTTCACAAAAATCGTAAATATTACAACTTTTTAAAATATGTACAACCGAACTCATAATTGTTTTCGTTAGCAATTCCTAATCTTTGGGTACAATTATACATCAATTTCCCTTTATACCCTACCTTTCCAACGTCTCACCTACAACAGTGGCTCACTGTCTTTTTTTTAAGTAATTTTTGTTTTGTAGGACTATTAGACCTACCCTGAGTCTTATAAGAAGTAAGAAATCGTAACTTTTGATATAGATATTGCAAATGTAACTGTAACGACTAACAATGGTTAATATAACGAATAATCAAGTATAATTAGATTGATGTGTTTAGTAAATTTTTGTTTTTATTTATTTATCATTTACTCATTCAAAACCATCAAGTATTGTTGTCGAAATAATAAGTATACGGTACGGCACACTTAAAGTTGTTCGTAATGTGTTTAGCTATTCGATAACTAGCCACTGTAAATGTGGACAAAGTTAAGAGTTGTCCTGTGCAAAACGGTTTTTACGAAATGGAATAACGGATAATGAAATCATATCCTTTTTAAAAGACCGATCGAGATTAAAAATAAAATAATTACGTTTTGTGTGCGTATGCTTTTAATGTTCTTTCAAAAATATTATTATCGGCATTATTTCTATACCACTCCGCGCACAAAATTTACGAGAGTGGTCAAAGGCCACGAGAAACAACCACTTAACGGGAAAAATCGACCCATTGGCTACTGCAAATGAAATATATTATAATATACCGCTTTCATTATTATATAATATATTAAATTATGTAATTAATTATTTTTGTTATTACGAAAATATAATAGATATCGCCGCACGTTCAATGTGAATTAATTCACATGATATACGACGCGTAAAAGATACGGAAGGCAGATACTGCTGATGGGTGTGCCGTTGTTTTAGGAGAAAATTCGGAAAGGAATATAATATTATATAGAATTATGTAATTTATATCTGCATGAAAAGATAATAACCATTGTTAACGAAAAATAATTTTTAGCAGAGTACTCTTGGTCATATTTGTTTCTTTATGTTGCTAAAAAACCTAGAAATCAACAAAAATTATACGAAAAATTGCCGGTTTTTACGATTTATTAAGGAAACTATATTATAGAAAAAATCAAAACTTGTCTTCCCCAATGCACCAACAAGATAAAAAAGACGGACACACATTGCACGATGATTGGGACACTGACGTAGGTGAGAATTTGGGAAAGTAGGATATAGAGGGGAATTTAATGTACATCTGTGTGAAAAGATTAATCATTGCTAATGAAAAACGATTCCGAGCATAGTTCAGTTATATATGTTTTAAAATACCGTAATATATTTAAGATTTGAAAATAATACGTTTTGTAAACATTTTCGATTTTCCTACGTTTTCTCCAGGTTTTTCACAATTATTATGGAAATGCTTGGGAAAATCAAACTACCTCTCTAAAGTACATAATAAACTGGCAAAATTAAAATGTTTTGAAAATTTTACCATGCCTAGAAAAAGCAAATATATGTGTTTTGTCAAAACTTCAAGTCTCTACGAATATTTATAACTGAACCACAACAACAAAAAAAGAAAAAAAAAATTGAAAAAAATACATTTCGTACGTTTTTTTCCCATTTATTATGAAAATCATTTAGGAAATAAGAAAATGACCTTTCAAATAAAATTTACTTTCAGAAAAGGCGCTACACTTAAAAATTAGATCAACATTTTTTGTAAAAATTGTGTACATAATATAAAAAAATAAATATAAACATAATTGTAAAGCCAAAACATTTCTCACTTCTCTCAGAATTTATAATTCTACAAGAAAGTTCCTCTAAAGTTTTTGATCGGAGCATGATTTTTGGTGAACAATTGTTTAAAGACACAAAAAAAAAAAAACGAATCATAGCATAACTATATGATGTATACCTCGCTTCGTTCAGAATTTAAAGTCTATAATATTATTATATTATTTCGATTTTTTTTTCAATACAATAAGAACGTATCAGTAGGCATGTGTCGGACTGAGACAAAAAAGACCCGGGACGTGGACAATTTTGAAGGTTCTTTATCTTCTCGGAAATCTAAAATGTTTGGACGCATAATATATAGGTAGTAAATTATAAGTAGGTATTTTAATATTTAAAAGTACAATTTATTCATGAAATTATTGTCATAAAATATTAAACTCTTTGGATTGAACAAATAAAAAAATAGTTTCATAGTACCTTCGTTCTACCTACTAATTTATTATAATACATTTTGTAATTAAGTACATTGTATAAAAAGTTTACGGAGTACGAGTAGGTACCTCCTTAAGTATATAAAATTAAAACTTCATAAAAACATAAAACAATAAATTAAACACGAAATAAATAAAACCACCGGAATAATGTTATAATATGTAGGTAATTATAATTTATAAAAAAAACAGCAATTTTGAAAATGTTATTGACAAATAAACTTATACAATTTTATTTTATTTTATTGATTAAATTTATATTTTAGGAAATGTACTATTGTTTTATATTATACAAACAATATACTAATTTGCCGATGAAAACAATTGTTTAGCGATTTTTCAAGTAATATTTTTCTTTTTATAATATTTTATTCAAGGTCTGGGGAGTTGGTGCCTGAAAAGCGCATTAGCAAATGGCATCGGCCACTTCGGGCTAGGTATTCTGCCACTGACTGTAGGTGTGCTAAATAATTGAGTAGATATGTAAATATTAGCAAAGGTGGGTCACCTGATAAAAGTTTAATAAACAATAAAAAAAAAAAAAAACCACTTTCGGTTAAACGTTTACGCAAACTAAATTTAACTCGATAAGTTTAAATGTAAAAAAAAGAAAAAGGTTGACAACAAATTAACCCACCTCTAATGTCCCACACGCAATTATACTTATCTAAATAGTATAATATTAAATTAGAGTTAAAAACCAATACAATTATTACACTAAACTCTCACAGCACCAAATGGTAATTTTCCTGAAATGGTCACAAATACAAATATTTGATCAAAGGGCCAGAATTGAAAGTTTCCGATGGGAAGGTCGAAATGCTGATCAACAAGAGATTTTTTTTTTGATGCGTATTAATGAATAATAAGTTCTCCGGAAGGCCCATACAATTAGATGCGTTTCACTATGAATTTTTGAGTACGTAGTAGTGTCAGGCCCTTAGGTTTTATTTTCATTACATTTTTCTAATTTTTATGGATATTTAAAAGGGCGTACTGACAGTTGTTTACTCATACACATAAATGGAACACATCAAAAACAATAACATCAATAGATCACGTCCGTATATGTATAACTATTCCTTATAATTATCCGTCTTATGTCAAGCAATATTTAATGACGTTTTGTTATGATATAGTTATGTGGTTTAGGCTTACGACAATATGCTAGTACCTACACACCTATTATACTCATATTTACGTTCTACCAAAGTCACGTAACCGAGAGCCTCTCGAGTCTTTTGACCATAATATACAATATTTTAGTAATAATGTTATTATTTTCTTTTTACTGATTTGTTTACGTTTTTTTCATCGATCTGACAATTTCAGATGGGTAGGTATCGATGCCGGTATATTGGCTACACGTGCCAAGTTGTGTACTTTACCGGTGGAGTATTTAAGGAGGGATGAGATGTATCCGAATCCGACACTAACAAATGTCGATTGAGGAATGCGATTAGACATTTTCCAAATACAAATATCAAATTTGATGACTCCCGAAAAATCGTTTACGTTATTCATGATAGATGATATAATAAATGATACGTTTTAAGATAATTACGTAATGGAATACAAAAAAAAAAAAACAACCGAGGAAATTATTCATTTTGTTAATTTTGAAATCAAACTATCATTGTATTACTGATTCGGTGGTCTAAATTTATTTTGGGGGGGGGGGGTTATATCTTAATATTCTCTACCAATGCAAGCTCAGGATATGTTCATACCTTGTTTTTTTTTTAAAGTATTCATTATTTAAATGATTACCTATTTTAGATTCTGAGCGTAGTGAGGGAGCTATTGGTTTTACAATGCTGTTTATTTAATATAATATTCTTTTTCCAAAATAAGGACACGTTTTTTCCTAGTAAACTTGCTTCGATTTGTACGTGTAGCAACTTTTCTGAAAGCTCAAGTTTTCTAGATAGTACATATAACAAGTTATTTTTAGATTTTTGACTTAATTTTGTAAATAAAAGCTCTTAAGTGGGAAAAAACGTAGGAAAACGTACAATTTCACGATTTCATTATTTTATAAAAATACGGACGACGTTTTCTACCAGATAAAATTATTTAATCGAAAAATCACAGGATTCCTTTTTTGTTTCTTTTTTATTTACTTTCTCTCGGTATCATTGCCAAAACTTTTTAGTCTTTTTTGAGCTTTTTAGGAATTTTAATTTTTTTCGGAGTTTTTGCTGTTATTAGGTTATTAATACACGTAGAGGTTTGAAACTTAGTAATAATACTTATATTTAACTTACTTAGACGTGGTAAAATTTCCAAAATTATCGGATGACTTTTTTTTTTATAAGCGTTTTGAAATCAAATTTAAATGAAAGTAGTAAAAAATAATTACTGCACATCAAATTCTGTATTACCGAACTGCGCTCGGTATCGTCTTTCGTCAAGCAATGGTTTATCGTTACCTACAGTTATAAATGAAATAATCTTATGTATCTTAACTTTCCAACTTCTCACCAATAACAGTGGCCGCTCCCATCCTTAGTATCACCTCTTTTTTTAGATTCAAATTTCATTATTTTTTAGTCAGGAAAATCAATGTTTCAGTACATAGTTTATGTATCAAAAAAACATATTTCCTAGTTTAAAGCGAAATCAATCCGAAACACCTAATTACACACAGTGATTTTTTATCATGAACCAGACATTTTTTCAGAGGTTTTTAAGTGAATTGGATCTCTGCTTTTTTAATCATCGGTTAAGCTTTATTTTAAAACCATATCTAATTATTTTTTCGTACTTCATACATCCTTAATAATTATATAGTTCTATTTTTCAAATGGAAAACCATTTTTTTTGAATACAGACTCGAATAGATAATTATCTTCATTGAACATCAAAATTTACACTTATTTAATATATTTTATATATATTTATGGATTAGGAGTGAAAAATTAAAAAAAATAGTTTTAAAAAAGCTTAACCGATTCAACAATGAATGAAAAAACAGAAATCAAATTCCCTTTATGTTCTGCGAGAAAATTGCTGGTTCATGACAGAAAAATTATTCTGCATAACATGAGGAGGTTAGATAAGTATCTGAATAGTAGTTAAATAAATTAATAATAATTGATAATACTAATATTTATTTGGCTGCGATGATATTTTTTGTGTGGATTGAATTATCAATTAAACTTGCTAAAGAAAATATTTAAATTAAAAAAATCTTTTTTTTTTTTTTAACCCAAGTACATGTTATACAATATTTCAAAATTTTAACATTTAATATCGTCCTGTTTAACGAAATCGTAAATTGGTACACCACTATACCATGCGGTACAGTGACTGAAGCCGACGGCCGTTTCTCCAGTAATCGGAATGTTTTTACGTTTTACACGGTTAAGGTTTTTTTATTGATTTTTTTTTTGTTGCACCGGATATAAGACTGTTTTCCGTTAATTATTTTCGCGTTTTGTGTCATTTTCAGCATTCGTTTTTTCGACACGCCATTAGGACTTTATTATTTTTTTACTACTAAACCGTCATCATGATTTGAAAATATATTAACGTTTGATCAATATTTAACCAATATTGTTTATACAGTATACTCATAATGTAGTTATATTCAAAACGTATTGTTGCTAGTAGGTAGGAAATATTTGTTTATTATTATTTTTCAAAATCAATATAATCAATCGACGACTATTAAAAATAAATAAAAATAATGATATTAAAATTTTAATCGTAATAATATTTGTAAATTAAAAACGCATTTTTATTTTCAATCGCGAAAATATTGAGTGACGTAATTTGTTCAAATTCCTCGATAAAATTTTTACCACCTTTTTTTTTTTTGCAGTTCTGTGTTAATAAACTTATGAATGCGTATTTTTCGAAACTCATATATTTTAATTAAAATGTACTGATAAAAATATTGTCGTGTCCACATTTGAATTCTCAACGTTTATTTTAGACAGGTATTCATTATATTATAGCATTATAGATCCTATATATCATACGAACGTTAAACTTTAATGGGAGAAAAAACTTTTGAAGCACACTCGTGGTATATTTAATAATATATAGTTATTATAAATCTAAGAAAATATTTTTATTGTACAATTAAATTTGATTTCGTTACTAGAACTAGGTTGTACCTATACAGGAAGGTAATAAACTCGCAGTATAACTTTTTAGCATAATATCATTATAAAGTAGGTATTTTTGTCATAGCGCAAGTTGTATATAATTATTGTAGTTCAGATTACCTACCTACTTCAAACAATATCCTTTTTTGTTTGTTTTGAGAAACGCTCTGAATAATAAAATTAATTTTTAATACTTGAAAATAATATACAAACGAATTTTACCTAAACATTTTTGTTTTTTTTTTTTATTTTTGTTCATTTCTGGATTATATTGAAAATAAATGAAAGAACACAACTATTATTATGATACACTCTATTTAGAATCGTTTTCGTTTGCAATGATTTATCGTATGCAAAATAATCACTATTTTATTTCATTATATTTCACCTTCCAGACCACCTACCACATGGGCCTACTCACGGTGCAATGTATGGTCAGAATTTTTAAATCGTTTAATATAATATGTATCGGTGGTTTAAAATCGGCTCCCGTTCATAAACACCAAGTAGTTTTTACGGTTAAAAACAACTTTCGATTAATTTCCAGATGTTTAAACTGCAAGGCTCAAGTTACTACAAAGTAAGTTTGAAAATAATTTTTTATTGAATTTGACACCATGTTAATATGCATGTTGCAAAAATACTACATACATATACAAATAATATGTTATATACATACTTACTCGTATAATAAAATAGATATATTTTAAGAAAAAAAAGATTTATATATTTATTTATGTATTATGTGTATCGTATATCTATAGTATTCAAATTGGTATTTAAAATTGTTTTGTTTTTTTTTTTTTAACTGGAGATAGGACATTTTTTATTTCGTTTCGTATTTGTGTGTGCCTATTACTTAGTAATAGTACCTATGTTATTTTTTTCTTTTTTGGCTTATTCCAGGCCATTTTGACCCATCGCCGCTTCCACTACGCCTTTCCACGCATCTCTATTTAATGCTGATCTTTGTCCATCCTTAATTTCTAGACACTTAACGTCTTCATTGTTTCAGTCACACCACCGCTTTCTTGGACGTCTTCTTGGTATTGGTCGATTCGGTTACCATTTCGTGACCTTGTCAACTAATTAATTTTTTTTCTTACATACATGTCCAGCTCAGCTTATCCGTCTACTCTTTAAAACACCTATTATATCGGGTTCATTGAAAATTTCCCTCAGTTCTACTTCTGCGTTAGTTCTTTTCTGCGTTTGTATTGATTATTTTCATTGTTCTTTCTTGGTCCAAATATCCGCCTCAGTATTCTCCTTTCAAAAATGATCAGTCTTTTTTTGTCTGCTTCAATTAATGCCCACATGCATACAGTACAATAGGCCTGATTAGAACTTTGTGAAGTCTGACTGTCGACCTCTTCGATAGTAACTTTGAATTGAACAGTGGTACCATTGAGAAATAACACCTATTTCTTGATGTTATTTTACGATTAATTTCTTTAATTTCATGTCGAAGTCATGTCTCTTACTAAAATTGGGTTTTAATGATACTGCTGCTTTCGTTAAGTTTTGTCTTCATTAATAATTAGTCCTATACTTCTTCATTTGTCCATTGGTTTAATTGCTGTGTGTCTATTTTTTGTATATCTGTATTGGGTACATTAAAAATGTTTGTGAAATCAATTTTATTAATTATTAATTTTTAACGACTGAATATAGTTTTTAATCAGTGTAACGTGGAAACGTTTATATTTCAAAATATTTCACACCTAAGGGTTACGTATTTTTTTTCACGTTAAATTTAAATAGGTACCGGAATATTTAAACACTGTGTTGGTGAACAATAACTTGTCTCCTAATCACTCACGTGTTCAGACACATGTCAACGTGTAGTGTTTTGTACCTGAATCGGTGACATTTTTGTTAAAACGACATGGGACAGGTATTTTATATAATATTATGTATAGTAGATATAGCGATCTATCTGGGTTTTGATATAAATAATTGTAAGGATATTATACTGACCGTCGTACGCTTTGCACGCGATTTCGAATGGTCCGTCTTCCAGGATAGGCGGTGTTGACGACGTGGAATTCCATATGGCATTTTTTTTGAAGTATAGAATTTCCAATCGGCTCGGTGGTGCTATCGGAAAAATAAAAAAATAAAAATTGTAGTTATTAAGTAAATATAAAATTGTATCGACTGTTTTGTTATCTCCGTTACAGTGATATGTTTCGATTCGGCTCGAATTTTTAGTTTTTACTTTTTGTTACTATACACAAATGTATTCTTTTTTATCATAAACCAGAAATTTTCTTGAAGTGTGTTAAGTGAATTTGGTTTCTGTTTTTTTTTATTTAATTATTATGGAAAATCGTTCAAGTTTTATTTTAAAATAATTTAAAATTTGTATCCCTACTCCATACTTTTTTTTGAAAAAAAAAAGAACTCCAGCCTACTCTTATCTCCTGCACTTTAACTAACCAATATCAACTTCCCGTGGAATTCACCGGAAAAGAGCTTTTGTATATAGATAATAGTTATATATTTATTACGTAATTCAAAATATTATTATGGCTTTATGAACACGTTCCTCCACAATAATGAAAATTCTCAAAACTAAAAAAAATTAAATTGACGTTTTGTGTATAGGTTGAGTACAACTTAACTTACTTATAATGTCCAATTGTATGAAGTTGTTCTGTGTAGGCGAGTATTTGAAATCCTCCCGACACCTATACTGACCGATATCGGACGAACGCACGTTCTTTATTATTAAAACAGCAATTCCTTTATTCTTGCTGTAATGAACTCGTCCTTCCATCGAATTCTCTGACCAAATTGAACCCGAAAAGTTTTCTCTATGATCCACGCTGTAGACATAAATATTTATTATTATAGTGTAATAATATATTCAATATACATGTTAATTGTTATGGGTTTCTCCTAAGACAATTTTGTTAAGATGATTTTTCAGTTAGTAGAGATTTTTTATATCATACATTAAAAAGACGCTGGATTTATGTATTTTAAAATTTGACAAGTTTATATTTTTCAAAAATTGCTTATTCTTTTTTTTTTTTCTTTTTACTTGGTTAGTAAAATGATTCTATTTTTTTACACAGTACCTTTTAAGACGTGGGATTTCTACCTGGTTGTATTTTATTTGAAACATTTGCCGACATTTTCAACTGCCCCTGGGTTCCTATTTTTTTCTCTCGCGAATTTATTATTTAGTTTATATTTGTTAGATACTACATAGATATAATTGTTCGACCAAATAGAAATGTTTGACAATTTTATAAGTTGTAAGTTGTGTATAATGGTAAAAAAAAAAAAAATGTTATGTTACCTAAATAGTATTAATTTCTTTTTACAATGTTTTTAAGATCAAATTTTGATGAAAATCGTAAATAGTACAGCCTTTCAAATCATTTATCAACAAACTTCGTTCGGCATTGTATTTCGTTGGAAATGGTTTATCATTGCTTACAGTTGTAAATTAAATAACTACCTATGTATCCGACCTTCCCTACTTCTCACATACAACAGTGATGCACCCATCAGTAGCGTCAGCTCTTCTTTTTTTTTAAATATATTTTTATAAATTTTTTGATTCTTTTTGGTATGGTGTATTTAAAAAAAATATATTATGTAACATGCTTTTTTGTTTTATATTATTTATAACAAAATTAATTTAGTTTTTATTTTATTAAACTATTTGTACGAATTAATTTGTTTACAACTCTTCACTGTTACCCAAATTCCTTTCAAATTTAGTTAATATATCCAACATTATGCTAAAAATCCAATAGAATAGTGTAGGCTAAGAGAAATGTTCTGAATTTTCATAATTTCATCGGGAGTAAAAATATTTTGCTATTGATGTAAAAACATATATATTACGTGTTTTCTACAGTCTGTAGAATACACCTAATATACTAAAAAATTAATTTTCAATATGAAAACGCAGATATTTAGAAATTAGACGATTTGACGCACAAATATAACTCGATGTCAGATGTTCTTTTCAAATGATCAACATCAAATAAAAATTACCCAGATTAAATACATTGATTTTGTTTTCCGGTATAAGAAAGTTTCATTAATGTAGCTATTGCAAATGTTTATAATAGAGGCGAACAGTGTGACGTCATATTAAGTGACATAAATCAATATCAAGCATGATTGGATCCAAAAAAATACAAATATACATATTATAAATATTATGTGGGTAACCGAATAATTATTTAGATGTGATAATGGCTGATCAACATCAACTCTTTATACAAATACATAATTTTTTTCCTGTTCAAAATCATTAATAAACACGAATGCATTTCACCCGGAAGCGTCGAATTTGTCCGTCTTTCTACACGAATCACAATTTAATGTGTTAAATTAAATTAAAATAAATCGCAAATTAACATATCTAGTATCATACCAACACTTACATCTGTGCCCTTTGTGTAACTATTTATTACGATTTCTACCATTTCGTTTAAAAATAAAATATATAATAGTAACCGTTCCACATGAAATTAATCTTGCGATTAAGACATCAATGGTGTTGATACTACGGTATTATGCAAAGGAAAATAATATACACACACCCACTAGCCACGCACTACCTCTGTCGTCTTTTACCCGTGTGTCTGGTGCATTCGTATCTACTTATATAATATTATACTATATTAATTATAACCGTTCTATGCATATTATAAACTTCACATTATGTGTTATATTGCATTATATCCATTATATCATGAAAATCAAGAACATAGCAAAGTTAAATCAGCTTAATAATTATTATCTCGTACTGTATTATGACTACACGATATTTATATACGTTTATAATTGAATTTATATCATATTACATAAGGTACTTATTCAATCATTTTTGCCGAAGTCGTACGTTATTATTTTTAATAAGGCTAGAATAATAATAATATTGTCTCGGAAATACATGCAATTATAGGTCATTGACTGGTTATCCGATGGGTAATATAAAAATTGTAACTTTCAAAAAAAAAATCGATCGTCAACGCCCATATTGTCAAATTCGTATTATTTTCCGTAGTTAATAATATATTATAGTTTTAATATATCCATTATCCATTCATGTTTCATAATCGAAAATAAATAGTGTATTATTTTAGCTGGTACTCACCTAAAAATCGCATGATCTTGTCCTTTATACCAGATTATTAAAATCGGCCATTCCGTTAAATTGCCATTTTGAATGTCGCACGGAAGTTCAGCGTTGTCTCCTATGATCGCGCTAATGCGTCTTGTATTATCTATAAACAAAAATATTTCAAATACAGTGATAACAGTTATTATTTTGTGTTTTACAAGCAGCGCTTGAATATCGGGAAAATCATTAAAAGGAGAGTTTTGTTAAGTAAAATACGAGTATATATATAAAAAAAAAAAATTAATATCGTTTGTGCGTTTTTTCTTGCGTTCAAATTTCATAGTGGTGATTGCGTTTTTTTCCTGACTTTTCTAGGCACTATTTTTAACAAAAAGTAAGCCAAGAGAAAAAAAAACCTCTAGCGCGTGTGTTATTTACAAGAAAGGTCTAACTGTGCATTAAATGGAGTGATCGTTCTTAGTCCGGAAAGAGTGGATGGGTGGATTTGTAATAATTTAATACGAACAAAATTATGATGATAGGGACTTAGATTATTTCTACAGTGGATAAGTGAAATATTTAAAAAATTAAGTATTTAATCTACAGCTTTACGTGTTACTTTTCTTAATACATTTTGAGCAACAAAAGCATTATGTGCTTAATCAGCTATTGAATCGGCATTTGCCGAATGTACATTTTTAAAAATATGAAAAAACACAAATTTAGATCTACAATAAGTGACAAAAGTTTAGACCATATTATGTTATTATCCAGCTGTTAAATTCATAATAAGATAAATTTGGTTCGGACCATGAATCGCATGGGAATAAGATCACTAAGTTACACTTAACAACTACAGCCATCCTAAATTATTTATGTTTTTTACGCTATAGTTGTTGTTGGCGCGTGGACTTTAATCTTCATTCTAAATGTATGTATTTTTTATTTTTTTTATTTCTCCCTTGTTAAGGACCTGTAGTTCTAATATCCTAAAGTCTCGAGACATTCCTATGAACAGTACATGAAATTATGGTGGTAACAAAATAGGTTCAAAACCAATGTCGGGAGAGCAGGTAGGTAATGATTTACTAGTTCAGTTTGCTTCCTGGGTATAAAATCTTCAGGCCACTATAGGTTATGTAACTGATCTTATAAGTATTTTTGTACATATATGCCGATTGATTTATTGTCTCGGTCATCACCGTGAAGATAATAAAATCACTTTGTGTTATTGTTTCCCTTTTAATAATATTGCAAAAATACGGTTGTTAAAGTTATTAATAATTCATGAGAGTTTAAAAAAATGCGGGTTTGTAGATAATATTTTAAGGGAAAAAAATAATAATCGTATCGGAACGTACCGGCGTTCACCGCAGGTAATTCAACTGCGGCAAGGATTACATGGCCACTGCATAAATTTAATATTTTCTTTTAATATGCTTCATACCCGATTCTAATATCAGTTGACAAATTTTAGGCGTTATGCATTGCAATGTAATTTACCACTACACAGGATGATCAATACTCGACAAGTACTCATAATGTCGAAAAGTATTCAATATAAAATATTTTCTTAATCAATACCCCCAATTAAATCCAAAATTCAACAAAAAAGATATCTTGATCTTTTTAGATTAGAGCAAGGTTTCTAGTAGAAAAGGTTTTTACAGATACAAAACGTTTAAACAAACAAACACAAACAAAAAACACACATAATAAAACTAATATTAATATTGACGTTTTATTCAACATAATATTCAATCAATATAATATATTAAACAATAAATTAATATTTTTTTTTTTTTTAAGTGATTCAAAATGAAATAAAATAAATGGTAACAAATAAAAAGATTTATAAATATTGTTTTTGTAACCGATTCAAAAGTGTACCACATATTGAATTTAGAGACACATTTTTGAAAGATAGTTATTTTTAATTTTACTCCGTCTAAACATTTATGATTAAACATTATTTTTTTTTTGGAGTCAATAACTAAATGATTATTATTGAAATTGAAATTTGAATCAACCTGTTTTCAAATAGAACCTGGAGGTATAAAAATTATTATTTCTTATTTGCAAAATATTTAGTTGATTCGGAATTAGTGGTAAAACAAATTTAAAATAACCGAAAATCTACCTATAATCTGTACCGAATACCCACCACACCAAAAATTTTCCAATATTTCGAATAAACCCTTGCATCTTCATCTATTTGTACTAAATTCGTAGTAAATGAGTATTAATATTAATTTTTTTCACGTTAAGTACACATTCGCCTTTAAATCTTAATAGAAAATCGAGAAACAACCGTTTCTCAAAAACCGCACTCATTTCACCACTGCTTGGGATCGATATGGATATAGTTTTTGCCATACTATAGAGTCTATAGGTAGTTGTGTAATTTCGCTCTGTAAATTTTCTGTGACACAATTTTTTTTTAACGTGTTCGTTTTGTGTGGATTTACATGCTCGCGCATACATTTACTTAAATGTTTGAATGTTTAATATTACAATGTTTTGTTTTGAAAAGAATTCGAAAAACTGTCATTTTTTATTACACTAATGTGCTGCGAGTTGTTGAAAGGAAAATAATAAAATTATTATTATTTATTGTATTATATAGGTACCTAGGTAATAAAGCTTAACGTTTGTAAACATTTGCAGGGCTTAAATTTTCGTTGGTACCAGAAAACGATGATATTTCATAATGAAATATTATTTCAATATAAATAGGTACGTGATTTTTACCACTAAAGAAAATCAATTTTTAATAAAGATTTATATATACTAATTTAAAAATATATAGGTAATTAATTGTTTATCGCAAATTACATACTATTCAATATTATAAATCGTATTATTAATTGAAACAATATAATATCGAAATATCGTCATTGTAAGTATTAATTATTGACGAAACGTTTTAAAATATAGAAAAGTAAAAGTTTACTTAATTTATGCAATCGATACTTGCACATTAATATTTTTATTTTGTGATTGTGTGTTCGAATGAAATACGTGAGTATCAGGTAAATATTTTATAAAAAAACAAAATCATACAAGTATGAATTATACGTCATCAAAATTTTAACACTCGTTCTTTACATGGTAGGTAGGGTTACATATATCACGAACCGTCGATTTTCATGAAAGTGAAATTGATTTCTGTTTTTTTTTTTATCAATCGTTGTACGCAATCGTTTAAGATTTTTATTTTGTCGAACATTATTTTCAATTGTAACCCCCACTCCTTGTTTCTTAAATGAGCATACGCTTTTGACTTTCAAATAAGAATCCTGCAACTTCAAACCAGATTCGAAAGAAAGTTTCAAAAAAAATTGTTGACACATTAATAGGTACAGGACTCTAGGAGTTTACTGATTATGAGTAACCCTGTATATGTTTAAACGTTAACACAAAGAAAATAATTGAATTGAAAATATATATAGTGTTTGGCAGCACTGACAATACCTGACCCATGTATCCATATAATTGTATACATTGTTAATTATCATATATTTTTGCGAATGTTAATAAAACGATGACAATACGATGTTGGTTTTATTTAAATTATTTTTAATGTTGTCTGAGACAACATAACAATATTACATGTGTATTTTAGTCGATACATTATCATTTATCACCGTCGAACCGAATCAATGTATTTATTTCGTCATCGTCCACTAAATACAATTCATTGAATGAAACTTTATAATTAAGATTTTGTTTTTATTTTCAGGTAGTTTATTGAATTTTCAAAGGCAGGCACATTATTTTCCCAGTCGTGTACCTTCTGAAATAATCACTTTACACGGCTTGTATTTATATTACAGTACGTTGCTGTACTACAGAGCCGAACAGATTATTTCGAAATTAAATGATAACAACAAAAGAAAAAAAACCCGTTTTTACTGCGGTCGTCGTGAAAAATGTTTAGAACACTACTCAAATTTGAGTTAAAAATCGGTATAATATAATAGAACGTCATTATCGTTGTTACCAATAGTACTTAAAACGTCCGAAATAATTGCTATAGAAATCCGGGAATTAAACTTTATAATAATAATAATAATATTATTTGCTGTATTATTATATACTAGACAATATAAGCGCTGCGGTGTATTATGTGGTGGCCTTATATTTTAACGGAAATTTTGTTATTATACTATACTGTTAAAAATCGTAAAATTATTCATATTTTAAAAAGCGCGAGAGCCACTGTTGACTTTTTGTAATTTATCTAATTAGTCGGGTTCGTTCGTTATTTTTATTTCTTTTTTAACTCGATTAAAAAAAAAAAAAAAACAATTCACGGGGCAGCAATTACGCAGCGCCACTTTTTCTTGTGTTATTAGGTACATAATTTAATAAAAAACCGCGAGCAACCGAAATATAGATTGAATTAGACGCGGCAGACGTGCACAAGATAACAGATAATAATATCGCACGACGTCGGTATATTGAGATAGGTTTGAAATGCCACCGTTCGCTGTATTTTACACAACATGTACGAATACGTATGAATAACTGCGCGTTATTTGCGGGTCACACATTGTTATTATTGGTGTGCCAGAGGAAATTTCGTTACCCAAGTGTGTCCGATAATATGATATTTTTCAAAATCAAACTATTATAATTATTGTTACTGTTATCTTACTTGGCAATAATGTCAACTCAAACGCGGTACTTACACCTAAATTCAACATAAATTGCACGAGTGTGTGTGTGTTCGAAGTCGCATTGACGTGTTGTGGTTAATTACGACTCTTTATTTTTATCGAGAGACTTTCAAATATTTCTTTTAAATTCTGAGTGTACCGAGGAACGTATTGGTTTAACTACGATCTGAGCGATATTTTTTTTTTTTAGACTGAGCGGTAGAACGTCGTGGTAAACTTATAGCGGTAAAAAAACCGCGGGTACAATAATGTCGCAAGTAATATTGTTGGTATGTTAAATATTTCACATTTGTCAATAACACACTACCTCAACATGTATAATTTGGTTACGATCGGTAGTGTGAAATGTTTCACCCGATGAACGTAGCATTTGTAGACTGTTTCGGATCGAACATTTAACCAATACAATGTGATAGTATTAAATTTCGAGAAAATTGTTGCGACGTTTTTACCGTTATAATTTAAAGCGATATTTTGACTTAATACAGAGTGTAAACAGTCGGTTTTACTATAATGTGGGCTTATTATCTGTCTAAAAAGAACTTTTCTGTCAAAAATTTTGCTCAAACTTTTTAAATTTATTTTGGATCTAATCGGTGCATTGAATTGAGGACGTCATTTTTAACTTTAAAAAAATTAGAAAGAACTTATAAGAAATTCAGATACTATTTACGGCCTTTCAGAATCTTTATTCTTTAGTAATGGCTAAACTTTGCATACGGATATAAATTTAAAAAGAGCTGATATTGGAGACAGGTTCGCTACCGTTGCAGATGGGAAGTCGGGGAGGTAAGATATTTAAAATTTTAATTTTGAATTAGTGTAGTACAATTATAGTTTTAAGGTATTTATTTTATAATAAAACATGAGAAGGGGAAACTTTGATTCTAGTGACGGAGCTCTGCTGCTCATTACGGGTGTTTTTTTAAAAATTGTTTTTGTATTAAAATAAAAAATAACATTATATTGAAGTTTAGAAAAATAAAAGAATAGACGATACAATTGATTATTTAAACTGTTGCTACAATAAGAGTCAAAATTTAAAAAAAGTTATGGTTTTTTCGCTTAGTAGCTTGAACGAGACGACTCGACAGCGATAGGCGATTGGCAATTCAAGCTTTAAATAATTATCGTTAAAAAATTTTAAAAGCGTCTCATTTTTAAGTCACAAATATAAGTACATAGGTACACTATTTTCTCTTAATGAGAACTAAATTATTTAGAATAAGAAAAAATTTATTAAAATACATTTCGTCGTGGGGATAGGTTAAATGGTGTGAGGGAGGGCACATACTTTGTTGACGACTGTCAAATGTCTCGAACAATAAACACTTTCGTCCGAGTCGTTCAATGTTATTATCACGGAATATTTGGCCAATCATCAAACCGAACGACGAAACCGTCGGAAATGTTCGAAAATCCGGTCAAATAAATATTGTAAAAAGCCAGTTTTAATTTTCGGTGCGTATAATATTCGTCTCTCAAAATAAACTAATTGACTCCCGTCGTCCTTATATTATAGTAAACAAAAATGTCATTTTAGATTCAAAAAAGTAATTTTTGACAATAAAATATTATTAAAAGTTACATTCAAATGTTAAGTTAATTTGCAGGCGAACCGTATATAAAATTATTACCTGCTGAACTTCGGGAGACGACTTGCAGTCTGCATGTGGGCCCATTATTTTTTAAGCGAATAATAATTATTAATGTTACTAAAAAAAATATTACACTTAGTTTCTGATAGCGTTTTTACAGCAGTTACGGTTATTTCGTGTTAGTTTTAGATAAAAATATGGCATATGTATAAGTGATATTTTATTCTCTCGAACTTAAAGGCAATATATACATATAACTT